GCGGAAGAGGTCACTTTCGCTGGACCCGGAGTCCTTTTGCTTTCCTTTGCCATTACGGGAATGACGCTTTTGTTTCTGACTACTGGAGCCAGTTGTATAGGGTCGATGACCACTATTTTCTCTTCTCACGCTCAACACCTTGAACGAACCCTTCATAGCTTGGTACTCAGTGCAAGAGTGACCGTGGAACCAAGTTTTGCCACACCACTTGCAGAAAGTGTTTCCGCTGGCTTTCTTGGGTACGTTTGCCTTTTCAACTACACGTCTTGATGAAGAACCACCTTTGTTCAGACGACAGTCCTTCTCGTGATGTCTGGCCTGAGAGCCTCCATGGTTTGAGCAGTAGTAACGAGGAGCAGAAGAAGAAGCAGCAGCAGAGGAAGAGAATCCAGATGAACCGGATGAAGAGGACGAAGCACGAGAACCACCATGTCGCTTTGCGTTGACAAACGAAACAGGACACTTTTGACTGTTGAGGACGTTCATGGCACAGGTGACAATCTGACTGGCGGTGAAGTTAGAACACCCAGGGAAGTGAACACCGAGAACAGCGTTGATTTGGATCTGCCATTCATTGGGGAAGCCGAGCAAGAATGTATCGCCAAGAGTGGTATCTTCAGATGAGTAGCCTGCCTCCATCATAGCCCGAGCGAAACGGTTGTAGTACTCCTCCGTAGTTTCTCCAGATCGCATGGTAGCGGTTTGAACTTCACGACGAGCATCCAAGCGTAGAGCAGCATTACTGAACTTGGACGTGAATTTTTCCTTAGCCATGGACCACGACTTTGCTGTCAGCAGGTCTTGATTCAACCAGAGATCAAGGTCGTGTGGAATCGTGAGTGGAATGTATCGCCGCCATACATTTTCGACAGCCTTGCCTGAAGACGAAATTACCTTCTCAAAGGAGCGCAGAAAATGGTGAATCGAATCATAGGAGATTTCGTTGGGAAAGTACTTGGTGGCATGCGAACGAAGTTGGAATTTAGGTAGGTCTTGCTTGGACAATGAGATGCCCTCATTGTCACCAGTGAGTGATGCGGTGACATTAGATTCGGATAGCTTGGCTGAGTGTTTGACAGTGGAGATCAGACGATTCAGGTCCTCAATCTTGGATCGCATATCTTCAATATGCTTTTGACTGTGCTCATTGTTCATATCAGTTCCCTCGACCATGTCCAGCAACAGACGTACAAACGAATCCCGACGCCAGACCAATTTCTTGATGGAATTCAACGTGCTAGAACCAGCAGCAGAGGAGGATGCATTACCTGATGAACATGATGTCGACGCAGACAAATGAGAAGTAACTTGAGATGAGGATTCACCACCATCATTGGGAGCATGGTTAGCCAAAGCAGGAACAGGAGAGGATCGCAATGGCATAGCATCCATCATGGCAATATCCTCTTGATGGTTTGAAGGTTGAGGTTGTTGTCCGACATCAGTACCTTGATCCAAGTGGATGGCCTGGACTTGCTGCCTAGTGTGCTCAATGGTATCGTCACCAGGTTGACGTTGAGCAGGAGAATCTTGAGCAGAGGGGACAGAAGGAGAGCCAGAGTTGTTGGTATTGTCAGACATTGTGATAAGGTTTGTTTAATAAAATATAGTTTGAATATTGTAAAAAATGCAGTGAAATCAGGTTTAATGGATTTCACAAAAAAAATAAAGCAAAGGTAAAATACAATAGAAATCAACTGTATTTTATTTTGTGTATAAAATGAACTGAAGATCCTGGAATTGAGTAAAAAAAAGAAGAGTATTTATACATTTGCATCTGGCTTGTAGGATTAGTGATGATAGAGAGCAATAGGTGCTGCTATTGCGATATCTGGCAAATGTTGTTGATGTTTGATTTAAAGTGGTAGTCAATGCAGGAGCACTGGCCATAAGGGTCGATTTGAGTAACCTTGCTGGGCTTGGGTGAGCTATCGTCATAGCATGATTTAATGTAACCTTGATGGTTTAAAGTATGATGTTTGTTATTGAAGCATGGAATCCTTTATCTGGGATATTGTGCAACTATGGCAGCAGGGCATAGTTGTCATATTTGAATATGCTTGTTATTGATTTAATTCTATTTGGATAAAGATACCATCACCTATTACGACCATCATGGGTGTGATTGAATACACTGTGATCAGGAGTGATTCATTCACACGATGTGCGATATAAGCGTGCATCTTTACTTTAGTATTTTTAAATGGGTTTTTGATGTACATTTGAGCGCTTTCATTAATAGATCCAAATAGCATGAATTTGAATGAGTGCTATTTGATGAACTTTGGTTTTCAATTAAGTTGCGTTTGGGTGGCTATTTCATTACATTCAGTTCATTTTATACACAAAATAAAATACAGTTGATTTCTATTGTATTTTACCTTTGCTTTATTTTTTTTGTGAAATCTATTTAAACCTGATTTCACTGCATTCTTTAATAAATACACTATGTGAGAAAAGCCATATAGGTACAGTAGTACTCTAGGTACCAGGTCCTCCCAATGCCGTATACCTTCTTGCCAAACATAGGTCGTGTATGATTGATTTCCAGCATGTTTTAGTTTCATGGTCTGCTACCTTCTACCCCATATTACATTTTGTATGTATAAAAAACGTGTTTCCGAAAAACTGTTTCCACTTTGAGGATTTGGATCATCCAAAATCAGACTTTGAAATATTAATGCTTGAGTTCCGAAAGTAGCATAATTCTATAGCAGTTTTTAATAACGAAAAAAATGCTGGTGTAAAATTTTAGATTGGATGGGTTTGATGCTAAGAAATAGATGATTATCGAAATAACCCAATTTTGAGTAATGAGCTTCATATAAGAACTACTTGTTAATTATTACGAGTGATTACCAGTGACAGATCAATAGATGAAGTGGTATTGGGAAACGTTGCATTAGTAGATGTTTTCCTTTGAAAACCCCAAACAAAAGATAACAAACGAGCTTGTCTGAATACAACTGGTGGGAAAACTATTAAGAATCGTTCCTTTAGATAGATACGTGTTCAATTCTTCTGTAAAAACTTGCTATAAACTGAGAACAATGGTGATTACTTAAAATAATGCTTTGTTTTTACATTTTCACAACTTTCTTTACTTAATTTGCAGCATAATACGGCTTTTAAGGCCTCCTATCTTTATATATAAGCAAGTAACTGTCGAGATATAAGAAGAGGTTATAGGCCAGTAGTTAAGGCGTCTACTTAATAGTCCAAAGTTCTGAAATTCGATCTTGCGTAAATGGTATTTTTTTATTTAATTTGTTTAATGGCGAGAGATGTTAACATGTTTGACTTATTTTTTGTACTCTTTCAATCACTGGATGTCATAAAGCAGCTTGAAAGAAGAGAATTTTAATCTGTTATCTATTTTTATCCTTTTGTATACACTACCGCTACAGTCTACTCTAAACCAAGCAATTTCATTATCGTATCTTAGCAAATCTAACACCAAAACGACTGAGGTGAATAACCTTCAGTAGGGTGTGGCTCTTTCAAAGCAGCCAAATGTTGATGGACTACAATTAAAAAAGATTGAACTGTATGCTAGTTTTCTAATAAAACTAGTACATGAGTTCTGGTTGTTGCAGATGCAGATGCTGGAGTCATTGACTCAGTAAGTGAAGCTATGTTCAACTTGCTTAGATCGTGGATGCCTAACCTTATTGCACATTTCATGAGCATCAACTGTACTTGTACTACAGGAAACAAGTAGTTACCAAAACTACTGGCCAAAACAAATGGTTGGAAATTCTGGATCTAATTTAGCAATACGGAGAAATAGAGATCCAACAGCTTAATAGGTTTATATTTCATATGATGTCCCTTCAGAAGCATGTGAGAGTGCATTGCAATTGTAACTAATAAATTACATCATATATGCTTTATTCAGGCACACTAAAATCATCAGACAAAATTGCCTGTCTAAACCGCAACAATTAAGGAAAGTTTTAGTCCCTGTGAATATACAATGATGATTGGCATGTAAGAGTTAAACTCTAACCTTAATACATGGAATTTTGGCTTTGCTTCATAGGCCGGGACCACCGTGTACAGTGCTTATTTGAGAAAGCATATATGGTTATTATGTGTATCAATTTTAGTGGGAGCAAGAATGTGAGATTTTATTGACGCCATGAATCAAATCATAGAATGATGTTGTTAAGAAATTTTACATGTTAAAGCTAAATTTTTTGACGACTGATGATTTATAAACAGAGGTATTGGCATCATGTGCATACAACAAAGCTGTTTTGATTGTTTTATAGCATGGAGGGTATTTATGGTGCTGTCGAGATGAATCAGCAATCGAAATTATGATGTCCAAATTTGCCATTGTCTATGAAACAAAGAAATTTTATAAATATACACACCAGTGAAAATGGTCATAGGAAGTATCAAAATCACCTTATTCCATTTCATCACTTTGATATATGGATTTCCACATCGACATTCAAGCTTGCTGGGCATTTGAGTGTCAACGTTGTCTGCCATGTTGACTGTAAATCGTTCAAATAGCAATGCCCACATCTGTGCCTTAAATGTTGGTGTAATCTTGAAAGCTTATAAACGCTTGACATTCCAATTTCCGAGGAGATGCTTTTTGAGTAACCGCAATCTTAAAACTCTCGGAAGAGGAGCAGCAGCACTGTAAAATATATATATATATTTATATACCTATCAGAAACAAGCAGCTCCTGCAAAAGATGATATGATATTGCAGCTATAAACTATGGAAAAATGAGATTCTGCTTTTTGATCAAATTAAAACGTATCATTGCCACAATAATTCATAAGATGATTTATTATAACCAAAAACAACATCTTATCTGGTCAAAGATTTGTTTCTTTTTTTTGACTTTCCAAGCTCCGTATCACCTTAATAAACATTTCTATTTTTTTTTTTTTTTTTTTTTTTTCTTTTTCCTTTTCTTTCACTATATCCCATTCTACTTTAATTACACATATCCCAACTTATATCAACTTATACACACATGAATTGCGTTGAAACAGGTATGATTTAGCTCAAGTTTCTCTAAGCATTTGACTCATTCTATACAGACAATCTCTTTCTACATTCTCGGTAAAACAGACTAAATGTTGACGATAACCTTGATTTCCATATCCTAACCGCTGCCAAGTAGACTGGACAAGAATGACAGCGCAGACGAATTACTTAGACTAAGAAACAACAACCAAGGATTCTCGACGAGTTCATTATTATCCTCATTAGAGCCAATGACACTACATCAGGAATCGTTGCACTCTTTTCGGTTTTCAAGCCCCAATGCAACATCGTCTGGTTTAGCACTTGCTTTGTCAAAAGATGGTCAGCAAAGTGAAAATAACTATATTACACAAATCACATCCAGCCTCGAATTGATTGATATGCCAAACACTTTGCCAGAGACAACAACAATCAATGGATCTCTGACTCCCGTCACACCAGATGATCGAGAACCTATCAACAGTAGTAGCAATATCAAACGTTCTGCTTCGTTTAGTTGTCTGAAATCAGATCGCCGCCATAGAACATCGCTTGTTTCAAATACATTATACCCATCTACAAGCACAAGCACCCGTGCCACTCCTACCCCAAACACAGCAGCATCGTTGGCAGATCAGAACATATCTAGATATCTGCCACAGAATCAAGCAGTAATCACAACGCAGGATAATTGGAGAATTAGCCTGTCAAACCACATTGCAGCCATGATTCTATCTGGCTCCAAAAGAAACAACACGCAAGATTTCATAGGCAAGCACATTCTTGATTTTATAGATGTGAGTCATCGGCCATTGTTGCTTGAGAAAATTGTCAAAAGAAGAGATGATTATCAACATGTCAACATCAATGGTAGTGTTTTAATATGCGGTGATGTGGTAAGTGATAGCATGTGCTGTTCCCTTTTATTGTTTTCCAACACACTATAGATTCCAATCATCAAACAAGATGGTGCCAAGTCTTCTGCTTCACTCTGGTTGAAGGAAAAAAAGAGTGATAATGGATCCTCTATATTTATCTGGATCTTGGAGGAAGTATTTCAAAGCACCATCAAAATTCGATTAAGCGACAACAGTAGAATCGAATCCATTGACAATGAAGATGCAAATGAACTGCTCGGGTACTCCTCGACAGAACTCTCACAAAAGCCTATTCAGCAATTAGTTCCTCAATACAATGCAACCGATAAATTTTTCGGCTGTCGCACAAAGCTAAACGCCTATTTCCCTGTCATGATTGGACATACGGATCAACATACCATCCGTATCACCTCTATGCCAACACTCGCAGGTCTGGTGACAGTAGACTGTAAAAGTGGAGTCATTCAAAGTTGCAACACGGCCTTTTCAAAATACCTGTTCGGCTATCGAGACCTCAGCAATGTACCCCTTTCCAAGCTAATTCCTCAATACACAACATTGATCTACTGCCTGGAACGAGATGAATTACTGCTAGACGGGTACATTCTCAACAATACCATGTGCTGCGATATTCTGAGAGCTAATCTACCCCAGCAACAACAAAAAAAGACACAGCCTCCTGTTGTTATCTCGGCTGTGCATCGAGATGGCACTTGCTTTGATATCGATTTACAAATCAAGTTACTGGTCGACCGGCATGCATATGCTCTGTGGATCACATTTGATAGGGAAACCGTATTCCAGCATCAAGGTCACAAATCGAGTATTCATAAATTGCAACAACAGCAATTTGAAAGAGAAACTGCCAACCTTGCAGTGACCACGGCCAATTCCAGCTTCATTCGTTCAAAATCTGTAAATTTACCCACCAATTCGCGAAAGACGCTTTTGGATAGTCCCACCACAGCCACCAACACCAAAAATGTGATGGGTGAGAACGCTTCTCAGGAGAGACCTTCTTTGGGTAAAATCACTAGCTTCTCGAGACCTGCATTTACATCTGCCTTACCAAAAAATGCAACTACGGGTTCTGTAGGCTCAAATCCTCCTCCTGCTGCATCTAAAAGTATATGGCCTCGTATTGGTGAGTACTCTGCCCAGACGCTCAAGACATCCATCCAAGACTATGCAATTGTTGACGAATTGGGTCAAGGAGCCTATGGTTTAGTCAAGTTAGCGTACCTCAAAAGCGATCCTGAAAAGGTAAGGACTCTATTGCATTTTTGATTGTAAGTGCAGTATCAATAACCTGGTTTATAGAAACGAGTTGTAATCAAATATGTGATCAAGTCTCGTATTCTAGTAGATTGCTGGACGCGAGACCGTAAGCTCGGCTTGATCCCGGCTGAAATTCACGTATTGCACACGCTGAGGAAGATTCCCCACGTCAATTGTAGTGACATGTGTAAGTTTGAAATTGTTCTACTGCAATTATCACATGTCATTCTAACATTGAGATATTAGTGGACTACTTTGAAGACGATGACAACTACTATGTGGTCATGGACTTGTATGGTGCTGGCATGGATCTATTCGACTACATTGAGTACAAGGAAAGCGGGCTGACCGAATCAGAAATTCGATCCATCTTTCGTCAAGTAGTAGCTGCTGTCGGACATTTGCATGACCACCGCATAGTTCATCGCGATATCAAGGACGAAAATGTGATTTTGGATCTTAAAGGCGGTGTTCGCTTGATTGATTTTGGTAGTGCTGCTTACATGAAGGAAGGACGGCAATATGAAACTTTTGTGGGCACGTTGGACTATGCTGCACCGGAGATTCTAAAGGGCCAAACATACACAGGACCACCGCAAGACATTTGGGCATGCGGTACTCTGTTGTACACACTGATTTACAGAGAGAATCCATTTTACAACATCGATGAAATCATGGAACGAGAATTGAGAATCCCTTTTGTGTTATCACAGGGTAAGTTTTTATCTGTCGTGATGTAAAAGCAAAAACTAATTTTCTCCCGCTGCAGAATCTGTGGATCTGATAAGACATATGCTTGAAAGAGATGTTCAGAAAAGATTGACCATTCATCAAGTATTGGACCATCCTTGGTTCAAGATGAATTAATGCTTTTTTCCCCCCCCCCAAACTGCCCAGATCGAATTTGTAAATATAAGGTGTAGAATAAAAACCTGCTCATACCCATTTTGCTCATCTGATGACAAAGATATTAATCACCCTTTTATTGAATCAATTTGCTTAGCTTAAAAAAATTGTCATACAAATATTCTCAACACCGTAATCCCATTGCTCAGGTTGCTATGGTAACATGTTTCGAACGAAAAGAACAAGTTTATTTGTTTTGAATACAAGAAAAAAAAGTGTACAATGATATCAGAGGAAAGAGAAAATGTAAAATATGATGAAGTGGTAATATAATAAAGTAATGCAAAAGAGAGGAAAAGACAAAAGTTACTGCAAATAATGAGTAGGGCTCGGACTAATACTCATGGCCATCATTCCGGATGTCACATCCTCATCTTCTGTCTCCTCCTCATCTTCTTCGTCACTCTCGTCCTCCTCATCATCTTCTGCAATCCACTCGAAATAGATGTCATCTATGTACGTACGGCTACCATCCAGCTTGTAAGGATCAAATGGAAAGAATGTTTGCACAGTTTGTAACAAGCTAGCACTTCCTAATCCTGGAACAAACACTTCTCGGTTCTTTTCCAAAACAGGGTATACGTACATGAAATGAGTATTGCGTGACAATTTGGCAAATTGTCGAACAACCGCAGGCGCACACAGCTTGAGAGGATTGAACTTGCTCATCACCAAACGAGGCAAGTTACGCAGACCAACGCACCAAGTGCGAGACGCACCATTACCAAAGCCAGATTCTGGGTGTGTTAAATGGCGATGTTCTTCTGAGATCATATCTTCCTCCATATCCTCTTCAATTTGTAGATCATTGTCAATCACCAAATCTCTCCAACGGAAACAAAAGATATACATGGTAGCTTGCACAACTGCGTAAAAGACATCGTGCTTTGTACAGTCCAAACTCACCACTTGAGATTCGTATTGATCCACATAATTGTCACACCACACAGACAGGGTCAAGATCACCTTTTGGATCGTGCTAGGGTCCAGAAACTTGGCACGAGCAACGTAAGATTGGATGTAGGCAGCAGCAGCAACACGAGTAACGTTAGGCTTGAGGGGGTCAGTAATGTGCTGAATCAGATGCTCTAAAAAGTAGTCGCTATAGACATTGACATTCAGGGAACAAAAGTAGAACAGCAAGAACTGGGTGTATCTTGATTTCAGGGTCTTGAGAACAGCACGATCAAAGATGTCCACCAACGAGTAAAAAATTTCATTCTGCACATCCACCGAGGCTGACTGAGCGCATTTGGAGAAATACTGAAATGACAAATTCATCATGGCATCCAATTTGCGTACCATATTCTTGATTTGCTGAATGGAATCCTTGCGATCTGTGTCATCATGAGAGATTTGAGAGTCGATACTGGCATCATCCGACATGTCGCCTTCTCCATCATCGAAATCATCGTCGTCTACTTCATCTTCACTTTGCTCTGAACTGTAGTCGTCATCGAAATTCATGTCGTATACATCAAATTCAACGTCTTCGTCCATTTCGTCCAATTCAATCTGGATTTGAGCATCGATTTGCACCATTTGATCAATCACTAGGCCCAAAATCTGTTTGCGCAACATGGGAACGTATTCAGAGACATAGAGAATGTTCTTGATATAAGCAGCTTGTTCTGCAGAATTGAATCGCTTGTGAGGCATGAATCGAACCAAGCTTACAAACAAGGAGTTGGCGCCTGTAGGAATCAGTTGAAGTATGCATTGCAGAGCTTCGTGACAGCGATCGTATGATGTCGTACGTGTCACGGCGGTACCCTCGGGAAGATGAGCACCTATTAGTGTGTGATGGTCAGTAGGCTATTCTGGGATAGTGCTAATCCAACACTTACGATATCTGAACCCTTGGACAAGAGCATTCAAAATGGGCACAACATAAAATGCATGAGCCGAAACAAGATTCTCCAAGAAATCAATGTATGCGTTCACAAATGCTCTGTTGCGGAAACTCCAATCCACCATGAGGGCAGCCTCCACCAGTGTAGCGCAGGATTTATCCAACAGAGAGACGGATTGAGAGAGGACCACAATCCAAGTATATAATTTGAGTGTGGAGGGTGCTTCAGGACTTGAAGGGTCTCTGCCGAGGATTTCCACCAATTCATTGTAGCGAGTTGTGTTTCCCTATTGAAATAAAGAATTGTGTTAATCATGCTTGTCATTGACGATAGGCAACAATGATAATAGAGTAAAAAGGAGAACAAAGAAGAAATAGAGCTTCTGCTTGGTTTTTTTTTTTGCATAAGAGGGGGATTCACGAGCTGTTTTCTTTTTGCGCAATGGATGATGATCTTCCAACTACCGAACAATATGTGTTATTCCCCATATATGAAAAAAAAATTGGCTCTTTCTTCCCGTTTGTATTTTAATTCAGATATAATCAAAGTATATGGAAATAATGGATATTATATAGATACTTTCTGGACCCTTTAAAAGCGATTAGCAATTACCCGAACGTAGACAAATGTTGCATTGAATACGGGGACATGCCGCAGTAGTTGGCTTTTTTTTTTTTTAGTGTAAAAAAAAAAGTTGACCCAAAAAAAACATTGCCATTATCAACATTGACCCCATACGAGCCATCATTGATAGACGAAAAGCAGCATGAAACCACAATATGACTCAATCCCACATAGAATGAAAATCAAGTGATATAATAGTTTACCTGTTCTTTTTCTCGGAGAGCGCCCAATACAAATGTTTTCATGATGAGCTTCATGTTGTTCAGCTTTTCTTTACTGACATTTTCATTAGTTTCTTCCTTCTCGGCAACGAGGGGTATATTGGAATTCTTGGGAAATTCTGAGCTATCTTGTACTGCAGCAGAGTTCATGTTGGGAGATCGCACTGGCATAATGGGATGATATGTTGTGTATATAAGGAAGAACAAGATGAATGAATGTTTTATGTTTTTTTTTTTTTTTTTTTTTTTTGATGTAATGTCATAAACAGTCCATTTTTTAATGGTGGCTCATCTAGGCTACTATGCATTTGAATAAAGGAGTGATTGGGCATTTAAGCTTTCAACCGTAACACAGCTTGCTCTGTCAAGCAGCACAAATTTACATTTAGGAATCCCCGAGAGAAGGTGACCCCAATACAGTAATGTCACCTTTTTGAAATGTCGTACTGATTCTTGGAAGGAGATTATTTAAAGAGCATCAAATGTTGGCATCCTTTTCCCTTTCCTCTTTCCTCACATTTCATCTTCTTTTTCTTGTTTGACCCAGACACTCAAATGTACAATCAACATGTCAAGTAAGTAGAGATTCAACATGGTGGCATTGTATTCGCTCATGTCTCATTCTCTGATGTGTGCCAATAGTCAATGTTATCATGGCGTAAATCATGATCTGTTTGCAGAGACCTTAAATCAGGCACAAGATCAAGCATGTGTGGCCACCAGCAACGTCTACCCATGTGTCACTTCTACTACATACCACGCTCAACAGATGTTGGCCTCACCTTCACTTGAGGAGCAAGAGGAGATTGGGTGGTACAGACAGGATAATACCTACTATCAGCAGCAACCAGCGCAAGTCGGTCATAGCTTAAATTCCCTCTCTTGTACATTTGGCCCCAATGATCTGACAAGCCCTCAGGAGCTTGTGTTGTTTAACCTATTGCAAGATCAACAGCAACAAGGCATATGCTATCAAGACAGTCAATTAATTCAACACGATGAGCAGGACCCATCGTTGAATGAATGGGTGCTTGTCAATTCTAATCACATCGATCTACATCCCATCAATCACTCGAATGGCCTTCTTCCGCTCTCTCCTATGAGTATGCCATCAGCTGATAATTTTGATTCGTCTCCCCTGGTGGGTGGTGGTGCCTCTTTTTCTCATCGCATGTACTCCCAAACAGATTCATCTCTTCCTCATCATCTATTATCAGCACCACCAACAGCAGCAACAGCAGCAGCTCAAAGACACTATTATCATCACCACTTAATATTCAACAACAGCCATTCTGACATCTTTGCATCTCAATTTACTAGTAAGAGTATTCAATCACAAGAAATGGCACAAATGCAATATCAACAAGAGTTAGAACAAGTGTATCAAATGAATGAGATTAAACAAAAAGATTATTTCACCTTTGATAAACAACAACAACAACAACAACAACAACAACAACAACAACAACAACAACAACAACAACAACAACAACGACCTAAACAGCGGAAAAAGACCACTAGAAGAAGAGCTTCTCGTAGCCAGCTTCAATGCACAACATGTTTCAAGACCTTCTCTCGTCCATACAACCTCAAATCACATCAGAGAACACACACAAAAGAACGCCCATTTCAATGCCTTCATCCTGAATGTGGATGGACATTTGCTCGTCCTCATGATCTCAAAAGACACGAGCTTTTACACTCTGGTGTCAAACCATTTGCATGTGTCTGTGGTAAGCGGTTCGCAAGAAGCGATGCTTACAAGAGACATCAATCTGTAGACATCAATTGTGCCATTTCCACTACCCCTCAACAAAGAAAAAAACGACCAAGAAGCAACAATATAACTGAAGACACAACTTTATGAACCAATATTCACAATTAAGAATTCCTGATAACACTATGCCATCCCGTTTTACTACACAGTCATGCCATGCACTTTTTTTTTCTATCTTCTCAATTCATCCATCCTATGTATACCTTCACTCTTAAAAAGACATATATCCTTCAATAAAACTTTGACCATTAGAATATGATCAAAGATGGGAAACTTGTTGTGATCAGTCAGGATGAATGTTACCACAATTTATCAGAGTTAGATTATAGTGACCTAGTGTGTTACCCTCATGTTGATATTTTTGGGGGGTTTTTAAGGTGAGGTAGAGAGTGATGGTGACAAACATCTATATATAATTTCACGGATTGCATGTCCTTGTTCGCGGCATTTTCTGCCGAACAATGCAGCGTACTACATGTTCCACTGATCTCACTTCACTGGCCTCATTTCATATAAACTCCCTGTAAAAAGAAACATATGTCTATTTTGTTTGCTTCATTTCTGTAAGCAAAATAGAAGTTTGGCGTTCAACAAGGGGGATGGGTGACAAAAAAGCTTATTTTTGATTTAAAACATCATTATAAGATATATGTAAAACAAAGTTAGAGTTCCTCTTGATTTATAGAGATATTCATTGCACCTCGTTCTTCTTATAACCATGCTGTATGCCGATGGGTTATCACAGGTCTAGATTGAAAAGGAAAGATATTAAGTGTATTGACTACGCAGTTTGTATCATTCGTTCGTTCTTCCCAATGGCACACAACAAAAGCAACATCTCACAAGCTTACTGTTATTATGCCTATATTTGAATGATAATAAAAAGTGTCCTAGTTTCTATAAATGATCGCCTTCCAAGACAAAGCGTATTGACATGAACTATTTGGGGATCAACGTGTTTGTTATAAAAAAAAATTAGTTCTAGAAACATCAAAAGTCATGATGCCTTCATTCTAATTTCATGCTTACTGAAAATGAAGTTCAGTGAATACATATCGCGACATGAGTTTATATGCTTGTTATCAGATATGTTGTCTAGTTCTTTACATATATCGAGATTCCTGATTGTATGTTCTTACAGTACAGCACAATTTTGTTCGCGTTGGGTTAATATTTTGTCGCATTTATTCAGGTAATCATACGAACGCTTGTTTGTTTGTTTTTGACATACTTCAAGAAATCAACATCAGTCATATAAATGGTATAAAACCGTGTTCTTTCATCCTTTTAGCACCAATAAATTAAGCAAACAAGAGGTCTTCGTAAGACAAATTGCATCTAAATCTCTTGTCGGGCCATGGAACAAATACAGAAGCTTTTGGATTCTAATTGAGCTGATTGTGTAGTTCTGTATTACTTTAAACAGACAATGAATATCCAGAAGAAAGACTGCCTTACTGGAACTTCTAAGTGAAGAGAAGGTTGTTGTATCCAATGCCATGCGACTCGATACCATGTTTATGCGGACGCGCATCATATTTCGGGTTTATCGCACGATAATGTGAGACGATAGGGCTAGTTCATTTTCTGTCATACCCCAGATCTTTTAGAATAATATGAATGCATATACAATGATGTGATAAAAAGAAGGCTTGTATATATTCCTATGAATTATCCATCTTTCAAGTAAAAAAAAAAAAAAAGATACACGATGAATACGCGCAAAGCGCAGTCAGTAAGCCTTCGTAGCTCTAAACCCTTTATTTACGTCTACATGGAATCTGCAAGCCTCAGTGAAGCAAATATAATACATACAAAGTCATCATATGCATTTATTCACAGGTATCTATCCTACTACTGTCTTAAACTGGAAAACAAGGCGTCACCGGCTGCTTTCCCAGCAAAATGCTTTTGATTTTGTTCTGATTACAGATGTTCAGCCATTGAATCTAAGAATACTAATAAGTTGTGTATCATGTAATGGTGATTAAACGTAATTCTTCTTGGCTCAATAATGGCCAGTATATCAATACTTTGTGATTCCTTAGCCATTGATATATATATATATATATATATATGTACAATGAAAGATGCATTCGGCTTCCTCCCAAGCTCAAATGTATGATTCCAGCAAAAAGAAGAGCTTCAACATGCTCCTAGGAAACCTACTCGTGACAGATATGAGTATCGCGCCAGCAAACGATAAAAACGTAAGTATAAAATGTAGTGAGACAATACAAATAAGAGACAGAACTTGTTGGAATATCAAGCAAAATACTCATTGCCGCTATCCACTTGAAAGTATGTTTGCTAGCTTCTTGCCTCCACGTTTTACCTTACAGACATGCAAGATGAGATCCAGTAGTACTTAATCCTCAAGGTACCCTCATCGTCTGTATCAAATCGCAGATCCAAATATGTAATTGCCTCAGGTACCTTCTCTGCCAGCGAATCCCTCCATCAGAAAACTTGGTTGATTGTCAAAGTGAGCTTACGGTCGCGTCAAAATTAATACAGTTGTAGCAAAGTACTTCGATATACAAAGATCCTTCTTTTCATAGTTAATCCTCTTATAAAGTATTTAAGCTCTCCATCAAAAGTTGCTAATTATATCCAGCCAAGTGCATCGCAGAAGAACCGTAACATGTTATGACATGATTTGCTGTGGTCGTTGATCTCACATCCTTTGCTATTTTAATGCGATTTCTTTTGTTGTAGAGTAGTCTATTCCTGTTCGTACAATTCGTGGATAATATAATTTTATGATAGATTCTTTTAGTGGTATAGCAAGCTTTCAGTTCAAGTCGCCCCAGTTTCTCGTCCTTCCAGCCTTGAACATTCCTAATCAATCAGGCACCATGACTCATCTTGTCCATGAGAAAAAATGTCCTTTAAAAATTTACCCTCTGCTTGACTCTGCCCCCAATCTCATTAGTTATAGATATGCTTTCAGGGGAGTCGCTCATGGTACTGAATGATACTAATCCCAAAGAAGTGCTTTAAACGATTGAAATAAAAGATTAGAAGGTTGGAAGAAAAAAAAGGACACCAAGCAATGTTTGCTCTTGATAGCTCAAATTACACTTGAATGTCCGCAAATCAATCTAATATGTGCAACAAGGAGCTGCAATGTTTATTACCTTGATAGAATACTTGTCTCAAAGCAGTACATTTTACCCTTCACTTTCCACAGCTACTGCTTTGATGTCTGCTATTTTGTTTGTAGCTTGAGTGTATAAGGAGATCGCGTATTTCTAATTTAAGTAATTTGAAAGAAGTTGATATACCTCGATCTCACAAATGTCCATATCGGTTTTGAAAGGTTCCACAAACTCATGATGTGTTTTGTGCGATCGTGAAGGTTTCAGTATTGAAGATCACTTGTACTTGGCACACAAAAAGTTCAATTTCAGTAACTAATTTCATGAAAAAGTAGATGTGCATCATGAGATGTCAACATGCTGTTTTATCAGACCACTTTTTGTGGTATAATACCTAGTTGTTAACTGTTGCGCAGCATTTGTTGTCAGGCTAATATTTTGAATGTAATTGCATCACAAGATTGTATGTTTCAAGATCTACCACAAATCATTTACAGTGTGCTTGTATATCCGGCAATCAAGACAAAAGCTAATGATAGGGTGCGAGTTTTTCATCATGGTGTTGGGTGTAATTACTGGCATTCGATTTTCTCTCATTTGATATTCAAGGATCCGTACCAAGTACGTACTTGTAAGCAACAAGCATGTACACGGATGAGATAATATGCAACCTTTCATGTTTCGCCTCGTTATGAGGAATCAATTAGTAATCGTATTCTGATAAGAATTTGCGGGTAACTGCATCAGTTTGTACCAAAAAAAAAAGACAATAGATTCAATTTTATAGCCTATGCTACTGATACATACTAAAATTACACCTTTTAAATCTTCTAATATCACATGGAATCTCTTGAAAACGCATCTTTAACTGAAGATCTAGTTCTGCTGCAATGTTCCACATCCGGTTCAAGGAAAATAATACACAAACGGGTAGATGGCATACTTGCATCACGTCTTACTACTCTAAACTAGGAAAAACACAGCCAAATATGGGTGTACTTGAGCGAAGTTTTTTAGCGATAGAGGCCGTTTTAGACTGCCAGAATAGCACCAAACAGTTGCTCTCATCTAGCAGTTACTTATTGCGACCTTTGCTCAACTTTTTGGGGATCAAAAAAAACATGGATGAAAATCGACCAAAAAGTATGAGGTACCCCTCATAGTTTTCATCGAGAATCAAATGACCGCGTTTTTGATCTTGATAATAAAGACTTTTGCTATGGTATATCATGAATCAAAATGTTTCTATCAATCCAACGTAGCTCTTGAAATCATCTTCGTGGGACCTTGATATGTAAAATTTCGACTTTTCGGCCAGAAACCTTTTTTCATATCTTCATAAATTGCTTGATGAATTTATTCAAAATATCTATATTACTTGGTACCATTTGATGCGCCTTGAAAAGTACTTCTAGGAAGCTTAAGGAAGTTTGTAGTGATCATCACAATTTACATAGTCGAATATCACAAAGTAAGTTAATTGAGTCGATTTTGTTTAGAGTTTGTCCAATCTGGAGTAGAAATCTAGAGGAGCTTAAACAGAGACTTGGCTGGCAAACTTAATGATGCCTTTCATGTGAAGTTAATTGATTATTCTAGAGCTAATCAGAGGGAGGTTACAAACTAAAAGGGCAGCTACTCTCTCTAACGTTTGGTGCACATTATTATGTCTGATGCATGGGTTTAATCTATGCCAATTGCGGATCAAAACGAATCCTAATGCGAACTGCAAACCTATCACCCTATTCAGAAATACATCTGATGCTTCAATGTAAACTCTGCTTGATATATTCCAGAATTCTGCTTTTTGACTGTAATTTGACGGTTGTTGTAGCAATAATAGTGCTGAAAATGATATAAAGCTTTAAGATAGATCCATTTCTCGCAAGTCATTCTGTTAAAATGTGATGGCATAAAGTAGGCTAAAAAGAATCAAAGCAAACCGTGGCTTGTATTCAATACTTCCAGAAAAAGTACCTAAGCAAGTGTGGCCTATTTAATCCCTCGTTAGATCATTAGCTATAGCAATTACTTGAGGGTTTCTCAATATCTTTTGTCACGATAAATGCTCAAGATCTCCTTTTTTGCATTACGTGCGGTGATTTTCCGAGTGAATCACCGACCCTTGTGAAGAGTCATTCTCTTTCTTTTAGATCCGTCTTCCATCTTTTTTCCTGTCAGTCATAGATATAGATTTTCCTTACTACTTTTTTTTAAAGCATCTCGAATTTTATTTTGTTTTATCAGACATCTTTCTTTTACATCAAACACAAACTACAAAATGGCTTTATTAAACAGGTTTGTGCGAGACGAAACAGAAAATGTGATCGATACTGACTTTCATGCTTAACAGCAATTGTCCCGACCTCAAGCTCGTTGCCCGTGGTAAGGTGCGCGATTTGTATGAAGTTGATGAAAAATCTCTCCTATTCGTTGCCACTGATCGTATCAGTGCATTTGACGTGATTATGAAGAATGTAAGTATCTGGCTTCTCAAACAATCTGTATACAGACTGAGGGAGGGGGTTTGTTGGCAAAGAAGGGAGGATTCGGGATCATGCATGCTTCTTTTCCACTCCACCTCATCTCTTATTAGCAAGCAGGAGTATTAAATGTATTTATATTAATTAGTCAATTCCCGGCAAGGGCAAGATCTTGACAGAAATTTCCTTGTTTTGGTTTGATCTCTTAAAGGATGTGTTGCCCAACCACTTGATTACTGCCAACTTTGATGAAATGCCTGAAAAGGTTCAAAAATACCGTGAGCAACTTGAAGGTCGTTCTATTTTGGTGAAGAAGATGCGTGTTGTCCCTATTGAAGCTATTGTTCGTGGCTATATCACAGGCTCTGGTTGGTCAGAATACAAGAAGAAGGGTACCATTTGTGATATTCCCCTTCCAAACGGTTTGGTCGAGAGCGAGAAGCTCCCTGAAGTTCTTTTTACTCCTAGTACTAAGGCTGAAATCGGTGATCATGGTAAGTAATAACGGCGCACTGGAATCATCAGGCAGCATGTGTTCTAATGGAAAGAATGCTACAGACGAGAATATTCACCCTTCCAAGATGGTTGAAATTTTGGGCGACAAAAAGTTAGCTGATCAAATTGCTCAATCTGCTATTGCGCTCTATACTAAAGCCAGTGAATACGCTGCCAGCAAGGGCATTATTATTGCTGATACCAAGTTTGAATTTGGTTTGGATGAGGATAACAACTTGGTATTGGTTGACGAAGTATTGACTCCCGGTATGTATCGAGTGAACAAGGTTCAACATTGCACTCCCTAATAGGGCCAAACACATAGATTCTTCTCGTTTCTGGCCTGCCAACAAATATGAAGCTGGCCGTACACAGGACAGTTTTGACAAGCAATTCTTGCGTAATTACCTCGAATCCATCAACTTTGACAAGAACACTAGCATTGAGCTTCCTCAAGATGTGATTGAAAACACTCTCTCCAAGTATAAGGAGGCTTTCCAACTGTTGACTGGCAGAGAGGTTAACTTGTAATAAAAGATTTGTTCGTTTGAATGCTGTATATTGTAAAATAAAAAAAGCCGGAGATGTCTCCTGCATATTAATGTTAACACACCATTGTCAAAATGTATAGAAATAGCGTGCTATTTCGCCACTTCATGTTGGATTCAGGCACCCACATTTCCCAACCTGCTTGTTTCAGGCTCTAAATATAGGTTTTCTAGATTTGTATTCAAAAGCATGAATCTTGAATAAAGATCAGTAGCGTGATTTGAGTTTTACAATGCTACTGAGCTCTCTTTTTTTTTTTCAAATATAAAGAACTCGCCTAAATGTGTCAGTGAAACAATACCATTGTATCTACTATCCACTACTGTGCACTATACATCATAGTGTCCATACACAGATGCCAAGAGGATCTTCATGTCTAATTCACTAGCTGTTAGACTTGATTGTTGGCTCGAATTTGATCAATGAGCACCAGGCAATATCACAAATGCTAAAATATCCATGATTTACAGGTTCAACCAAATAAAGAATGATGTCTGTTGCAAGAATGTATACACCATAGAATGCTTGGAATATCATATCAAGCATGTTTTTTTTGAGTGTCTTGTAACCCTGGGTTTTAATGATCCTCTTACTACATTTGCAATAGCTGCATTATGGTACCGTCCATGTCTATCTTACAAGACACACATGTTATTTGAAATGCGCATCGTACTTGATTCAAAGTAGTTAGGCTGTATCAGCAAGGAAACGCAGAAAAAATAATCTTAATTCTTTCAATAAATATAGAACGGTCAACAGAGGGCAACCAAGAAGGAGCTTGCCATCTCTTTATGGTAGACGAGAAGGAGCTCTTTCCTATTAATAACAACTTGATGGTTACAAGTATAGTTTTTTTCTGTGAATTCTCTCATGTTGAATAGAATGTGTATAAAATGGGATAATAAAGACTAAAATGTACGTATTATGGCATTGAAATTGCTGATCCTATCCACGCTGACGGCTCAATACAAATGATGAACCCACGCTATTATCATATATCATTAATTGCAACTATACATTTTAGCTCATGTATACAAGTTCATTTGTCTGTGCTCCAAGTGATAGCAAGCCATTTATATTTAATCAAGCTATCGCCTTAATAAATGTGTCACCAGCAGCAATTTTTGTAACACTGCTAATTGTTTGAGTGGGTGAATATACCCAGATTTAGTTTGGTGCTCCTTGCTATCGAAATCAAACAGAGTTGAATAGCTTTAATTTCAACTCCTTTTAGCGAAGAAGAAGTTCCCTTATTTATATCAATTGTCTAAATCTCTTATTCCCTTCCTCTTCTTTCTTTCTTCATCTCTCTCTCTCTCTCTCTCTCTTTTATTTATCTGTAATATTAATACCTAATATTTATACACTGCTATAAATATTATAATAGATCTACCCAATCCTTTCATTTTTATTAATAACCCATTACCATCCTTTTTCGCAAATCGACATTACAATGGTCTCAGTCCGTACTTCTAGTTTGATCGCAGCATCAGTTGCTCTTCTTTCATCTTATGTCAATGCATACGGTCAAATCGCCCAAGTAGTTGATGCAAACAACTTTTGTGTATTCTTGCCTCCCAACGACTCAAAAGACAGAATTATCGCTGATACAGAATGGAATGCTCAAGCTTTCTGTATTGGTAACACTCCAAAAGCTAAAAACGCTGGCAAGTTGGATTCCGGTTTCATTCAATCAGCACACTATCTCAAGACTGATCAATACGTCCAAGTAACAGGTCAAATCAATCCTGCCAAGGCCAGATTGATTGCCTCTGATGAAGGTGGTCAAATGGATGTCAGAGCTCCTATGGGATCCAGTTGTGCTGGTTGGAAGTATTATGTCAATTTGATTGAACCCGCTGGCAATACTTATTGTATGCGTTGTTGTGTAAGCATTCATGATGATTCCATATGTTATTCACCTTGCTAACATTGTCTACTACAGAATGATGACAGAACCTGTAATCGTGGTATCTCCGAGAAGGGTTGTGCTCACATTATTCCTGGTGACTACAGTGGTCCTTATGGCGATAATGGATCTTCGTCATCTGGCGCTGCTGATACTACCACAAAGGCTACTACTACCAAGGCCACAACTAAGACTACAGAGAAGGCCACCAAGACTTCTTCTTCTACCGCCAAGAGTGCTCCTACCACTAAGACTAATGCTGCTGATACTTCTAAGGCTACCGAAGGCTCCAATGACTCCAAGGCTACTGAAGGTTCTGGTGCCTCTGATGCCTCTGATGCCTCCGGTGCCACCACTGGAAATGGTTCTTCTGATAAAGCTTCTTCTGGAACCTCTGGTGATGAGAGCGCTAATGCCAATCGCGGTGCTCAAGATATTACTTCCCCTACTACTCCCGCTGCTGCCAAAAACGAACCTGTCCTTGCCACTTCCTCTGCAGGCTCTCCTACCGCTACCACCGCTGATGGTGCTTCTGGCACCGTTACTCCTCCTACCACTGAGATGCTGAGCCAAAACGACAAGGTTTCCGAGCAATCTGTAAACGGAGCTGATCATTTCCAGCCCACCCTTATGACTCTTGCTGCTGTTATGGTTACCATGGCCATGATGATGCTTCAATAAATTTTTTATGGCTGCTTGCTCAGACTAGCTTTCATATTCTTAATCGCTCTTTTCGATATTTGCCTATTACAAGAAGTCTTGCTCTTTGTAATATTCTTTTAGCTTTGTATTTTCATATACGTATACCTCCTTGCCAACATCAACTTTTATATAAATGAAAGAACTATCTCCCTGAGTCAATATTCTTCAAAAGAAGCTGTATTCTCCATTTTTAGTCATTATATTTCAACCATAATAAAGCTTAATCAATGCATTTATCCATCAAATCCCAATAATCTGATAACAAACATTTGCATCAAATATATACACGGATGACCACATTGACTAGTTGCGATGTATGAAATCGAATATTGCATCTAAAATGGATTTGTGATATTTGATCAAGACATCATACATCATTCCTCTCGTCGTGTAGCAGTAAAACAAGATTTTATCATATTGTTGACAAAAGACAAGTTGTTTCCTAACACCTAAATGGTGGTACAACAGTTTTTCTGGATAATCTTACAAGAAAATGAGGAAGCATCACTTTTTAATCAGAGAAGTGTTTGCTTTAGAGTAGCACTAGTTGTACTTTGATGGGAGTGGTTTAGCAATCAATAGATTTCATCATTTGGCTAGATGTTTACCAAGTTGTTTAAATTTATACTGCTGTTCATGCTCTTAAATTGTACTAATAACTCATTATACATTAAACACTTGTATACATCATATACAGTATAAAATACATTACATTTTATTCATGTCAAATGAATACGACAGAAGTCGACGCCTATTTTAAATGCCAATAAAAGAGCGAGATTACTCAGTAGTTTGACTGCAGATCTCTAATCATGAGGCGCATCAGTATTTACAAATCTATCAATTCTGTCAGGTTGGACAAAGAACCAACTTCTACATAATAATCTTTTTTAATGCAGGTACAACTTTAATTGAATGTTACACACCATTTTCTAATAATAACCTTCTTTCTCAAAACTGAAAAATTGGTTTATTGTCCCTGCATTTGTTGCGGCATAAGTCAAGATCATTTACCAAAACAAACAGATTGTTTAAATTAATGTGTATAAGTCTAAATCAACTTTCAAGTCAAACCATTGCTTTTTAAGCAAGAATTTTGAAATGTGAGCTGGTCTTACAAAGATCAAAGTACAATGTGCTGTAATACACGCAGCTTTACATAATGTGCCTCATTAATAAATGAATATACTTTATGAAGAACAGACATTTGAGGTAACCTTTTTTATGATGCACGTGTCCTTTGATTCATTGAGGTTTTTTGTCTTTGCTTAATCTGCCTTATTATTGATTTCATAGGCTCTTTAGGCTTGTGTTATGTGTAACATGTGTATACAACTTTTCATCAAAACATCCACTATGTATCAAGCAGCTACAAAGACAATGTGAAAACTGGGCTTTGTCAATCTCGTGTTGCATATGCTTACTATCTGTATAATCCACAATAGATAGTCAACTTCACCGCCAACTTTTTTTTTCTATAAAATGTTACATGAAGTGTTTTAATCCACTGCTTCAATAAATCTGCTATTGCGTCCTTTCAACTTATAGAGAGAGAGAGAGATGAAAGGTATTGCTCAAAGAAACTACAATCTACTGCATTATAGATCATAGGGCACTATTTAAATATTACGACTAATGCCTTACTTCTATGCTCTATTTTCAAAAATGTTGCGCTCAAGGATTTTTAGAGTATATAAATGTACTAGCCGATCAATCTTACTACGCTTGATGATGGCGTCGCCCTGCGGGTTCTCGCCGATGACATTCCAAATCCGAGAAAATAAAAATCTGGCTTATCAAGTGGATTTTAAACAGCCAGTTAATAGTAAGAAGAAAAAAAGTTATATCAGAGTCATGAAGGGGGTTATTCATTCGATAATGTTGCTCTTGAGATGGCAGCATAAAGCTGGCCATGTGTAAATACAGGATTTGTATAAGAACTACAGCGACTTTTTTGAGATATTGTCATTTCAAAAGACATCTTATTGCAGGGAAAAACTTCCAAGAAAGAAAAAAAGTATTTAGGGTAGGCAATTGTAACTTCAACTCCATAATCCCCATTTGACCAGCATCGTAACCATCATTGCTATCATCATTGTCATTATCAGAAAGGCATTTGTTCAGCCAACAGCAGCGACACCTGCCAAGTTTAGTTTAAACTCAGTTTATATCTTCTGTTCAAGATTGGACAAATTTTGTCTTTGTCGACTTCTTTAATCTACTTTGAGGTATTCGATTATATAAATTGTGATAATCACCCTACGCTTCCTAATACATTCTTGGAGCACTTTTCAAGGCGCTCCCAATGGTGCCAAGCAGATTAGATGTTTTGAATAAACTCATTGAGCAATTTCAAAACGTGTAAATGAGGCTTTTTGGCCAAAACGTCGAAATTTTGCATATGAAGACCTGATAAAAGTGGCTTCAGAAGTTGCTTTGGATCGAGAGAAACATTTTGATTCAATATATACCGTAGTAAAAGTCTTCATTATCAAGTTCAAAAACGCGATTGTTTAATTTTCGATGAAAATCAGGAGGGGTACCTCATGCTTTTTGGTCGAATTTTGGCCATGTTTTTTTGGGTTCCCAAAAAGTTGAGCAAAAGTGCCAGGAAGTTACTGCTACTCAAGTACAATTGTTTGGCGTCATTCCGGTGGCTCAGAAAGATCTGCGTGTCAGGATATGAAGGCTTGAAAGCTGTTAAATTTGGCTGTATTTTTGCTTTATGGCTTTTATTTGCACGGCATGGACCACATCTTTAGTAGCTGAAGTCTTCTGGAAGGGCAGTTCTGCAGCCTGTGCAACTTCTAATTCGAATAAAAGGCATATTGATTTTGGTGAGACTAATTCATGCAGATTTTGATGTGTTTTGTTGTTGGTAAGCTTTTATATTATATGATGATGTGGGTTAAATCGAGATGAGGTACAGGCTTTCAGCTCAATACGAATACAGTCTTTGCTAATTAAATTGATTAAATTGAGCTCCCAGAAACCGGAATTACGTTTCCACAAAATTAAAAGAAGGCATCTCACAACTTGGAGGAGATGTCGATGCTAGAACATTATACAGTACCAGCCTAACAATGCCGGCTACCCATAATAAACACAGCATATTCGCAAGCAAATTAATCAATTGTGGTGACGGTTCATCATCTGTTGCTCAAATATTCAAAGCTTAAAAGCTCTCCTTTCGTTTGCTATTTTTACAATTCAACTATCTCAACACAATGGCTGGAGATGAGGACCAACATTTAGACGATCGAGTGAAAGAACTGATGCTTGAGTTAGACATTCTCAGGTTTGATCGCAGCGATCTGTTATATACAGCTTGTTATTGCGAGGAAAACATTTACATGCTTTGCTCTGAGATCCTTAAGAAAAGGCCTGAATTGATAGATGACTTTTCAGTCATGTTTATTAGCAATGATCATAGGTCGGTGCCTTTATGGCAGCAGCGAGCTGGAAGTGGAGATGAGCATGCTGTTCTTTGGGTATGTATAGATTGTAGTGGCAATAGTTGACACATGTTTTACTCGAATGCAAATCAACTAGGATTATCATGTGGTGCTTTATTACAAACAAGACAGGTCAGCAAGAAGAAAAGTGCACATTGGCAATGCAGATATTGACTCTGCTTTTACTAATATAGCGAAGCATTGATTTATGATTTCGATACTCTGTTACCATTCCCCAGTCCTGCAGATTTTTATGCATTGGAAACCTTCAAACCAAACATGCTAGTAAAAGATGAATACAGGCATATGTTTCGACTCATTCCTGCAAAAGAATACTTGAATCGCTTTGAATCTGATAGAAGTCATATGGTAAGTGCTCATTTGGATTGAAATGCACAGAGCATTAAGCAACGACTATAGCTGAATGAAAGAGGTGAATACATTGCAGCACCACCACACTACCCAGCCATTTCAAAGAAGGGCAAATCCAACTTGGACAATTACATTTCCATGAAACAAGATGCTTTGCAAGATGCCTATGGCACTGTTATGACGAGCGATAATTTATACCAATCCTTATTCAATAAAGCCTGAAAGGTAGATTCTGTACTCGACATGGTGGCACCGAAGCTTATATCGGAGATGTGAAATAACAAGTTCAAACTGGCTTCCCCACATCATCAAAAAAAGCTTTTTTTGCTCTGCCCTCTTTTCTTCGTCTTCTTCTTTTCTGCTCTTATCTCTTTTCTCTCTCAAGTTTCACTCCTTTTTCAAATTTGTATTATATATCATGGCACGAAAAGCACCAAATATCTCTGAAGCCAAGCTCACTCGACTACTAGAGTATAATAAAAACCTCAGACAACAACTGGATATTCCCAGAATAACAATATCAGAAGCATCCACAAGGTAAATCCTGTTGAATTAAATTAACATTAATGCAAATTCTAACAAGAAGCAAAGCTTAATATTGTATTGCAAAGAAACTAAAGACCCATTAGTTCCTTCAGTGTGGGGACCTACTGATAAAAAGGAAGATCCATTCGCACCATCACACAGTGGAGGCTGCTGCACAATCATGTAATTTACTTTATTTGATGGCTGAAAGCGAGCCCTTGCTTCTTATTGCTACTACTACTACCACACCACTATCATTTTTTGCTCTCTCATGGTTGCCCATACATCTCAATACTTTCATTGTATTCATATCCTATTGATCTGATTCCATATTATCCCACACACCGACACACATATACATGTCCCACACCATTCTACATCTCTATACATAAAACCAATTCCTCAAAATATTTATTTCGGTTGAATAAATGGGTTTAATCGGTTCACGTTAATCCTCCTTATGATTTCTACCACCTCTCAGCACTTTCTGTCTCCTTAAATATATATAAAAGGGGTTACTTGTTTAGTATTTTGGGTCGATTTTGCCAGTGGACTCGAATAGTTTGATCGCTTCTATCAATGACTCTTCAGGAACTCGATGTTGCATGAGAAATTTGTCATTCATGTGCAAAACTGGCACGTCAAATATGTATTTGTCACGGAACTCTTTGGGACACTCTTCTTTGTGGATGTCCAATACTTTTAAGCTAAAAGGAATCTATGATATAATGGTAAATCTTCAACATGCTCATGATATGACGAAATCAGTTACCTTTTGCTGTACTCGTAAAATGTTTTCTCTTGCTGTTGTGCACAAAGAGCATGTGCTAGAAGAGAATAGAGTCAGTGCTACTTTTCTGGTTGCCATGGTTGTTTTTAATCAGAAAAGAAATACGCACCAACTCTGACGGTAGCTTGAACAGGGTTTCCTATGCTGGGTGAGTTTTTGGATCCCAGAAATCAGAACTAGCTCTTCAAAACCAAGAGGCAGAAGCAAGAAATCATCCAAATCAAGTAATACGGATGCTCAATTAAGGAGTGATTATGGTACTCACAATTCAAAAGATTACAGCTGTTCTCATATCGTTGTTAAAAGAGCACTAATCTCCAGCATGATGGCCAACAATGATGCTGATGTGAGAGCCATCTTTAACATTGGTGAATGTAAATCGTGCAAACTGTTGCCCAAGCCCAGTTTAAAGGAGGTATAATGACACATCCTCAAATCAAGCTCTCTGGAGCCGCCAGCGTCATAGTGATTTTGAGCAGTAAGCATCTTGATCCCACGCTTGCTTTGATGATTTTAAGGTTGCATTAAATGCACTATCGACAGTCCATGTCTGATGGTCACAATATCGAATTTTTTTCTTACAATTTCACCCTATTGTCCTTCCTCCTAACCCCAAACCACTAAACACATGGTCAAGAAACAAAAGAAAAAGCAACCGATTACAGCCAGAACACAACCTACCGACGCAAAATTCAAACACTCTCGAGTAGAAACAGCCCGTCTGATTCGAAAATTTCATGTATTGAACAAGGAGCTTGCCAAATGTAAAGCAGATCCACAATTCATCAAGCGAGAGCAAGAGATTTTAAAAGAAATGGAGGCCATGGGAGGGCTGGATTGGTATCAAAAGGCCTCTCAGTTGGGACAAAGTAAATCGAGAGGAGGAGATTCTTCCAAATGGCTGATTCAGACACTCAAATCGCACTGCAATGAGCTTGTGGATCTCTGCAACAAACCTGTCAAAGTGCTGGACATTGGAGCAGTGGCGCCGGATAATTACAAACCTTACAGCTCTTGGATCACTGCAAAGCCTATTGATCTCAATCCACAAGACCCTGCGATACAAAAACAAGACTTTCTGCAGATGAAGCCGCCTAGCAAGGACGATAAATTTGACATTGTGTGCTTGAGTTTGGTGATCAATTTCGTGGGCGATCCCAAAGATAGAGGTGAATATTGATCGAATTACAGTGAATAATGGGAGTTGACTAATGCTTCAATGCAGGGCAAATGCTGAAACATACCCGAGATTTCTTTACCTTACCTTCAGTGGCTGGCCGCTTGCATCATTTATTCTTGGTGGTGCCTTTACCTTGCGTGAGCAACTCTCGCTACATGACACACGAACACTTGCTCAAGATGATGGGGTCTATAGGATACACCAGATGCATTCATAATCATTTCTCCAACAAACTAGCCTACTACCTCTTTGAACTAACAGGATTACCAGACACAACGCATGTAGAATGGAAAAAGAAGATTCTGCAAGACGGTGGTGGTCGTAACAATTTCGCTGTGGTCATGGAATAAACCAAATTTTATTGTAAATACATAATTCAATTGTCTTGGTCACTTTCTGGCAAAAATCCTCCTCCTCCTCCTCCTCCTCCTCCTCCTCCAGTGGCTTTATCTGCTGCTTCTTGTGTACTGTTATTATAATTCGCCCACTTATCCACCATCTTATCATGCGATCCATAAGCTTGATCCACTCTTGCTTTGATCAAAACGCTCTTGATCAGCTTTCTCCATCGAATATAGACATCCTTCTCTTGTTTGGCAATAGCTTTTAATGCCTCTTTTTGCTCGTGTTCTTCCCATGCCTCTAATAAAACCCACTTTTCTTGTTCTGCTACAATGATTCCATCCATCACTGGAACAGCTCTCATTTTCACAAATTCAAAATCGACAACTGCGTCTGCATAGTCTATGCCTAGTTTCTTTGCTAATTTTGCTATGCCTTTGACTAGCATGGGCTTAGTCATGTGCTCTAACGAGGGTTCCAAGGATTAACTTACTTGGTATATGGGCTGCTCCCAAAGGCAACATGTCTGGCGTAAATAAATCAATGCTGCCATAAGCGTTTTTAGGCAATTTTCCCTGTGTACAGAGTTAGTAAACAGAGCTCCGTTTATAAATTGGAATATACCTACATCTATGACAGGTGGAGGTACAAAAGGTTCTGTCTGCCAATCACCGTAACAAGCTACCAATAGATCATGACCTTCCTGCTTTGCTTGCTCTTTGATGCGCTTCTTTTCAAGTGTAAACACGTTCGCCTTGACCATCTTTGCTGGTTGCTCTCCTTCCTTGATCTGTCTACCTAGTTTGCGATACGTTTCCGCGGTACTGACTGTTTTGACATTGGCTCTAGGATAGATCTTTTCGCCTCGAATACTCCCCAGCACCGGTTCCTTTGGATACAAGACTTCGTACTTGAGTAAATGACGCTCCAATGCATACACGGGATGGTTTTTAAAGCCTCCTATAGCAGATGGCATCACTTGCCTCGTTCGCTGTTTCTCCATCTCTTCAAATTCAAGATGATCTCGCTCAACTTTCCTCTTTTTGCATACAGCTTCCAACAAGGATTCGGACCACATGCTCATACCACCTTGCTTTTCTCGCCGCGTGAGTGGACGCTCTCTCAATCGAATGGCTTTGTCCATGTTGGCCGTGTATCGTCTTGTCACATCTGTCACTTTGCTCTGGTTGTCAAATGCGAGTACAAACGAGATGTGATTGCCTCGATTCATAGTAGCTGGCTCCATGAGTGTGGGCTTATCAATTAATCCGCGAATTGGGTCGATTGTCATCCATCGTTTTGTATCGTTACAGTACACTTCACACCAAACAGTAGGCGGCTTGGCTTTGGTTTCCCTGAGCTGTACATTGGGATCGACATACGATTTAGTTGGCGCACGATACTTGAAAATGGGCTTGTTTGAATCCTCATTGGCTTCGTTTTCATCTGAAGCTTCTGTCTTTTGTATTGCTGCTTTGGATGGTGTGCCTGGCGTTACTTTGTATGGTACTGGTTGGAGAGATGCCACTAGGCGAACATCACATCCACACGCTCTCAAAATTACTGCGAATAATTCAGCAGCGGTATCCCGGGTACCTGATTTGGTGACAAGCAGCTGCATGAATGCCTCTACATCCTCTATATAATCACCATGTTCATCCGATTGATGGGCATCTATCCACTCTTTTAGAGTCTTGAAGCCATTGCAATAGTTTTCCAATTCTAGATATGGTCTTGTCAATAGCCCTGGTCCAGTTAACACAAAGAAATCGTGCCACCATTTCAATAACCATTTGATACCAGTTTTTAGCGCAGCCTCATCTGAATCTTCAGAGAGCAATCTGGAGCAATTGTCAGGGATGATAGACAAACAGACACTCTATATGCATTTCATATGAGATCAGCCTCTGTTAATATCACGGCTTCCTTGCATAGACATACCTTTATGTTTGTATCACAGCACCAGCTATTTCGCAGCTTGTAATGAGCAATCAGCGTTACGACATGACTATGATGCATCCACTCTCTCAGATTACGCTGATAGGCCCTCTCCCAATTTGATTCCCTGAGCAAACATCAGTCAGATCACGCTTCATTGAATTGCTATTGCACATTACTTTAATACAGCTCGAGGCTGTTCCATTACAATTTCTACATCTTGATAGACTGTTGGGGCAGCATCCATTTCCATACCATCCATCTTGTACTCTTGTTCATCCTCCTGATGTTGAAATCGTGGTGGCAGTTGAATCGTCTCCCAGTCTATATCGTCCTCTTCCTCATCGCCCACCTCGTCATGATGATCAGACGGAGCGACATCTGCCTCCACTGAATCTTCGTCCATCAAGTCTACCTGTTTCTGCTTTCCTTTCTCCTTCTTGGTTTGCTGCTCCAGCTTGGCCTTTTTTGGTGTTCTTTTCTTGATGTTTGATGTCTCGCCTGAAGGCTCCTTTCGCTTACTTGATCGGCGTGTAGCTACCATCTTACTGCGCACATGCTTTTTTTTTGACGGGAATGAAATTGAAAGAAAAAGAAAGGCGCTGCATTAATGCCCACCATTGTTTTGTGAATCCATTTCGAGCCCTTTTTTGTGTGGCTTTTTGTTTCTCCTCCACTTGGATGGACCAAACAATATCCTATCACTGTTACCAAATGTCAGACTTGAACTGACTGCTATCACGCTAGAACACTTCATAAACAAACTCTAACTATAAATATGACACTCCTGAGTTACTCCACGTCTGTATATATGTGAACAACTCATATGTAAACAGATGGCATACGTACAATGCCTCTTACTACTCAAGAGTATGTAAATTACAGCGAGATTTAAGTGCATTTAAGCCGTGTTTTTCGTGATAGAGGCTCTTTTAGACCTCAGAATAGCGCCAAACAATCGCTCTCGACTAGCAGTTACTTATTGACACCTTTGCTCAACTTTCTGGGAACCGAAAAAACATGGCCAAAATTCAGTCAAAAAGCATGAGGCACCCCTCATGCTTCTCATCTAAAACCAAACAATCGCATGTTTGACCTCGAAAATGAAGACTTCTACTACGACATATATTAATCCAAAATGATTCTCTTGACCCAAAGCAACCCCTCAAGTCATTTTTATGCTACCTTTAAACAGAAGATTTTGACTTTTTGACCAAAACCCTCATTTCATATTTTCCCAAATAAGTCGGTCATTTTGTTCAAAAAACTCTTTTACTTGGCACCATTGGATGCGCCTTGAAAAGTACTCCAAGAAAGCTTAGGGGTATGTTGGATTATCATGACAGTTTATATAGTCGAATCTTGCAAAAAAAAACAAATCAAGTCGATTATAATCAACATTCGTCCAACCCTAAAAATATGGAGAGCGGTGTTTGAGCACGTTTTCGCTGTTGGCTGACTAGCAAGTTGGATAATACTGATCATGAGGGGTATCAATGGTTTAAAAGCTGATGGGAACGATATTGCGAGCTGAGAAGTACCGCATAATTTTTCTCGCTGTTTTATGCATCTATGCATTTGACAAATTTAATTGCCTCATACACAAAAACACGAACAGAATGTCCAGAAAAAAGGTTTATTAAGTTTGAAGATATATATACATAGTTGAGATAGTCATGACTTAGGTAGCAGATGAATTAGAAGCAGTGTTTGGTAAAGAGAGTGAAGGAGATGAGTTGTCATTAGCGTTGCTGTTGTTGGATTCTTTGTCAGGCGACGTAGAAGCGGTAGGAGGTATAGCAGGAGCGGCAGCAGCAGCTTGAGCAGTAGTTGCTGCTGTCGTCGTACTAGTAGTGGTGCTTGTGGTGGCAGCTGGTTCTGCAAACGCACCTTGTCGTCTAATTTTGTCCATAAATCCAATGACACGAGCTAAATCAAGATCTGGAGGATCACTTTCGATAGCCAACGTCAAGGGTTCAACCAAATCATCAATCTTATCAATAGGCAGATTACAACATGCTGCAATAAGACGCTTGCATTCCATCTCTTTAGCAACGTAATCGCTCTGTAACTTCTTAATCTCGCTCCGCAAGGCTTCGTCGTTGGTTCTGTAAGCCTTCACTTTAGCTTGTATGTTGCGAATGTACTCGTCCAGCTTCTTTTTCTTTTCTTCTTCTGTAGCATCGTCTGGTACATGCAATTCAGGCACGTTGAAGAGCCCATCAATGTCTTCGTTTTCGTCAATGTTTTCGATGTCCTCTCGTCGAGGCATGGATTTACCCGACTTGGTAATGATGCTCTCCAGTTGCTTCCATCCTGCATCCAATGCCGCTTCTATGTTGCGTGTCTTTTGCTGTGCTTCGGATAATCGCTGTGATTGTGCTTGTCGTGTCTCTAACCCTTTTCGTGTCGTCTCTAGTTCTCGGACAACAGCATTCACTTCTTCTTGCACTGACTGTAATTCTTGTTCTTTGGCTGTTAATTGAGCGCCATACTCATCATCCAATGCATCTACAATCTTTTGTACCGCTGTTTTGCCTGTCAATACAGCGCTTATGTCAATTATATGGAAACATCCTTACTTGCTACAATTTCCTTTCCTCGTTGGCTAGGTGTGTATGGTTTCTTTGCATACGACGACGGATAGGAGAGCGCTGGTTTGGAGGTAGATGCTTCTTCCATCTCAACATTCTGCGCACATTATATACAGCGTCAGTAATGGCATTTCCTTGTGAGATCCAAGGTCAGATAAGCTCACCTTTATCTCTGCATAATCTTGCGAGTTCAGACCCACTTGATTCTGAGCTGTGTTCACTGCACCGGCATTTGATAAGATATCTACGAGAGCTTGGCAATCCAATCTAGCCGCAATGTTCAAGGCAGTATCGCCCAACGAGTCTTGTGCATCCAAAAGAGACCTCAATTCTTCATTATCAGCTGCCTTGATGTAATCTACCAAGATCTTCATATAATAGACAGCTGCGTTGGTGCGACCGTGAATACCAGCCGTTAAAGCAGCATGATGAAGCACGCTACGCTTCTTGTTATCCACAACGGACATACTTTCCTTTAATAAATCAAAGACTTGAGGGAAGCTTGTGTTGTCAAAGTTGTTGGTCACCATTACACCTCGCATCAATGCTGTTTCTCCTGTATAACTCGTGCAAGCAATGTTGGCACCCTTATTAACGAGCAGTTGAACTGTGTTGGTGCGTGCGAGAGCAGTAGCCCAATGCAGCGCTGTGTTGCCTTGCTCATCAATCACCATATCAATGTTGAATCCACTCTTTCCGTGCTGGCTCTTTAATAAGTCAGGAATTTGGTCTGGTTTATCGGATAAAAAGATGGACATCAGTACACTTCGATTGCGTTCGTTAGCGACTGCTTCATTGATGGCTTCTTCTGTGGTTTGTCGTGATTGAGCAAGTTCTTCCGCTTTCATACTGGGCATGGGAGATGTCAAGGTGCTAGTGTGGGCAAGTGGAGTTGCTGCTGCTGCTGCTGCTGCTGTTTTTGCTCTTTTACGAGGTGCGTAGGCATCCTCATTAGCAAGAGGAAATGCATCGTGAGACTGTACAGTACGCAGTGTTAGCACAATTTACCGCCTGTTGAGATGTCGCTGTATATACCTGAACAGTGTTATCAGCCGTAATCTTCTTTCTTGCAACAAGTGCTTGCTCTTTTGTTAAATAAGCATCTTCTCCATTATCAGCACTAGTTGTGGCCAAATCGAAATCAATGAGAGGCGATAATTGTTCGTATACACCATATTTGATGGCCAACTCTTTACTTTTATCACAAGGGATCCTATATAAACTAGTGTTAGCAAAGCCAAAAGAGAGGCATCTAATAGACCGCGCTTACCAAGTGCCTTGGTATTTTCCGTAGCCACCCTGCACCTTTTCATGCTCTCCAATTAGCACTTCTTTTTCCAAAATTTTTGTGCGCTTTCCTTTATCAATACTGGCTACTTTAAGGATTTGAGTTGCATTCATGTATGAATCTGTACGTCGTCGCATGATGGCAACGCCATTCACCACCATCTCAAATACGGGGACGCCAGAATAAACAGCAGAATAGATGCTTCCTACTTCTGCCATGGAACAAGTTGCTTTAGAATAAAGAAACAGATAACAACGCGCGTTGGAATTTTGGAAATAGATTCCTGGTATATCGCATGGCTGTTACCTTTTGAGGGTCTTGAAACTCCGGGTAGGATTTCGCGAATGATGTGGTTGATCCACCACTTGAATTGAACTGTAACGACAGCATATAGACATGGCTCACAAGGCCTATGATCAACCAGGGATTACTAGTGCCATTGAATCGCAATTCTAGGCTACATTGTCCATCTACTAAGCCCTGAGAGCAATCAACACGACAATCACATTTAACCCTCTATGGAACAAGAGAAATGGGGTGGCATAAATATTTGCGATATGCATTGGTAAAGATTTCATTTATAGACGATTTACGATGATGTCTAGTTCACAAAATCTCTTTTTTTTTTCTGCTGTCCTTTAAGCAATCAACCAATATGAAGATTCAATTAATAGCTATTTCCTTGATGGCACTGTCATGGCTTGAAGGGGCCCAATGCCAGGCAGTCAATCCCAATCAATTTATACCAACCACACAATGTATTTAGGCGGATCAGACTGATTTCTACAGCTTTGTGAGTGCACCTTGGCCTGGAATATAATCGTTTGTTAATCATGTCTCTGTATACAGATGAACCATTTTATAGGCATCTTCTATGGAAACTTTATTACTACAGGTCATTATGGCATCTATGGGCCGCTTGCCATGGGTGAGCTTGCCTCGATTCTAGAATACAGTGTGAATGTGCGACGATTAGTCGACTGCTCCTCTCAAACACCTACCAGCAGACTAGGTCTTTACGCTAAAACATTAGACTCGCCAGCTTCTTTGAGGATATATGGCGATTTGGATATCCAGAATACGCCAGACTTTCTTAAATTCGTCAGCGAAAACTTCCAGTGCAAAATACTACACCCATTTGATAAGAATAATTTCAGGTTTGATAAGTTCTGGCCAAATGCTATTCAAATGAGCTCATTTCTGACGAGTCAAGTATCTACGCATGTGCTGAGAGCAGATGGTTCGGTGGATGAGGTGTATCATACAGAGGATCAACGATTCTACATTTTCCACTTTGGCCCCCTGTGATGCAACTGGTTGCAAAGAACCAGGAAATTTTGTTTCTAATGCTTCACAAATCTTGTTGGGAAGTGGTAACTGGCAAGGACCAAAAAAAAAATGGGTATCCTCATGGGCGCATGATTGTTTTTTAATGTAAGTAAAGCTCCTGGTACATAATTATGGCCACTTATATTTAGTAAACAACAGGTTGCTATAGCAACTGGACAGGAAATGTACATCACAACAGCCAGACCATCAAGCGGTTTATCAGGCTGCCGTGTCATTTATAACTTTTATCCCATAAATACAGATACATCAGCAATCAACACCACCGCTGAAATCACCATTCATCGACTGACAAGCGATAAAATGGCAGGGCTCGTCATGAACCTATACGGTTAGTTATAAAGGCTATCCACATGATACGAACAGCTGATAAACGCTCAGCACGTAGGCCCCATTTTACGATGGCCCTCAAGGTAACTTTGCTGGACAGCTTATCGGTAAATCGTATCAAGGGGAAGACCCCAATCAAGGTGTCAATATCATCGATTATGAAGACGGTTGCTACGGTAAATTCAACTGCTGGATTCCAACCAATTACACGGATCCGTACCCAGATTTGTATACAACAGTAGCTACAGACAGAGACAGAGACATCTGTGACACGAACAACGGTCAACCAAGTGTCTACTGATTTCAGCGCTACTACTACGTTGACGCGTATCATTTAGATAGGCATCGATGCTATTGATGCTCTCGAGGACCACAGTGAGCTCATTGTCACAGAACTTGATACAGTAACTGTGACAGAGACAGTGTTGAACGTATTGACACTGGTTTCCACAAGCACAACATCCGCAGGTGAAACCCTACGCACTACAGCCTATCTCACATCAACAAGTCAGGTCATTGAAGCGAATCGAATCATCGATTCCACATCCACACATGTTGAACAGGATACAACCACGACGACTACCACAACTGAGTCTGTATACATTGTGGAAAAGCAGACTACCACTACCATAACCACCATCATTCAATTAGTCAATTGATTTTACAATTATAATATTTTGGATTAAGAATAATAAGAATAAAAGAAAAGAAAAGAAAGAGTAATGATATGGGCATAGATAATATAAAGCAATAGTAGTGTAAATTAAGGTGGGTAATAACATAATTAAGAAAAGAAACCAGTTCTGTTTCTTGACATGAAGGTCTTGGTCAGTAATTGCAATGTCTTTGATACATTGAGTTTGATGTACTCTAAATCCAACAATTGAACATTGTCTTGTTGCTGTAATAATGAAGGTTAGTTCTAATGTACACTCTATACTCATAAAAAAAAACACACCTTTTCAAGCAAATCATCCAATTTCAAGTCGATTTCTAATACTGGCTTATCACGTCCTTTATAGTGCAAGGCTATGATGAAGGTGCCTGGAAGTGGAGAGGCAATAGTGAGGAAGATATGATTGCGTCTGTTCTCTGGCACCTCAGTTTCGGCAATGATGCCCTCCTTTTCCAACTGTTGATGGGTGTATTTGAAGGGACCTTGCACTGTAGATTTGGCATTATTGGCCTTCTTGCAGGCTTTGGGATCCGCGACTTCTACGCCAATGCCCACCACTTGGTTTTTCTTGCTGCTACCACCACCAGGCGTTGTCTGCATACGCACATTTTGTAGGTAAGCCTTGTAGCTCTCCAATTGGCTCTTAAGATAGTTGTTGTGATCAATGATGGTCTTGTAGACGCTCTCCAAAGACTGCAATTCCTCGACTACTTTGAGCTTCAAGTCGCCCAAATGGGTCAGTTCATTGTTGATCTCTTCCACCAACAGTTGATGGTTATCACGACGGTCAATGACGCCTGCTTCTTCTAGTTCGCGCAACATTTCCTTCACCTTGATACCTTTGTGAACTAACTGTGCGTCTTTGCCTGTGCCTGCAGTTTCGGCAATATAGTGTAACTTGAGAGGAGGACGAGCTAAATAAGGAAGTGAACGTATGATTTGCACAAAAATCGATTTGGCTTCCATATAAAGAATATCGTTTTGTGTGATATTGTTCTCAGACATCAGGGACATGGTTAAATCTAATTTGGCAGATTTAGTATTAAGCAATTCAAGTGATGACTAGCCTACACACCTTGAATGGGCATCTCCCAGCGACTAAATAGAGGCAACTCAATGGCCTTGTTCTCTTTTCTGGGCACCTGAGCAGGAACAGCCCCGACTTCATTGATCAGAATTCGCAGGTGGTCTGTGTCTTTGGGTGCAATGATGTTCAGATGCTGTTGCAACAAGGCCAATGTGCTGTAGATTTCGTTGGGCGTGATGCTGATCATGATGTCTTTTTTACTGAGTGCCATGTATTGATCCATCTCTAGTTGTTCGTAGAAATCCACCACTTCACATAAATCGGTTAGAAATTTGTTGGTGCGTTGTTTGTTGAATTCGACAAATGGATTTGTTGGTATCATGTACGTTTCTTTGGCGTAAGATGGTTTGTTTGCTAGGTTTTGAAGCATTTTAGCCAACTTTTAAGATATGAGTATGTGCGTGTGCAAGACAAATATTCACAAGTATATATTTTTTTTTACCAGAGTCAATGTCGTACGTGAATTTGTGCCTGGAATGGCATCGACCAACATATAAGCCTGAGGGGTGACAATAGCAGGATTGACAAATCTTAAAAAGAAGAAGCCACCAATCAATGAAGAGATGGCATGATCTGTCGCATCAGGATACTTTCGCTTTGTCAGGGATCGAATCTGTTTGCAGATCCAACGAATACCGTAAGGCACTTGATCCAGTGAATCAATGATGGTCGTCAAGAACGAGTTGGCAATGTCCATCAATGTCTTGAGTCTGGGGCGAATCATTTCTTGTACGGTGGGATTTGCAGAGGCGATTTCAGCTGTTACACTTCTAGGAAATCCATCGGGCAGGCCGCCTTGCTCCTGCTCCATTTTCTGTACCAATTCGTCGTATACTTTAAGTGGGTTGATCTGTAGATTCAAGTCTTTGTGTTCGAGCAGGTTGTTGATTTTGTCGGATAAAACTGATTTCAGGTACGATTGCCCAGGACCACGACGAGTGTATGTGGTCATCATACGGGACACGGGTGTGTTGGCACGTAGCAGTGAAGTGAATTCAGTGGTGGTTTCGAATTGAGCAGCCAGCACATTCTGTTTTCAGAGACGATAAGTACGCTCGATGCAAATCATTGTGATTCTTTGTACGGTACCTGAAACATGGTCAACAATAAGTGCTCTTCTCGACTTTCGTATTGATTACCGTAGAGCGTAAACATCACAGTTTGCAGTAAAGTGTCGATTTCGGCCAGACTAACCAAGCGACACAAGATGGCAATGTGCCTTGGTTCGCTCTGCAAAAGATAGAACAGATTGCCATACTGCTGCATTCGACGATCATCAGGATAATGGTCTTCATCGTCTTCATCATGCTCTTCCAGGCGAGATGCCACTTCATGTTGCTAATAGGGAGAGCAATGTTAGCCTCTTGTCACAATAAACAAGCAACGACTTACCTCATCCAAGGCCATGCGATTTTGAATCAACAAACCAATTCTGGCATCAAGAAACCGCACATCCCTTTCACGCATAAAATTTTTCTTGGATTGAGTCGAGATCTTGGTTTTGAGCTCACGTAAACGTCTTTGCGCTGGTTTATATTAGGGCTATTGTTCCCATTGAAGCTCTTTTTCGTATAACTACCTTTTGCCAATTCATCCTCTACCTCCACATCCTGCTCAGCAGCCATGGAGTAAAACACAGACACCGAGTAGCGCTTGGAGCCTCTGCCTCTGTTTCTGCTGGAATGATGATTGTTTGCTGCTGCTGCTGCTACAGCTCGACTGACGATGGAGCTGTTTTGAGGATATCCAAATGACTGGACCATCCCACTGCGTCGATCAGCCATAGTATATTAGTATGCAGTGTTTGACGAATATAAAAAGTGAGAAAAAGAGTGAAAAAAGGGAATCAAAAAAAAAAAAAAAAACTTTGTATTTTTTTCAATTAAATATTGCTGTAGCACAAGAAACAATTGTAATCTTTCTATTTTGCAAACCAAAATCACTAATGGAATTACCCATTACACAAAGGGGAGGGGTTTTTTTTTTTTCATTATCAGGCGTCTTTCTCTATATATAAACTCTCTTTTTTATTATTATGATTAGAGACGCACGCTATATTCGTATTCCTAACAAGCACACAACATGTCAGTACACAGATTGCCTTCTCACAGCGCAACATGTCACTTACTTCTTGCGTATTCTGAGCAACCCACAAAACAATGGTACTGCAGCATAAACATCAGCCTATAATATTCATCATCCAATCCAGCCCTGCTCCTTACCTCAACATGATCAACCCATTCTGTCCAACGCCTGCAATGCCATAGTTGATGTAAGGCTGTGCAGACTCCAAATGGACAATGTACTTGATAATCAAAACACACTAAACACACAACTATCAGCCATCCAGATCAACAGCACACACACACACAAACCGGCTCGCTACTTACACAGGACCCAGCAAATCCTCCGGCAATCAATGCAAATCCCAAAAATAAGAACAAACGTGCTTTCCAGACTAATCCTGAACCAGCATATGAAAATGCCTCTCCTTGCAAACGGCTCTTATCAATCAAGTTGATACTAGCAAATTCCAGGGTCAATGCTCTGCATATTCCACACGCTCTGGTGCTCGTAGGCGACTTACACAATCATACCAAACGTTGTGAGAATACCAGAAAACCAATCCTCAAATCCCATATAACTCTCCCCATCGTACTTTGCTGAATTGATCACTGCATCGATGAAGACCCACCAACCCACTGCTAGCTAGTATAAAAGTCAGTATCTCTCTGGTTCGTTGAACGATACCAGCTACTCACCAATCCGCCAGAGAGATAGGCTCCTATTTGTCGTCCTTTGCGAGACAGGAAACGAAGTGGATTTCTAAATACAAATATGGATTGCGGTTCGTCGTCGTACATGCTCGTTTGCATCGCTTCGTTTCGTAGAGTGTGGGTATGTTTAAAAGAGGTGGAAACAAAATTAAGAAAAAGAAAAAAAAGAAGGAAAACTCGAAACATTCATCATGTTGTTGGCTATATAATGTCGGAGGAGCAGATGACGTATCAAGAGTGTCCAGGTCATTGCAGTACAAAAGCACATACATTTTGATACATGGGCCATGCCAAGCAGCTGTTTAGCTAGCTCACAATAGCATATGAAATATCGTAGCTATGATGCCATTATTGTGGGTCGTCGTGATTATGTGAAAAAAAGTCCAACAGCATCATTTTACTTTTTTCGCTGGGATTTAATGCATTGGGAACCTCAGTAGCAGGAATCATCATCCTCTCTACATTAGTCTTTTTTTTTTTATTATTATTATTAAGTGGATCATCTAGGTTAAAAACACCTTGACATTGGGTTGATGCATCAACCGCAATGGTGCTCCCTTTTTCGATCTGGATCTTTCAATGTCTCCGTATCTCTCCAAAAAGTCATCATATTTCACAGCCTTCACATTCTTTTCATTACCAGCCTTGGACCCTCGACATGTCAATAGATACATGTCTCGTAAGAGCTCAAAGTTAGTAGGAAACACAGTATCATACCAACCTGGCGGCAGTAAATAAGTCGCACAGGGCACCATCAGCCCTTTGTATGCTGTTTGAACAAGAGGCGCATTGATGCCTTCGATCGTGTTGGTCAGGGACGCATAATCGGTGAGTACAAGTCGATGCCCTGGAAAGTACGTGTTGAGGATCTCTAAAAATTCAAATAGCTTTGTTGGTATAAACTCTGGATGTGTATAGTTGGGTGTCCTGGACCGCAGTAAGCGCTGCATCTTGTGCCATAGCAAGGAGCTGGATGTAAAGGGATGGTCTGGGGTGTTGTGCTTTGATCTCGCCTTCTTGCGCAATGTCAAGTATCTTGATATCAACGAGTCCTGAATAGGCTCATAGATTTCTGTGTAGGTTCGCTTCTCGTCAATGCAGACGATGCCTTGATGCGGCTTTAACGTATCGAGGTCATATCGAATGGCGTCATGAGCAAAATGATTCTACATGCACTCTATTGTTAACGCTGTAGATGGCACTGCTTACACACACTTACAATCACTTCCATGCCAAGAAAAAAGCATTGCTCTGTCACCAGTGTATTCCAGTCGAATATGTTCTGATTCAAAACTTGCACGCCATCATGTTTGGGCGCATGCTTTATAAATGAAGGTGACACTAGACGGTCCGATAGTTCAATCATGTTGTACTGGGTTCGCTTGTAAACAGAGGGTTCGTAGCGTTCTATGTAGTCCATGATATGTGGCATCAATCGTCCATGACCACCTGCCATCTCGTAAATAATCAAGTCTTTGTGTGGATACAAGTTTAGCTTGTATTCGGATACCATGTACTTTGCAATGGCATACCCATACCAAGGCTAGATGTTCATGAAGAGTGAATAAAACGCAAGCATATATCCATCTTGAGCATTTACCTTGAAAAGCTCTGTTAGCGTATACCGTAATTGCTGTATATTGTGATGGTTTATGCGTCCTTGAGATTTGGCTAATCGACTCATGTACTGAATATGGTCTTCTTCTTGCTCCATCTCCTCGATGTCTGCAAGTGGCGAGGTAGTTGGCTTGGAGTAGAAGCCGTAGGAGGGGTTGAACAAGGAGTCGTCGATAAAGTCGCGCACTAGCATCTTTGTATTTGTAGGTGGTTTCGTTAGCGATTCGGTATCTTTGCTTGTTTTAAGTGGATAGGTTGCATGAATCTCTTCAGGAGGAGGCTGATTATTGCCAGACCAAACAGACGTAAAGAAACCAGGCTTGTATCTCTGACATAACGAACTTGTATGCATCAAACGTCTTGCTGTTAATGTGTACATGTTGGAGACTCGAAGTGAAGAAAATGAAAAACCTGGAATTAGAAATGCAATCACCCACACTTTTCAATGCGGCGAGTCAATTAGCCGAGTACAGCAGATCTGGATAAAAGGGCAGGATTGCGTCAAAATCTCGAGCTCCTTTTTCCTTCATACTTTAATTACATTTATAATCAGAAATGGTAAAAAAAAAAAAATACACATCACTTTAACTGTAAAACTCACTCTAACTTATCCAATTCACTCTAGTCTATCCAGATTGGCGATATTGTAAGTCTCTTGATTGGAATTCATCATGCTATCAGTGTCAATATTCATCACGTATGTGATCTCTCACTCTTATAGATTCCCGACGGTACTCTTCAATACGTTCCTTTTGATCCCAAGGAAGACATCACTGCCTGTCCTCGGTAAGTACACGAATAGCGTGTTCCTCTTTACCATGACTCAAGCTAATCTTATTCTAGTCCCATCCCATACAAGATCCATGAAAAGTTGAAGGGCAAGAAGGCTGTCATCTTTGCCATTCCTGGTGCGTTTTTATAATGTATTTATAATGCGATGTGTGTCTCATTCTTGCTGCTTATGATTAGGCCCTTTCACCCCTGCCTGTTCTGAAACTCATGTTCCTGGATTTATCTCTGCTCATGATGCATTAAAGGCCAAGGGCGTCAGCGATGTTATCTGTATCTCTGTTATGGATGGCTTCGTTATGAATGCATTTGCCAAGGCTTACAAGGCCGGTGATAAGGTCATCATGGCTGGTGATGGCAGTGCCATCTTCTCTGGTGCTCTGGGCCTTACTCAAGATTTGACCAAAAACGGTATGGGTATTCGTTCCAAGCGTTTCGCTATTGTCATTGATGATTTGGTCGTCAAGTACGTTGGTGTTGAGCAAGCTCCTGGTGTTACTTCCTCTGGTGCTGAAGCCGTGTTGGCTAAATTGTAAAATTATACTAATATGTAAAATAAAGTTGAACACTGATAAAAATATAGCTCTCTATATTTCTTACGGATGTTGAATTATACCTACTACTACTTTCCCAGGAATTCCATAGTGTCTACAGACGTAATATCCTATAGTCAATAGACTTGTCCTCGGTATAAGATGTGAAGACTCGCATATTCTATATTTTTATGCATTGGCTATATTTGTTGCTTTGATGTCATTTATACAGCTTTGCTGCTGTACAATATACTCTTTCAGATGTATATTGTTCCTTTGTAGCATGTGAAGCCAATACTACCAACAGAGCTATTTACCTTGACTATAATAAAATGCTGCGTTGCATGCCTATCAGGTGAATATCTTGATTGGCAGTATAGCTCAAGGGGAACACCAACTTGTATTCAATGCAAGTGTTTGCTGTCCATGTAGCATGCCGAATACTCCTAGCTTGAATACCGTAAAAAAAAAGCCCACAATCTCTAATATATACGAGTGTTTATGCTTTGGATGGCTCTCTACCTTCGCTTCGCCTGGGTAAGAACCAATCTGCGCAGCAGTAGCTCGCGCTACCGTTTGCCCTCGCGTATCTTATTAAAATACTGCTACTTTCATTTTGACCCTCCATTTCCATATGAAAACCATCCTTTTATCTGTGGATCTGATTCTTATGCGATGCTCTACATCCATATACATGTAGTTACTTCATATAAGGGCAAGCAGCATACTGATATTTCCCCGTTTTAATCCTTAGTGCACCTGATACAGCAAAATTTGAGTGCATTTGAGCTGCATTTTCTTGCGTTCATGGCCGTTTTAGACCGTCAGAATAGCACCAAACAATTGACCTCATCTGGCACTTACTTCCTGACACCTTTGCTCAACTTTTTAGGGACCAAAAAAACTTGGCCAAAATTCGACCAAAAAGCATAAGGTACCCCTCATGATTTTCATCGAAAATTAAACGATCGCGTTTTTGACCCTGATAATGAAGACTTTTACTATGGTATATATTGGATCAAAATGTTTCTCTCAATCTAAAGCAACTTCTGAAGCCACTTTTATCAGGTCTTCATATGCAGAATTTCGACATTTTGGCCAAAAACCTCTTTTCATATTTTCGTAAATTACTCAACAAGTTTATTCAAAACATTTATCTTATTTGATACCATTGGATGCGCCTGGAAAAGTACTCCAAGAATGTATTAGGAAGCGTAGGGTGATCATCACAATTTATATAATCGAATACCTCAAAATAGATTAAAGAAGTCGACAAAGACAAAATTTGTCCAATCTTGAACAAAAAAATATCTGAGTTTGAATTGAATTTGGCGACGGCATTGCTGCTGGCTGACCTAAATGCCTTTCTGTTGATGACAATGATGATTGCGATGCTGATTAAATGAAGATCGTGAACATGAAAGAACAATCATTTAGCTCAAATAATTTTTTCTTGCTTTTGTTGGGGGGGGGGGTCTTTTGCAATGGCAATCTCTTAAAAAAAAAGTCGCTGTAGATCTTAAGTCTTATTTTTACGCACGGCCAGCTTTATGTCTTCATCTCCAGAGCAACATCATCGAATAGTATAATAATTCTACTACAAAAAAACGTGGCACAAACAGAGAAGGTGGTGTGTAAGTGCTACATAAAACTTGAACTCTTTTTCACATCGACTTAATAATAGCTTTCGTTAGAGATCAGTGTATAAGCAAAGGGGGATGCCCAGGCAGATACCTTTCATTCATTTTTGATTGGTTGTTTAAAATACACTTGGTATACCAAATTCTTGTTATTTCTGATTTGAAATGTCTTTGGCAAGAGCCCATAGAGTGTCGCCGTCATTGAGCTAGCGAGGTAGATTGCGTAGCGAGCCAGATATTTGATTACACTAGTCCGTAACCAGTTATCAGCACTCAATCTGTCTACTGAAATGACAATAGTACGTGCTATTGGGCGATGAGATACGCTTTATAACGTTGACCCGAGAGATCTATCAATTGTTGTCCTGTTGCATAGGATGCTTTTTCGCAGCGATAGCCGCGAGATTGTTTTACCACCATTCTAAAGTCAATGACCAATTCAAACCTCTTGTTGATACACCACTGCTTGATCCGATCGCTTACATAAACTAACAAAATTGTTCTACAAAAAATCTTGAGAGATCAACACACTGATAGCCCAACAAAACCTCACATTACCTCACCGTATCGACATTTAAGCAATAATCGCTCGATCTAAAATGAAACACAATGTTTCAAGTCTTTTCTACTTTCTTTCCAAGGCGTGGATGGGTGTCGGGTCCTTACCAAGCTTTCATTTCCAGGGTGAAACTAATTTGAGCGAAACATCATTTTTGGAGACGGCTCCTTTGAACTTTATCCATGCTTGGTTGCTTTCGAGATGTCCATCATGTGTGATTTACTGGTAGCAACATGGTACGATAAACGTGTCATTGCAGCGTTCAATCGAAGCATCGCGTTGATCATATCAGTTTTGACATTGGGTAGCAGAGTGTCGCCTGCAATGTCTGAAACCTATTTTTTCAGCTTAATCATCATGATGGACGCGACATATATACTTGCTTGGTGTTTGGTCAGCCAAAGGCCAATCATTTGATGTTCCTGGCTGACGTTTGATACATCGCAAATGCTACAAGGCACTGCCATCAAGCCTTCGGTATATGGAAAATGTAATCGATGGCACATGCTTCTTTACAAGAGGGATGAGGCGCTACTTTCTCTAAGGGATATTGCTTTGTCCTTTGAACCCTACCTGTGTTTGCTGCTGCACTAATTTACTGAGGTACCTATTAAGGCTACTTTAAATTAAAAGACATTTGACCCACAAATAGCTATTTCTAGGGAAAGCTGAGGCATGTGTGCCTCTCCATTCCCAACAACACATGACATCTGATTGCTAGGTCTTATTGATTACATATATTTGTATTAGACAAAAAAAAGCAAGCCTAAGCCGCTGTCTGCATAAACAATGTACGCACAGACAGCATTTGACAGATCTTGTGCTACCACTTTGCCATTGGTATGCATTGCGCTTTTATGAATTGATATACGCCGTATACTGTTGATAGTGGCAATCATTCCTGTTACCATTTTCAAGTTGCGAGAAGTGAAACAAGCTTTATTAAATACATTACAAACACACATCACCATCGTATTGTTTGTACACCAAGCGCCCAATCCAAAATTTAACCACTTCAGTGCGATTGATTGCGCGCCAAATGATGAGGACTATTCTACAGATCATACTGCAACAACGCTCATCCGATTAATATGTATGGGTATACTAACATTCTTGGAAAAAAGGCTCTAGACAAGTCTTTTTTTTTTATTTAATTATGAAAATGAAAATGATATATGTTTATTTACAAGAAAAGAACGAAACAACAGAAATAACTAAGCGTAAAATCCTCCCACAGGCACAGGTGGTTCGGAGGTAGCTAAAAGCGATGCATTGTTGTTTAACATCAACGCCATAGAGGCAGAAGAAGTATCAGGGTAGCAATAATAGGATGAAGTAGGATAAGGAAGAGCAGATGGGACAACCATGGTAGAACTTGGGCTTTGGTGTAATTGTGGGTGTTGTTGAGACGGTAAGAATGGTGTAGTTACAGAGGTAGATGGAGCATCCAAGAAATGGATGAGCTTGCTTGTTTCTTTGTTCTCATTCATGAGATTGACTAGGTCTTGCTTCAATTGAGTACCTTTCAGTGTATGGCGAAGATATCTGGAAGCCTGTTTGTTTTCAGTAAAGTCGCTGCATTGGACCCATTGGGCTTTGGTGTCATCTTGTGATTCCATGTAGAAGAGAGGGGGTTGAGACATGTAAAAGTGGATGTCAGATGTGGATTCGCCATTGCTATCAACTGAAGGCGTGTATTCAACGCCCAGCATGCTTGTCAGTGGGATTTCCACCTTGAAACGCAAACCGCCTTCCGTAATGAACCACACGAATGCCTGCTGTTCAGCTTTGTAGAGACAGATCAAGTCGTTTGCGTGAAGCTTGAGACGATGCCATGCACCGATAGTCAGTGTAGTAGCATTAAAGTAGTTGCTTCCAGTATCGTTGTCTTGACTAACTGTTGAGGAGGAGCCAGCCATCATCAAAGTAGAGGGGTTCACAGTTTTATCGCTGTCCTGGGTTGACGCGTCTTGAGAAGCACTGTCGACAGTATCACTAGAATCAATTTCTGAAATAAGGCATTTTAGCATTATGTAATTTGAGCAATTAATGATGAAACTTACTAGGAGAGGAAGAGATCCACATGTCGGACTCATTAAGAGGAGTGGGTCCATCTGCTGAATCGGTTCTCTCGGTGCTCAGCTGTTTAGAGTCGTCAAAGTAGAAATTGCTAGGATGGAGGTTCTCTCGGTTAGGACTGAGCGAGGGAGACATTTGACCGTGGACAAAGTCAGGGAAATCCTCCGATAGTACATTTCTATCACTAAAGGGAGCCAAGTGGTTCATTCCGCTATTACTAGCATCGCCGAATTCCGAATGAAAAGAGGGCAGCGTGCCAGCTGTAGAGTTCATATCATCCACTAATGTGTGCGACAAAGGATTGAAAGATGGAGGCATGCTTTGTCTAGACATTCTAGTAGGACTCTCTAATACAGGATAGCAAGGTGAAACGGACCAGTTGGACATGGAGGGATACTGGTGTTGTGAGACCATTTGAGGAAGACCAGGCACGGAGGAAGAAGGGGGAGTTGCACAATCATTTGGCATAAATGGCTCAGGGCCAGGAGTTGGAAACGAAGACCGAGCCAATTCATTTTGGTTACCGTAGTAAGGGATAGTATCCACACTTTGAGCTCTTGGTAGTGGCATTCTGTTTCGCATGTAAGGGGCAGGATAATAGAAGGGTTGCTGTTGCTGTTGCTGATGCTGCTGGTGATGATACGGTAATGGGATCATTGGAGGTGCTGGACCTGGCGGACCATAAGGAGACATCAGACCATACTGCTGCTGATGATAATGATAGAGCTGTGCACGTATAGCCGCTTGTTGCATTTGCATTTGAGCTCTCTTTTGCATATGTTTTACTTTGGCCCTTCTATTTTGGAACCAGATTTGGATTGATCTTTCGCTCATGCTCAATTGCTCAGCTAATTGCTTTCTGAGTTTGCTGTTTGGACTGACATTGACAGCAAATGTGTCTTCAAGGACGGCAAGCTGCTCTGCTGTAGCTCTGGTTCTTTTTCTTACATAGGTGTGATGGTGATCAATGTCATTTGGACGATTCATTGAGCTTGCATCTGCTGATTCTATAGGGTTATTCATAATGGCAGAAACGATGGTATATGATAAAGAGAAATGAAAGGTATAATTTTGGTATAGAAGATGAGCTAAATATAAGTATATAATGCAGGGAAAAAGAGAATGAGTTGAAAAATGACAGCACCTTAAATACATTTGGAATTTAGTGCCAATGTTGTCTTACATATTGATATCGAAAAACATGGCAAATGTCAGATACGATCCCCGAGAACAAGATGATGATTAAATGGTAAAAACAGATCCGAGCTGACTCTATTTCCCCAAATTCATAGACAAGCTAAAGCCATCAATATCCAGGAATAGCTTTTTTTGATGCACAATATAAATCTAAGACATTGGGTTGCAATTTAGCGATGAATGCGCTACTAGAGTGAGTGATTTCTTTAGAGCAAATATGTGAATGCTTTAAGATGAGAATAATACTATTTTACGTCAAAACGGACAGCGAATGGCCTGATTTAATTTGTATCATTGAGGGTTATTCACCATGACACTCACTGCCGAATTGCCTCTGTCTGAATTAATTATTTTTTCTGCTCCCATTCTTTTCTTTGTCATTGTAATAATGTCAGTTGAAAAAGGTAATAAACCAACCCATGTTATGTTTAACATCTTCAATCAATTGATTCGATGTTCCTTATTGGATCGCAATCGCATCAAAGCTTGTTTTCTAACAGTGATGCCGTGAAAAATTGCTTCCGGAAATTCCACATATACTGTGGTTTTGGTTTTTTTGCTTGTCAATGTTATTTTCCAAAAGGAATATCGCTTCATTATATCTGATTTAGAAAGTGCCCACGCGAGATTTGAAGCTGAGAGTTTTCATGTCACTAAAGAGTCGTCGTTTCTCCAATGTTAATTAAGGTGAATTCGGATTGACGTCTCTGCAGATATTTTTAACACTGCTTACAGCATATTTGTTGCTTGTATAAGCAACGGGCATGTTGTTTAACGTGTTCATTTTCTGACCGATCGTCGAAAGCTGGAATAAATTCATCACTTTTTGATGTTTTCGCAGACTCATTCCGGAATTTCGTAAGAGTATTCAGTCTGTTTGAAACTATTTCTAAGATATTATTCATGTATTTAGCTGGAAGAGCGTGGCTAATACTTGCATTGTGTGCTTAACAATTTTAGCATGACACCCAGAGCGTTCCCATGGTTACAAAATGCCTAATGTCTCTCTTCCGCCAAGTACGAAACATTCATGCAAACATGTTTCTGCTTGTCAATGGCTCTTTAGTAAGCATTACACTAGCAAAGTTCTATTATTATCGTTTCTATATCTTCAAATAACCCAATTAAATATATTTTCTCTATAATAAGGCTTGATACAATTGCTTATGTGCAAATGCTTTATTGTTTTGTCTTCGGTTTTTAGAAGTGCTCTCAATACATCTGATTAATTGAGGATCTGCAAAAGTTTACTTATCCAGACAACGAATGCTTTTGTGCACATGTTCCTTTCATGTTGGCGCTAAAATACGTAGAACTGATAGCTGTCAGCGTTTTATAGATGGGATAATAACGCAATTCAATCTCTAAAAATTTGGATCCAACAGTGTCATTGGGTAAATCTCTGGAAACCATGACATGGTCAGTGACAATGCGCAATGTGCCGATCCGCGTTAGCTTGATGATGAACACTATTTACGGCTGTACATGCTAAGTCTTACAGTCGAAAAGCCAAAGCTACCATACCGAGCAGCAGATTGGGCTGGAGTACCAGATTGAAAGGGGGTTTCCAGCCTAAAGCGGCATAACCAAAAAAGGCTCGGTGTATCCTTGAATGATTAACAGATAGATATTCTTTGATAGACTTACAATGTTTCCCTATTGATAAACCTGGCTGCTCTCGTAAGGTACTAATCTTGCACTTGAGATGTCCTCTGAATTACCTCATAGCGACTTTGTAGCTGGATGATTTGGTGCATTAAGCGAGTTGACAGCAGTTATGATTCTCTCAGTGGTGCCGGTGACATGAAACGTTGCAGAATGCGCTTTGAGCAATGTCGTTTTGTTAAACTCACTAAAGATTTAGGCTTCATATATGCCAGACTCAAATATAGATAATGCTAGATGAAATGCTGCGTTTAACGCGCTCCTATCATGCAACTTTAAAATAGATAATCATTCGGGAAGCACAGTCCTCTTTACTGTGACACAGTAGGCTTTAGATTAAACACATACTATGTAAAGCTGGGCATTTGAAACTACAAGGGACCTCACGTCAAATGTATGTATATGGTGCTAGACAACATGTCTCAATAGGAAATCTCTCAAGATATCTCACCGATCGCTAATCTAAACAACCGGCATAGATTATCTGATTGCACTTGATATTGATTCAAGGATAACAGGTTGATGCCTATGATGATGTAGTTCTTGAGCATGTTTATCATGCTAAAGGATTCCAATTTATCTTTTGAACAGTGGCCATCCCATTTAATTTTAGGGCGATGAGTCAATAAAGACACTACTATGAATAAAGGTTTTACATTCATTTCGATCAATTAAGCTAATACTTCCATATAACAATCGCCACAGGTCAAAGTGAAACCTCTATTTATGATGTTTCATGATCGAGTCATTACCTATAGCATCTTGTAACAAATTTAATTTAAGCAGGAATTGCTTTAACAAGCAAATCAATGACGCATCTAATACACTCCTTATACTATAACACGGGCTCGCTTTCTTTTTGTTGTTCAAGTATTCATGACAGCATTGTGTATGCTACAAGCTCATGCTTGTCATGGGGTTTATGTTTACTGTTTGCTAAATCACGCTTGTTGGAAGCGTGAAACTGTTGTCATTTGTAAATGAGATGCAATAGTGTCTTGACTGAGTTCTCACTGATTGAATCAACCATTTGGCTCATTTGGTGATGCTGAATTCAAGATTTTTTTTTTTTTTGCAATATAGCTGACCTTACCATACGTATCAATAAAGCGCAGACTGATCTTCTGTGATACTTCAGTGCCTTCTCGTATGAGTGAATGGTATCATCATGCTTTTTCTTCTTCTTCTGTGCCACGGTAGGCTCGAGCTATTGTCTCTTTGAATGCCCTCAAGACATCATTTAACACTAGCAATGCCGCCATAATAGGCCACTTGTTAAAGGGCTTGTGCAGACTCAAGGAACGCTGGAGACCCTTTTTATAAAACAAAGAGTAATTACATGCCATGCTTTAATTTAGTGCAACCTTGATTCAAGGCTTATAATCGTGGATGAGAAAAAACAAAAGGCCATTTAGGTATAATGCTCAGTGACACAAATCGTCAGTAAAAGAAACCATTCTTGCTCTGTAGCATATCATGAGGTGAATTCCATACAGCAGTTGGCCAATGTATTGTAAATAATACCCCTCGAAACCATTCGATTCAAACGACCCTGTTTCGTATGAGCCCAAGCCGTACAAAATCACTGCCATAGCATCATCAAGCACTCTGCAGTGTTGCACTTGTACACAGCCTACTGCCTTGTAGTACCAGTTGCTATGCATTTATTTCGTATGTATGATGCTATATTGCTGAGGAATGCCATCTTGAGCGAAAAGCAGAAAAAAGAACGCCTTGGACCTGAATAAACAAGTTTCATGATCGACATACCGTTTATATTCAGTAGCAGAAAAAAGAAATGTATCGAGTTTTGCGTACATAAATAAATGTACAAGCATTCTATTGTATACTTTAACGATGGATTGGAACTTCTTTATTAGGTCATTCCGTAAAACCGGGCTTGATTAGGCATAACGAGATTGAAAGCAGGGATCAAACAACCATCATTGCAACTTGTAGATGTATATATATATATAGTAGCAAGAAGAGGCTTGCTCGAATACAATGCGAATGTGTAGCGCGAATCTCCTCGTTTATAAGCTGTTCATATTAGGAATGACAGATAAATATTGACGTAGAGACATCCGAGAAGAAGCTTATTATGAATAGAAACAGGATAGAGGCCTCAGAACACTTTCATATGATTTGAAGATAAAGCATCTTGGTAATTTGACACCTACATCTCATAAACAAAACATTCATATAGTGTATGCAACTCAAGTGTGCGCAAAACCAGAGACACACAAGGTGTAACAAAGGTACCACCTTACACATTTTGTGTTCATATGATCTAAGCATCTCCCATTGCGATAAAGGTCATTTGCCGCATCCATGTACACTTGCCTACTATTTATTAATTGCATTAAAGTGAATTTTATCTTTTGCTTCTTTCTTTCTCTGCTAAACAAAACATGAATCGTCAATTCAATACGCCTTCTCCTGTCGTATTTCCAGCAGCATCTCCTACACCTAAATTATACAGCACACCCAGCAAGAAGCTGCCACAAGTGGAGGCATGGCAAGACATTATCGGCATAGAATCCGTGCCACAGCAACAGAACATTTATCAGCATCCTTTTGACCATCAACAAGCTCCACAGCAATACAATTACAGCAGCAGAGAAAGATCAGCGCATCAGCAACATACCACTTCTATTTCACCACTGTCTGTCATGATGGAAAGCGACATACTGCTGGATGACGAAGATATATCCTCCTACAGATTCAGCGAAGACGAGTTTCTGTCTTCTATTATATCATCTTCTACCGCTTCATCAAGACAATCATCCCCGCTTAATCAGCGCCACCGTCTGCGTCGACCTGTTTCCTACACATCACCTTCGCCTTTACAACAGCAAAAAATCATGGAGGAAGAACAGCAAGAGAGCGAAGAGAAGCCAATTATAGGCATCCCGTTTGAGCCAGCACCCAATGTGGATCCGATTCATGAAAGAATGCCTATGAGAAGATTCTCTTTCAGTAATGGCACGGATGCCCATATCAAATCAATGAGCAACAGCAGCAGAAGCAACACTAAATTGGGCTCATTCATGTCTCGATTCAAAAAGGCTGCAACTTCTGGAAGATCTACATCGTCCTTGTTTAAATAAATATTCTAGATGCCTTGCTTTATTCTGAATCTTCTTAATCCTTCTTTTTAAACTTTTTGGGATTGGAAGTATGTTTGGTATTGGTTGTGAGTGCTTCTCCATCATCAAAATCTGCAAAATCTTCAAAATCATCGTCCTCGTCTTCATGGTCGTCTTCATCATCGATTGCGAAATGCTGATGATGCTGATTCACATTGTCATCTTCATCCTCGTCTGCTTCAAACAACATGGGTGTTTCAATTACCAATTCATCCCTGTACCGTAGTGTAAGTAAAGCTTGTTGAGACCCCATTATATACGTTGCATTAAACTTACAATTCATTGGATTCGTCATTATCGCCCAAACGAAATTTACGTCGATTTGCGCTGGCTGATTTACCTCGGTTAAACAGATTGCGGACAAAGCCAAGCAGCGAGTTCTTATTACTATGGACACCTTCACGTACTTGTTGAGGTGCACCACCAAATTCATCTGCTGCTGATGCCGAAGGTCGTCTACTGCCACGACACCAACAACAGCAGAGAGTCAGCGCAAACAAGATGACAATGATCAAGGTACTGGTTCCCCAATTATAATACTGGCTCCATTTATCTTCTGGCATGAGCTCGCCCTCCTCCAACTCGTCTTGCGAATTGGTATCTTTCTCAGTTTTTGTGCTGGAGGGCGCTGGTAAAGAGGGTCTTGGGGCTGGCTTGGTGGTTGGCGTGGTGATGGGAGTAGTGCCATTGCCTACTTGACTGAGTCTACCCTGAACGACATTGTCGCCTACTTGCATGAATCGATTGATCATGTCCAGACATTCAATGGGCCGGTCGTAAGGTACCATATGACTTCCGTCCTTGATCAATACATAGACCAAATTGCGCTCCTGGGTATAATAGCCAGCCAACTTGTTGTCAATCTTCCATACTTCCTTCTTGGTGTTCTTACTGAAACCTCTTGATCCGTTCCATGTCATGTTTCCAATCAAATACTCTGTCCCGACATAGTTGCAGATCAAATCGTATTCGCCACTGAACAGGAGTACAGGAATTTCCTCGAGAATCCCGGGTAATAACTAGATTCTGTTGCGTGAGTTGTTTTGCGCTATGTACACGTATACTCTAGCATACTGCTTACATAATATGCAGGTTTGCTTTGATCACCATGTAATTCAGCAGATACCAGTGATGTGCATTCCTTCCAGCCTAGTGTTTGTTTGTCTGCATGCACAGCTGTCTTTACCTCGGCCAACTATCAATAGCTATCAGTAATAGGAAACCAGCAGATCAAACTGGCCATCTACATACTCTTAGATACTTTGTCACATCATCCAATTCATAAGGCCATGATAAGCCGCATTCTGGATAAGTTTCCTCCTTGAGTCGAATATCGTACATGTTCATACAAATCTTGTCGCCAGCCTTGTTTCTATGCACACCGTAAGACGTTGTTTGCAATAATCAGATCCCTTGTACTTACTCATGTGTACTACTGTCAATCACGTCTGTTAGGATTCGCTCGCATGAGTTGACGTGAATGGTCTCCTTGTCTTTGATATCGTTTTGACAATTCTTCAAATGTGCCGAGATGATGGGCAGTCTGTCCTTATCTACTAGGTTATGTTGCACACTGAAATCATAGTAAGCATTGTACTGGTGCTCTGCTGAGATCCAGCCATTGCCAATCGCGATGCCCTTGAGATTGTATTTGCCGTGCTCCTTGTTCAATTCCAATAGCCTTGATGCAAAATAAGGGATATAGGTGCCAGCGTAACTTTCTCCCGCAATGTAAAAATCTTGTTGAGCAAGGTGGGGGAATGCAATAAACAGTTTGTCCACAAATGTAACAAATTCCTCTGTAATCTGACTCATATTGTGCATGTAGCTGTCTGTGTTTGCAAAACTAAAGCCAGTGCCTACAGGCTGATCCACTAAAAAGCCATCAGCGTTTGTAATACTCTAAACGCAACTTTGCACTCTCTTACAGTAGACATTGGTGGCATATTTCTGCCATCCTCCTTCATTGATTGACAGTGACAGATCAGGGTTCACTCGAAAAGGTCCATTCTCTAAAAAGAGGCCATCCATGCTAACAGGAGAGAGATTGAGTGTGTTAAGCCCTGCATAAACGAAATCCAATGCTTCTCTCCATTTTTACCTTGAACAGCCAGGTCCACCATTCAGCCAAACAATCTAGAGAAATACAACGCAGAATCAGTATGCTTCATTCATTAACCTGCTAATCACAGCGAATGGTTACTAGTTTCTCGTTGCCAGATTTAATCTCGTTTTCAATCATCCAAAAGAACAGATTTGCATTCGTCTCGCTTGAAATCTCAATGTGTCTGTGGGAAGGGGTATATACGAGTTGGCTTGTGCTATTCTTACTGAGACATGAGAGAGACTTACCCTGCATATTGTGTAAAGTTCAATGTGCTGATATCGATGCCAGGCAACGATGTTACTTTATAGTCCTCAGCTAATAAGCGAAAATAGGCTTGGTTTAGCGGCTTGATTAGGTTTCATGTTTACGAATGCTTTATCTACCACTTTGTGCCGCTGCAAGCGATATTCCACTGAATGCGAGTAGTCCATACAAGATACTACGCATGCTGGTATTTATTGAGTACGAGTATAAAAGAGGAAAAGAAAGGGGGAAGAGCAAAAGAAAAAAAGAAAAGAAATGCAAAATAAAGTGCTACAAAAAAGGATTCATTTGCACCACCAAAGAGTCACTGTGTTGAATAAATTTACAATGATAACGCAGATGGACCCTCTTTCAGGCTCATAAAGATGGCTATCGTCATGATCAGTGTGAATCGCAGCCATTTCCATGTCATGTAAATCATGGATTTGATCACATTCTGCACAGACCCAGTCAAGCCAGTAGTCAATGGTTGCTTGGCGTTCATGGTTACTACCTGTACAGGCAAGGAATAGGCAAATCCGCTGCTACTCGTGCTGCCGCTGATCGTTTCATCCCGTAGCGAGTCCAGACATTGATAGTCGTTCTTGTAACAGAGGTGCCGCTTTTCCAGCAGAAACTTTTCATGGTCGTATTCGTTCTCTAATCGACCTATCAGGCTTAAAGCGTCATCCAATGCATCCTTCTCGACAACACCAGCCTTGACCAGAATGGACTCCAAAGCAGTGTCTACATTTGGCAATTGATTATATATAGTTTGAAACGGTTGCAATAGAATGCTTGATGTTGTACTACAGTCGTCTTGGTCTTCTTGGCTGTACAGTGATGCTGATGATGGCGCTTGATGTTTAGACCAAGCGTTTTCAAGTTCTGTTAATAGATTGTTTCGCATCGCCGTGCCTTGGCTGGTTTTCTTTTGCTCGTCCCCTTGGTCGTCTTCTTCTGCTGACAAATAGACACCACGCTCTCGTAGTCGAGTCAACACATGGCGATGCTCCTCCAAACTCTGCTTCAACTCGCCAATGTGCAAATGCTGTGCATCAAAGGCCATTTGTAACTGCTCGTGATCATGCTTTGTAAACTGGAGATCCTCACACTGTTGCTTCAGCAGATGCAAATCATGCAATGTGTCCAACAAGTTTTTTTCTAACTGTGCTTTTGCTTGATTCACATGGTCATTTTCGATTTTTAATTGATCCATTTTAAGCTTTACTTGTGCACAATTACCCGCGCAGCCACCACTTCTAGCACGAGCAGCCGTATCAGTGTTACTATTGACAGTGAGGATAGCACTGTTTGTTGCTTCATCGTGTTGCTGATTACCAGTGATACCATCTTTGGTCAATGTTTTTCTCTTTGTTGTTTCCATCTCTTGAATCTTGGTGGTTGCATGATCAAGACTGGCCTGTAGTAGCTCCACTTGGCTCTCCAACTGACGTGCCTTTCGAGTGTGTGAGCGGTCTAATTCCTCTTGCTTGGAAAGGACATTTTCAAGCTGGCATGATAAGTCCTGGTTCTTCTTTTCCAGCATCTCCACCAATGCCTCTCTCGTGGTCGATGGCACATACTTCAGGTCTTGCTCCGGGTCTTCTTCTGTCAGCTTGATCAGTGAGTTGGATGAATTGGAGGGCGTTGGGTAGGGTGCTGCATAACTGGACAGCAGGTGGTCGTAGTTGGTCTTTAATGCCATGTTGTTCTCGAGCAATGATTTTCCAATTTCAGCTGCCAATTTCAAATCTAGGTGGATATTAGTAGAGGCTTATATGATACTGCCAATAGACTAGACTACCTCGCTCTTTGTCCTTGATAGAACTATACGCATTTTTCAGCATTGGAATGAGCTCATTAGGCGATTTTTGCATCCAAGAAATTGAAGATGTCAGTGAAGATGCGGTGGATAAACTGGGTGAAGGTGGAGCATCACAGCTGCCACTGTCGTCAGCGTTGGTTTTTACAGCCATCGTTTGAATCTAGGGAAATTATGTATAGAGAAGAGAGAAAGAAGAGACACATTGCCATGGACGCATTTATACATGTTTTATTGAAATTTCCATACTTCATTTGAGGAAACACCCAATTGAGAAAGGATTCCAGTCACTTGGCCTTGCGAATAATCTCTCGCTCTCTCTCCGCATACTAGTTGAAGCATCTTGTTTGGACCACATACAAATATCTTTCTGCGTTCTCCGTCGTCCTTGGACATGGCTTCAATCATTTCCTTGGTCACGTAGCCCTTTTCATACGCTGCATTGTTGGTGTCTTCCAGCACATATTTCACCTTGAATCTATCTTTGAATTTCTGTGCAAGCTGATCTAATTCAGATTTCAGCAGAATGTCTTGTTCTGTCTTGTTGCCATAAATCAGCCATAATCTGGTATGCTGATCTTGAGGATTCTCCAGAATTCGGCATATTAATTGATACATGGGTGTAATCCCGGTACCACCAGCAATCTAATGTAGAGCTGATTTAATCCAGCTGTCAAATTACAGCGTACACACACACGGCGGCACTTACCATGCCCACTGTATCCAAGCTATTTTCACTGTACAGATATTCCTCCGTCATAGGGCCTCTCACATGGATATCGCTATTCAACTGGAATCCACTGAGCGTGCGAGATACTGAGCCATCTGGATACCGTTTCACAACCAAATCAAGATGGCCATCCTTGTACGGGTTCTGATTGATGGGCGTGTAGGGTCTCATTACTTGAATTGTGTCATCTTTAATGTACAAACAGGATGGCACTGGATAGTCTTTGGAAGGTTGTTTTGTTGTTGATACTCGCAAAAGGAAAGAATCAGGTGATATTTGCTCTTTTTTTATCAATTCAAGTGGCACATACACATTTTCATCAAGTGCTCTTTTGTTTTTGTTGAAATATTCCCAACCCAAATAGCCTGTTCCAGCAGCTATCAAACCTAATCCTGCCACTAAGCGAGTCTTGCTTGGCTTGTTGACGGCTGTTGTAAAGTGTCGCTTTGGTGATGTAGATGCAATGCGAGCAATTCCTTTTAAAAGCATGATGTGTTGAGAGAAAAAGGAATATAAAAGAGGGGTTCAAGAATACCACAGTTCTGAAAACCAGGGCTTGAATTCTATACGGACATCCAAAACTTTATTTCAAATGTGAAATTTACAATTGGGACACCAGCTCAACACATAATAAGTGTTGTGAGCAAAACAGTAGTTTCTTGATGCCATTTGAACTGCGTGATAAGATTGTTCCGTGTCGTTTTCAGACAAGTTCTGCAAGATGAAGGGTGACAGACTGCATTCTTGGTCTTCCTTGACATCACTGGTGGATGTGCTTGTCAGTACCAAGGTTAATGTAGGCGGCGATGATGGGTTGGGCTGAACAGCAGGCGGCATAACTGATATGCAAAAAAAAAAAAAAAAAAAAAAAAAAAAGTAAAACGAGAAAAGCAAGTTTATTGATAGTATATATATATATATATATATACATATATATATATACAGATGAACGACGCGATAGTAGTATTCCTCCGTTTCATGCAATTTTTCCTAACTTGTGTGCCATCATCATATTACGTCCGTATAGAATCATGGACTCATCTTGCAGTGTTTGGTTCTTTTGATAAAGCACCTCCAGCTGATCCTGCAATTCCCGTTCCTTTTTATGTTGGAATGCCATTAATTTCTGCAATTTGTGCTCAAAGCCCATGCTGATGTGATGTTGCATAAGTGCCATGGCTTCTTTATGTCGCGATTGTGTAATCTCTGCTTCCATCTCCATCTCCGTCAATTGGCTGGACAGTGTCAAAATTTCTCGATTCACTCGTAATAGATCCGTGTCGAACTTTTTCTGGAATTGTATCCATTGGCGCTGCTTCCATTCTCGCTGCTCGAACTCAATGCGGTCTGCCAGCCGTTGATGAACATCCATGCTAGGCTCTGCTGTCGATACTACAAGTTCCTTTTTAAACATGTCTTGCATTCGAACCACATATTGCGCTGGATCCAGTATGGATTGACGCTCTAATTGGTATATGCGCGTACGTTGGACAATGGCGTCGGATTTGGCTGCTTTTAGAGCGATCTGCAATGCATGAATCTTGGCGTGATACAATAGCAGATCCTCCTCATGGTCGTGTTCAAGGTCTACGTTGTCGTCTCGTTGCTCAGTGTTGTTATTTGTCGTTGAAATTGAAATATCAGACTTTGAGTTTGTTGCCAATTGTAGTTCCAACATTTCAATCCTTCTTGTTAAATTGCGATTGGATTGTTCTACCTTCTTGGTTTGTTTACTCTTTTCTGTTTTCATGGCTTGATATTTCTCTTCGGTCAATTTCAGCTCTTTCCGAATGCTGTCCAGTGTCAATGCTTGCCGCTTGCATTCTCGATCCAAATCAACTGCTTGTCGCTCTGCTTCATTGTACATGAGTCGAATGGCCTCGGTGGCTTCATCTTCTTCCTCCTCCTCCTCCTCCTCCTCCTCCTCCTCTCCTTCTTCATTGTCGTCATGATTGGCAGATGTTTTCTTTTTCTTTTGTAGAGCCTCCAACCCAGCTCTTAATCGACTTGCCTGGGTCTTGTATCGAAGACGCTGCTGTCTTGTGTCCTCCAATTCCTCCAGCATGGTCTCCATTTCACGTCTCACCATTTCCAATGTTGTTTCATATTCATCGCGCTCGTCTTGACAGGTGCACAATGCCATTTCAAGATTTTGGATTTGACACTCTAGCAAAAGTCGTGTCTTTTCGCAGTGATCATGCGACACAGCCGTTGCTACCGTTGATGTCCTCCTCTTCTTTGCTGTTGGTTTCTGGTAGTGATGCTGTTGCTCGTAGTCTTTGAGTATGCCTTTCAGGCTAGATTTATACTGCTTTGCCAACAGATTCATGTCTTTTTGCATTAACTTGTTCCTTAATAGACTTTTGTGTAGAGCTTCTAATAACCGTGTAATCCTGTCCTGCTCTTTCTTCTGCTCAAGCTGTTGGTTAAAAATAGCTGAAAATTGATAAGACTGCCATGTATCCAGTGTTGATAAAAGCTCGGTACAGAAAGATGCTTCTCCTTGGCCATAGTTTTGTGCGCCCTCCTTATTGTTCATAAAATGATCGATCATGGCTTTCAGTCGAAATACCAGGAAACTGGGTACATCAATTGCTGAATAGTGTGTTGTGTCACCCACACAGGTAGCATTATGCTCAACTTGATCCACATTGGGATCACTTTCATCAAACAATGCGGGTAACTCGTTGCCTGATAAATCGCTGACGTTTTTTTCGCTGTTTTGCTGTCGATTGCTTGTCATAAACCGTTCTATGTGCTTGTGGATACGATCAAGTGCTGATTGCTTGCCTTGTTTCTGCTGTTGCTGCTTCAACATGAGTAACTGGCTCTTGAGGTTGATTTCATTTTCAACAAGTTGGCTGACTTCCATCTCCAAAGCTTGAATTTTATGTAGTAATTCAGGGGATGCTGGTTTGCTATTGCTGGGTGTAATAGACGGCTTTCGTACTGTTGTATTGTAAGACGAGCAGGATGATGAAGTGGATGAAAATCGCTTGACAAATGCATCTGTCAAACTACCTGTTGGCGTATTCAGAGCTGTATCTGCTTCAGAAGTGTCGGTATCATCATAGTACGAAGGAATGGGTTTGTTGGCTGATGCTTTGACAATGTCGATTTCCATCATCATCTTCTTTTTTTTTTATTGAAAGTAAAGAGTGAATTAAAGCAAGAAGAAAAGTGTTGATTCAGGGAGAGTTCCCATATTTATATATACAAGTTTAATATCTTTACCGTATCCATGCGTGGATTTACATTTGAATATAAACCTTCTTCCTCCCTTGTTTTAAGGAGTATTTGTGTATAAGAAAATCATTGGAATATACAGCGTACGTGTAGGTATCATAACCTTATTTCCTAGGTCCATTTTTCATACAAAACCATGTATATGTACCTCCGTTACATTATCTCATAATATACCTGCTTAGGAGCATATAAAAGATAACGCTTCCAAGTTTATTCGAGTTAAATGTTTGCTCTTGTACATTTAAAACGTGTAACCTGAATTTTGCATATGTTTGGTATTATTCCTCGTAAAAGAAAATACTACTTCACGAAGTTTGAGCAGTAAACACTGCTTCACGTTAATTTTTACTTCATATACTTCACTAAAATTTGCTACAAACTATAATGACTCTGCCAGCTCGATCATAATCTGTTCATCAGCGAACTACTGGCAGAAGAGATTTCATACAAGGTTTACCTAACGTAAGTTATATGTAAAGTGAAGCTGAGCACCAGCGCGATTGGGGCCTCTCTTTCATTAACCAGATCTTCAGTGATTTGGTCTTGCTGCCCTATTTTGCTACAGCGATGACTCCCCTTCTTATATTAACATATCATGACTAACCGTTGACCGTTCTGTTGAGGAATTTCAATTCTTGCAGGCCAAGCATTCTACCTTTTTCATTGCCTTATAAGATGGTATGATTGTTATAGACTAGCTAATTCCAAAGCGTTTAAAAATCGCCTGCTTGTTTATGAATTATCAGAATCAAATAGTTAGATAAACTAATTGTAATTAAGAGGTAGCGTTTTATTGATACATGACTTGGCTTGTTGAGATAGAGGATCAAATAAGTGAAGGAAAGGATTATAAATTATGAATTAACGGTATAAAGATGAATCGTGTGAATGAATAATTATAAAAAAAGATGAACGAAGTATATAATATCTACAACATAATAATAAATCTATTAAAACATATCCCTCATATTGTGCCAGAAGGGCTACAAGTGTCTATAAAGATTAAGGTATTCTTGATGGGTAGATATATCTGTGTTGTGCAACAACATGGACAAGCTATGATAATTGAAGTGCATCTCAGCTATCTAAATGCTGAGGTTCACCAGATGTGATAAGCGTTGTACAAGATAAATTGCTACTTTGGCATTCAGAACTTAGTATAAATAGAATAACTCTTGTCTTCATCAATAAATCTTTAGTTTTTGTGTCTGATCTTATTCTAATAAGTCTTTTCTTGTTTTTATAATATCGAACATTTTTTATAAGCTACAAATAATAATCCTTTTATTCTTTGTGCTGAACAGTATCTATTGAGATACCCTTTTATTATAAACATATACTCATTATAAATGACAGCTCAACAGAAAATCAACTAGCTGAAATCCTTCGGTCCCTGAACCTTTGAGCCAATCAGATTGTTTGAAAACTCCGCTGACCTAAAAAAAATTTTGCGAGGGTTTCCCCCTGTTTTGATGTGAGGCAAAATTTTAAGCGCCGCTATAATAGCAATATAGCCGCTGCTATCATCAAACTTCCCCCAGGTGCTAGAGCATGCCTTACTTACACCACCTAGCTTTAAATACTGGCATTGAGACCCTCAATCATCACTAAAGTAAGTAGCAATAACCAAGTGGAGGCAGCCTATCTACCTCCTAGCCTCGGATAGAGTCTTGTTGAGCTTCAGGGATAGGCACATCCACACAACGTAAAAAAGGTATGCTTCAAAGAAACATAGTCAAAGGAACAAATGAACATAATACTATAAAAGTATAGTAGTATGTAGGCAAAAAAAAAGAGACACTCACACGAAGCGAGTCAAGGAAAAGCATAACAAACACAACATCAAGGATGTTTAAAAAACTTGTTCTTGATGCAATAAAAATGCATACATGAGCAACGTGGATGGTAGTAATAGTCGGATGTAAAGCAATATGGCACAAATACGCATAACTGCAAAAGCAACAGTGGTATTATAATTTTGCAGTACGACATAATGACTAGTGTTGTTTCATGTAAAGCTACAGAGGAAACACTACCAACAGAAGAAAAAGAAGAAGTAAGCGCAACAAGGCAAACATGATGAATGCATTATCACGATAAAGCAAGCAATAACACAAACGTTCAAAGAAGTATTATATTATCGCCACCAGAAGAAAAAGGATACTTACCACTTACCACAGCTACATATAGACCAGAAGATACACGATCATCGGATATAGACCACAGACCTAGCATACAACAAAGACAGTAGACCAGGAACGACCAGATTAGCAGCAGCAGCAACACCAGCACCATAGAAAAACCAAAGAACGAACGACATTAGAGACCAGACCAAGACTAAAGAAGCAACCATCAGAGATAGAGACTAAAGAAGCAGCCACTAAGCATGATAAACCAAAGAAGCAGGCAGCAGAGATAGCAGAAAAGTAATGGCAGTAACACCCACGTCAAGCAGACAAAAGAGTTACCGAAACCTAATAAACAAATTCAATTAGTAATAATTCTACGCCTTCCAGTGCTCGTTATCGAATGGCACCTGATATATTTCACTTCAAAGAAGCAGTATCAAGTACTTCTAACAGTACAATGCCGTGTTATCACAAGCTAGATTGTTATTATCAATCAAAAAGGTTCCAAAACCACCATGGTTTGATGCTAAACGCGTTTTGCAAAAAGAGAAAAAAACGGGGGCATGGAAGAATGAGAGGGCGTCCTATCCGACGTCACGGCTAGTAGATTTGGTCTCAGACTTGTACCGTAGCAGCAGTAGTTGCGGCAATTTAATTTGAAATTGTGCAGTGGTATTTTCGTGTTCAAACTTGACTTGATCTCGCATCTTTTAAACGTTTTTACCAAATTTGACTATAAAAATTCTCGTTATAACACCCAACTTTCTAATACATCTCTAGAGAACTAAAGAAGCCACATCGAATGGTGCTAATTACTTTCAGTTTTCACACCAAAAATAATGAGCAATTTCCGAAAATATGAAAACAGGTTTTCTGTGAATATGTCAGAATTTCGCATATGAAAGTCTCATAGAAAGGGTTTCCAATGTTGCATTTCATCTTTACGGTCAATTTGATTCAATATGTATCATAGGAAAAGTCTTCACTTTTGACGTGAAAAAACGCGATCGTTTGATTTTCAAGAATTGTCCCTTGCTAATACTCATGGAAAAACGATGATTTTCATAAATTTGTAACGACCCAAAAAAAATTGAGATAAGGCATTAGGAAGTAAAGCGTGGCCAAGAGGAGGCGTGTGGTGCTATTCCAAGCGCTCAAAACGCTTTGTTGCATGAGCTGTTCGTGCTTGAAAATGGCTAGATTTGAACAGAATTCGACCTAAAACGACGGCGTAGTGGGTTGCGTTGCCAGAAGAGTAAGTAAATTACGCTTATGTCTGATAAACCAGATTTTTTGCGTTATACAGAACTCAATTTCCAAGGCTCAGTTCTTGCTTTTCGAAATGCGCGATTACAGTAATCTTGACACTGGAGCGTCAATAATATTATGTAAATTTGAAGTTAAAGGCCTGCTCGGATTGAATTAGATGCTCATCAGGTTAGTAGGAAACTTCTATAGGTTGTCCACAAGAGAGACGCCACATCTAGCCGTAAAAGTAGGTCTAAAGTCTATCCACAATGTTAAACACCCATATTTAAAGAGAAATGGCTGAAACCGGACAGGCTGATTCGGTGTCAGCACAATGGGGGATGTGGAATTTGAGGCTTGATAGACTAAAATCCACAGAAAAAAAAGAATAAAAAACAACGAAGTCAACTTGATAAAGGTATGTTTTATTATCAAACTGACAGTTGTAAAGTAAACAACTGAAGTATCTCTACTACTGGCCAGGTAGATGATCCCTCTTATATACTATAGCAATGGATAAAAGTTCTATTAATTAGATTGACAAATAAGTCAACTCAGATCAACTAATGTCTAATCATGCTAAAAGACAACTCCAGCAAGCTAATCATGATTTAGCTCTGTCTGGATGAATAATTAGACTCTCATCCAAAGTACCCTGATCTATCCTTTCTATAAGGATAATTAATATCGATCTAGTAGCATGTATCCGATAGGTACAGTCTTCTTAGTCTATATTAATAGTACATATCTGAGTGTATATCGCTAAGCATACATCTTTAGCATGTATCTGGATATATGGCATGTCTATAGCATATCGTATGCATGTCTATAGCATGTCTCATATATAGTACAAGTCTGTAGTACATAAAGTATCTGTAGCTAGTATCACGGATATAAGCATGTGTCTTATAGCGTGTATCATAAAGTGCACATCTGAAGCAACAAGCTCATATTGCATTAATCTTGGTGCCTATCCAGATATGGTAAACATCCGTAGTCAATGTCGGAATACAAGTATAAGTCTATAGTGCCATCCATGTCCGTGGTGCCATCTATAGCCTATATCTTATATAGTATGAATCTTATAGTACTAGCGTATCTGAAGTCCATATCTTCTTATAGTATAAATCGATATCGTACATCTAATCCAGTGTACATACAGCTTATATCTAAATCTGGTAACTGGATGAACTGTCGGAATGCAGATCATAGTGGATGTATTCCACAACAGATATGGTTGATGCCGATGTTAATTTTGTGGGATCTAAGGGTAAATTTATTGGTTCTGGGGTTGATGCAGGAGTTGACGGTGATGTTACTGTTGGATCTGAGGGTATTGATGATGTTGATGATTGTAATTTTGTGATTACTGCAAGACAATTTGAGAGGTTGTTGAGAAAGAAACAAGTGGAGGAGTGTTTTCTGGTCTCCCCAAGGGAATTGCATGGTCTTTTGGATTTGAACAATGTGGATGTGGTGTTGACGGATCAAGACAAGGAGAATGAAGCCTGGTGTGCTGAGTTTGCTGAAGCCTATCCTGATGTTTTCAAGGGATCATTGGATACGTTGCCTCCGGTTCGTCGTACTGATGGTGAAATGATTGAGTTGGAGCCTGGTACCAAGCCTATTTCTAGGGCACCTTACAGGATGTCTCCATTGGAATTGAAGGAATTGCGACAACAATTGGATGATTTACTAAGTAAAGGATTCATTGAACCATGTGTGTCGGAATGGGGTAGTCCTGTACTCTTTGTCAAGAAACCCAACGGTTCATTGCGAATGGTCTGCGATTATCGCGCTCTTAATGCCAAGACGGTGGCTCAACGGGTGCCTTTGCCTCGTATTGATGAATGTTTGGAACAGTTACATGGTGTCACCTTCATGAGCTCCATCGATCTGACTAGTAGTTTCTGGCAGCAAAGACTAACTCCTTCTGATTCGCTCAAGAGTGCGATCAACACCAGGTATGGTCAATTTTCTTGGTCGGTCATGGCGATGGGATTGAAAAATTCGGGTGCAAGATGGATGTATTTGATGAATGATGTCCTAAAGGAATATCTTGATGATTTCGTGATTTGCTACATTGGTGACTGTCTGATTTATACAAAGGGTGATGACATTGAATTACACAAGAAACATCTACATCTAGTATTCAAGAAGTTACAGGAAGCTGGTCTGGTAGTGTCCAAAGCCAAGTGCAAGTTTAATCGCAAGGAAATCACCTTTTTGGGTCATGATATTGTTGCTGGTCAAGGCATCAAGCCGTCTCAGAAGAAGGTAGATGCTATTGCTTCGTGGCCTGCGCCCAAGACTGTGCATGATGTGCGTAAATTTATGGGTCTCTGCCAATACTACTCTACGTACATGCCCAACTTTGCTGCTGTGGCTGCTTGTATTACTGATTTGACTAAAGGTGTTGGTCCTAAGAATCGCAAGATTGATTGGTCAGATGCTTGTCAAAAGGCGTTTAATACCATCAAGTCTCTGATTACTTCTGCTCCTGTGCTGCTAATGCCTGATATGTCTCGTCCGTTCCGCATTGAGTGTGATGCTAGTGATTATGCTGTGGGTGCCGTCTTGTTGCAACAAGATCCAAAGTGTGATGATGCCTGGAAACCTGTTGCTTTTATATCAAAAAAGCTGTCTGATGCTGAAAGGAACTATCCAACTCAAGAGCGTGAATTGCTAGCTATCTTGTTCGCATGCAAAACTTGGCGTTGTTTTGTGGAAGGGTCTGGGTATGAAGTATTTACGGATCATCGTCCTCTGCAGTATTACAAGTCGTCAAGTAAAGTGTCTCCTCGTTTGGTCCGCTGGATGCAAGATCTTGAAATGTATCAGCCATCTTTGGTCTACAAGAAGGGTGTTGATAATGTCGTTCCGGATGCCTTGAGTCGTCGTGAAGGTCCTGATTGTGAGCCTGATCCGGTGTCAATGGAACCTGAATTCCTATATGAAATGTCTACCACTATTTTGAACAAAGTGTTACAACCTTCTGATACTTCGCTGCTCACTGATCCTTGTCAAGGTTGGCCTATATTTTATAAGAAGAAGCGGGAAGATTGGCCCGAAAAATGGCGTGCTCAACTGGAAAAGGAGGAATCCAATTTTGAAATAGTTGATAATGTCTTATATCGGCTGAACCTTGAGGCTACGGGTAGAGAGGCTTCCAAACTGAAATTTATCACTTTTGCTCGTCGTGCTGATCTGATTGAAAATTTTCATCGTGGTTTTGGCCATTCGGGTCAATTAACGGTATATCATTTGATGAAGCAACGTGTCTGGTGGCCCTCTATGCGCAAAGATATTAATTATTGGCTAAAGACTTGTCCTGAATGTCAACTGCACTCTCGTAACGAGAAAGGTACCCATCATGCTCCCATGAAGCCACTTGAAGTTCCTGCTCCTTTTGCTCGTTGGCACATTGATTTCATTGGTGAACTGCCCACTACTGGTAATGGTAATTGCTGGATTCTGATGGCTGTAGATTATGCTACAAATTGGCCTATCGCTCGTGCTCTAAAATCTGCTTCTGCGGATGAAACTGTCAAGTTCATTTATGAAGAGATTGTGATGAAATTTGGTTGTCCTGTTGAAGTTGTCAGTGATCGTGGTGCAAATTTTCTCAGCAAGATTCTCAAGCAATATATGCACAAGATTAGATCAAAGCACATGCTTACCTCTGCATTCCATCCGCGTACCAACTCAAAGTGTGAAAGATTGAATCAAACATTCAAACATATGTTAACTAAGTATGTCAAAGGACTGGTTCACTCTTGGGATGAATATGTGGATTCATCACTGTTCTCTTGTCGTATCCGCAAGCATGCTACTACTGGATATAGTCCTTTTTACCTGGTCTATGGTCAAGAGCCTGTGTTGCCTGGCGATTCTCGTCGTCCTTTTATGGATCCTTTAACTGAGGAAGACCCTGAATTGATTGCTGAAGATGTTCTTGCTCGCATTCGTGATCTCAAGGAAAAGCGATTTGAGGCTAAGGAACAGATGATACTACAGGCTCGCAAGGACAAGGAACGATGGGATGCTGCGCTCAAGAGCAACAAGGCCCAAATTTTTGAGGTGGGGGATTATGTCATGTTGAGGCATGAATCCAAGAAGGGTTTGGAGTTCAATTGGATGGGTCCATATGTAATTTTGAAAACAAATTTGGATTACAACATCTACCAAATTCAAGAAATCGAAGGAAAAGTCTACAACTCCTGGGTTCACACGGATCGTCTCCATTCTGTCCAGTATGATGGTGCCAAACCCCAAAAATCTTGGTATATTCCTCGTGTTGCTAGAGCAAAATAGAATTTTTTTTTTCTTTGCCTACCCGTATTTTCTTTTGGGAGGAAGGTAGTGTCAGGTACACATAGTCTTTGTGTGTAACCTTTTAATTTAGTATAAATATCAAATCAGTTTGCAAAACAATAAAGATCATCTTTTATCTCGATTCTATTCTTTTATATACATTTGCCAAGGTCTACTCAATAACCGTATCTCTATTAACGACACTGTCGTGTTAACAAAATAGCCTACATGCACCTCATTTACTAGCATTTACAAAAAAGAATGCTGGTAGCAGGAATCGAACCTGCGTCGACACGGCCACAACGTGATGTACTGCCACTATACTATACCAGCTCCTGTTGATGTGTCAGATGCTAATACGTAGAGGTAGTATATGCAATCTGAGATCTGATCGAGATATAAATGGAAGTAGATATAGAGAGTGTGCAGGAAGATGTTATAGCCTTTTAATTGAATGGATAAAAAGGTGCTTTATTAATATTAGATTTGAACATTGATTTTATCCAATATAGTTTGTGTAATGTTGTGCGCTATCCAGGTTAATCGCTGTTTTTTAATGTTCCTGGTAGCTGGCGCTCTAGGTTTAAACCTGCGCTTCTTATTCTTGTTTGTGTTTAGTCTGTCAATGATATCCTGCAGATCTAAATCACTGTCAGAATACCCTTCAACCCTGACAGATGTTGTCGTGCCTAAATTTAGGTTTAAGCCAAATTTGAAGAAAGCGACTAAAAGGCGCCAGCATATACTCGAAGGTTCTGGAAACTGATAGCAAACATTGATCTGATTATCAGTTGCTATATCAAGTACTATATCTACTCGAAAGTTCCATTGATTAAGTAATTATCGATAGTAGAAATAGTATAAATATAAGTTGTAAATGCAATCAATAAACGGTATCTTGGAACATAATCTCAATCTATTAGTTACACTCTAAGTTATTTGTTAACTCCTACCATTGGATCTATCTATCAAGACGACAATGTGATACGTGTGTATTTTTCTCTTGGTTACTTGGCTCTATCTCGATTTCCTAAAAAGGCAATATACCGTATATGGGAAAGGCGCAAGATGGTGTATTCAAGGTATAATTCTCTAACTTATCTACTATGTCTTACTTGAAGGGTTACTCCTCGTTGGTGTGGTGTTCTGGTGCATTGACACACTCATATAATTGTTGTAAAACTGTATGTTATCTCTTGATGGTGCGTTGATACTGTTATTCTAGTCGATGTGGTCTCTATTTGGTGTATTGCTAATCAATGTTGGTGCTTACTCAATTGGTGTCGCTTCTATTTTGTTGTTGTTACATATTCGTTTGATCGTGGTGCTTCTTGTCAAGTTTAGCCGAAAATCTAATCAATATTTGGAGCCGATAATGTTGAATCGATGAATTAGTCAGGGATCTAAATGAGATTGCGCGCTAATAGCCAAGCATTACTATTTTGAAATGTGGATTTGACTCTGGACTTTGACTCAGGATAGATGCAAACCAATTGATGTCGAATCGATGCAAGATTCAAGTGGAATTACAACAATGGAATTGGGGTGTTACTATTTTAAACAATGGGATCGACTCAAGAACGCGGGTACATGAAATTGACATTAAATTGAAGGCAATCCAATTTGGGGTTACATTTGATCAGGGCATTGACATTCGGATCTGAATTGAGTCTGACAGGAGAATAGCAATAGAACAATAGCATATATAAATAGTATTTTGAATGGCATCTTAATAAACATTATCCATTTTCTTCTTGTTCTAATCTGGAGTTTAGTTACTAGTGCCAATCTAGTACGAACAAACCTAAAGAACCCTCAAATTCATCTCTTATAATTATTGGGACAGTTCTTACAGTCTTCCTTTCCACACAGCAATACTTGTATCTTGATTACCAACGACCAAGGTAATCATTATAGAGAGCTTGATATTTATCAGAATATGCTGTTTGTAAAAAATTACATGTATAGTAAACGGTAATGAATATTATCACGTGATGGCGTTTCTATCCTTTCTTGTTCCTTGTTGACATGATCAGTAATGTCTAAACAGTTATTTACGTGCAGAGCTTCATGTATATTTCTGTTAACAGAATTTATGCTGAAGTTAGCCAGATTTTCCGTATTGACATTCTACAGAAGTAGATTATGCAAGGCTTATGTTAATACAACAAGTATACCATCACTTCTTCTGTTATTGTTTTCTTGTAGATTTGACAATTGAATGCCATTTCAAAAACCATTTCATCTCGGAAAATTGCATGACAAAACTTTTGTTGATTGCATCATAAGTCATAAACGTACTGAAATTCTGCTCAATCATGTTAAAAGATAATCAAATAAACCATCATTATCCAACAAAGTCAATGAACAAAAGATTACGTTGTTTGCAATTAAACAAAATATGTACTCAATTGAAGTTGTCAACAAGAAAGAGAAGACTCCCTTTTCTTTTCTCCACGCAATTGTATTTAACTTTGCATTGAAAATAATGGATAGTCAACTAAGATTAACGATTAATAATGCCATCGTTGTACCAAGAACATTTGAGTAGCAGGCTTCGGGTCAAAGCATCATTAGAGCGTATACCTTGAACCCGTAATGATTCTTTGTATCTGTTTCGCATAATAGCAGTGTATTAATCTCTTTGTTGATAGAGAAGGAAGGGTGATGCTAAAAGTAAGCTCATTGCTTCTTTCAGAGGTGACCAAGGGCGTATACAACTTGTCTCTCAGTAACTCCAGCGACGATGCTTTAGCTATAACAGCTAGTGGAAGCTTACTACCATATAATCAGCACAAACACCTTAGCCAACATCGATACTCTCCATCAACTATGATGGTGGACGAGTTGAGTCTAATGTCTGACCGTGTTAGGCGAATGATGGATGAAGAGGCGTCTGCTACACTCAAGAAATCAGATAAACTTTACAGCGGTCCTTTGACCTCCAACACTACCATCTATCCTGGCTCTACTGCCTACTTGAATTTGCTATCTGGCCGTGGTAACTTTCAAGAGAAAAATGATAAAATGACACACGCAGAAGTCGCATCTAGGGCTGCTGCATTTCTTTTCGACGTACCTAGCCTCAAATTAGATACTTCATCACGTCGAGGATTCAAGAATTTTCTCGACAGCACGCCTATCTTTCGAAAGCGCACAGTCGATTCTTCAGATGATGGATATCTCAAGGAAGCAGGATGCTTTGAAAGTTCAAGTTGGAAAACACCTGATGCATTCAATGTGGTTTCTTCAAGAGAAGCAACAAATGACACCACATCAGAAAGTAGCAGCAATCAACATCCACATATTCTCAGAACGACCAGCAACGTGAAGATATACTTCCAATGATCCTTCGACCTACCGAGAAGTTCAAAATCGTAGGTATATGGTGGCCATCTAACAATTTTACCTCATGACAAATAAATCAAACATGTTTGCATGTATTTTGTATGATGTGTGCATGAAAGAGGATTCTCAACATGATCAGATCAAGATATCTTTTCATGGGCATTCCATGAAGGTTGCCTAGCTCAAGAGCTTAGTGTATCATACCAAATTTGACTCTACGTAGGTGCTTTCTATCGAATTTGCATGAATTAAAACTGACTTGATAAAGTGCGGGACAATAGCCAAAGCTGTAAAGGTTTGACTGATAAACTGTCAACTCGGAATCGTATCTGAGAATGCTGCAAGCTACCAAAATAATGGTGCATTCACAGCAAAAAGTAGTCGAAACTAGGAATCGTCTGTTTAGACGCTGCGCTGTAGCATTGAGCATCCTTTCATATGAATACTAGTTGACTTTTCTGTGACGGAAAAGACGGAAAAAGGGGAAACCAAACAAGAAGGGGTTGTTGGTTGGTGGTGCTACATGCGATTTCAAATTTATTGAATAGGCGCAAAAGCAACATAAAACGAAAATTCATTTTTATTTCTGTCTTCTTTTTTCTTTCCTTCCATTTACTGCAGTATTGGGTTCAAGCCAAGACAAAGGGACCATCAAACCAAGTAGAAATATGGTCGTAGCAGAGCAGCCTGAGGCAAACGACGTTGCTTTTAATACATTTATCGGTGTCTTGGTGTCCGTATGTGGCAATGTAAGTGTGTGCACTACCCAAATGATCCAAACATGAAATCTTACTTCAAGGGCAGGCACTGATATCAGTAGCTTTAAACGTACAAAAGAGAGCAGTAAGTACTCTGTCTAGAGGCACATGTGGCAGCATTGTAATTTCCTTGTTCATAGCACAACAACATACAAGAACGGCAGATGGCTAATTATTTTGCCAACATGGACGAACCACCTCAATGGATATCTACAGCACACTACAATGGATTCTTACCAGATGACGGATACTCCTCACCGAGATCATCACTAGAACAGCAGAATAGATCTGAGGCAGAGCTAATAGAGCATCAGAAATTCATTATGACAATGGCGCAAGAGCAGACAAAATCAGGAGACACTGAATACTTGAAGTCTAAATTGTGGTGGTTGGGAATCTCGCTGATGATTCTAGGAGAAGTAGGTAATTTTGTTGGTAAGTATGCGGCTACTAGGCAGCAGATTCAGTAAAATAACACACTTTGTAGCGTACGGATTTGCTCCTGCATCCACCATTGCACCACTCGGCACAACCACCTTGGTTGCTAATGTCATTTTAGCACCACTGATGTTGAAAGAAGTATTTAGAAAGCGAGATTTGATCGGTGTTATACTGGCAGTGTCTGGTGCTGCTATGGTCGTTTTCAGCTCGAATTCTGAGGAAGTTGCTGTAGGGTTACCTAAAAGATACTATCGGCTGACATAAAGGTATTAACCCACGTTTTTTTTTTTTTATATATAGCTATCACCTGAATTAATCATGGAATCGATTACTCAAATGCAATCCATCATCTATTTTATTCTAACGGGTGTAGCTATTGTGGCATTGACGGTGTTGTCTCCAATCTATGGCGCCTCAAGCATCATGATTGACTTGGGTTTGGTAGCCATCTATGGTATGTAACAGCACCTCGTATATTTTGACATTTTATACTAATGGGATTCAAAATTTAGGTGGTTACACCGTTCTTTCCACCAAGAGCGTGGCATCCTTATTGAGTTTAACCTTTTTTAAAATGTTTGCGTAAGTATCTTGAAGCGTATTTTATATGTGTATGTTCTCACCACCACCATCTACAGCTATCCTGTATCATACCTCCTCATCTTTGTGCTGGTTGTTACAGCCGTCTTGCAGATCAAGTACCTCAACAAGGCATTGCAGAGATTCGACTCAACAGAGGTGATACCAACCCAATTTGTGCTGTTTACTGTGTCGGCCATCATTGGAAGTGCAGTACTTTATCACGATTTTGACGACATGGGCATGGAACAGATGTCAAGATTCATGTCGGGCTGTGCTATTGAGTTTCTGGGCGTCTATTTGATTACATCCAAGCGCACCAAGAGCAGCAACTCGCCTGCATTATCAATCAGTGCCGACAGTGGTACAGCTATTTCATTCTCGGACGAAGAAGCACTTGACCGGGTGAATATGCTCCCAAGTGATCATATCGCGAATAACAGAAAGAGAACAGCGAATACGTTGACATCATCTGGTGCTACATCTTTTGCCAGATCGACTCACTCCAACAATCCGGCTTCTTTTGAAGCATGGCAAGAGGCCAATCCTCACATCACCATTAGCGGTACTACCGGAATTGGCAGTGGTCATGCACATCATGGACATCGCAGACAAAGTTCAGTGTTTAGAGGTATTTCAATGGCTTCCCAATTATTGGATCGCAATGACGAGCAACAGCCATCGGGAGGTGGCGGCAGTGCAAATGGTGGTGGTGCCATTCAATTGCCCATCTCGTCTTCGCCCAATACAAACTCAATCTTCAATCACCATAGAAGAAGGGATTCGGCACTCGGAAACATCATCAATGGCATTACATCAGCCATTTCATCGCATACCCATACAAACGACCCTGCATCCTTATCAGCAGAAGACGCAGATGCTGTTGAAATCGAATACCCACACCTTCTTCATTCCAATCATTCCGAAAACACATCCTTAGATCGTGAACTGATGCCTATTTCCACCATCAACTCCAACAATACAATCGGCAATACCAAGAAAAGCACAAAATTAGTAGACATTGAAGAACAATCATCAGAGGAGGAGAGAGATTTATCCTAGATTTTATAATATTAATACCCTTATCTTTTACAATATTTACGCCATTAAATTATTTATCTAATCCCAAATCCAGGTACGGACTTCATGCAAGGATCACAGTAGAAGCTTCTCTAATATCTGTTACTGATGACAATAGTCTTTTTCTACAATGTGTAACTGAGTGTCGCTGTTTCACCAAATGTCGCATAAATCAAGACTTTAAGTGGCGCAAAGGCATCATGATTATGTCTTTTATCAAAAAAAAAAAAAAAAAGATATACTGTATAATCGAATTGCGGCAGGGAATACTCTAAACCCAATCCCTAACGCAACGTCATTTGATTCTATCCTATATTCTTAAAATTCCATTTTGCCTTCTCCCATTTGTCATAAAAATACAGACTATTCAGGGACATCCATTACATTTTATATAAATATTTTATTCCATACAATATTCTACAATCTATGCATACATGCCAACTTTGTCAATGGACCAAGTTTACTCCGTCTTTCTCTTCTTGTTGGAGGCTGTTTCTTCATTTGCTTGATTCTCGGGAAGATCGAGGAATTTGCGAAGGCCAAAGATAGTATAAAGATCAAAGATCTTATCAGACTTGCAAACTTCAGCAGCGTTGATTTGCTTTGATAACTCTTGCTCATCATCACCAAAGACATGGATGAGCTTCTCTCCATCCAAAGATGCCCAAAGTTTACCCTGTAAGTCATAGGCAACATCAAGAATAGGTGAAGGAGCAAGCTTGGTTTCACTGTACACGAATCCAACGTCCTCTTTCCAGTTCAAAATGAGGACAGCAGGAGACTTGGCAAATGCGACAGCAAGCGTCTTGGTATTAGTATCGAAAGCCAATGCACTGATAATAGCATCCTCAGAATTGGCATCAGCAGCAGGAGGTTTATAAGCTTCAATCTCGGATTTCAGGTCGATAACTTGTTTGTTGGTTCCCTTGACATAGTCCCAAAGACGGACGGTACCATCACCACCAGCTGATACTAGAATGGCCTCATCCCAGGGCAAGATGTCAATACATGTAACAACACTATCATGTACAAAAAATGTTGAGTTGTCTTGAATTGGGTTCAACTATATAAAGATAGACTTACTCTGTATGACCAAGACAGAACGATTCAATGTTGTAGCCGTTGGGGAAACGACTAACTCTAATGTGCTCATCACGATCAGATGTAACAACGTATTTATCATTAGATGTCAACAACTATCCATTTGCAAATTAGCAGCAAGAAACAAGCATACTACCATCTACTTACCATATCGGTCACCATGGAGACATGACCAACAATAGGTTGAAGCTTCTCTTGGCCCTCAGCACCTTGCTCGGCAGGATGACTGTGTAATAGATTAATACGAGGTTCAATGTAGGGCATGTATTGTTGATATTTTACAGATAGACATCACCAAACTTATCAGCAGCAAGTAATTGAGTTGAGTCTTTGTTGAATGCAATAGCATTGACACGCTTATAAGCAGGTCTACATGTAGGTTGTCATGGTTACTAAAAAAATATAGATCAGATCGGCGTACCTTGCACTTTACCTAGAAAACTTTAATGACCAATCCTTGGTATCCCAAACACAGACTTCCTTGTTCTCGCCAGAAGTAGCAAGCAAGGAACCGTCCTTGTTGAATTGCATGCTACGATAATAATCACTGACATTATCAATGTTGGCATCTTGAGGGTAAGATTTGATCAATTCGCCAGTACTAGAAAGTGACATGTCAGATGGATTTGTTACAGAAGCTACAAAGAGAAAGTGTGTCTACCTGGTGTTTAAAACTAAAAAGTGGTGACCATTAGCTAAAACAAGTTCAGGCTTGGTGGGGTTGTGCACAATCTTGGTGAATGGAAGTCTGGTAGACATGGTGCAATGAAGTATGTTGTATTGAAAAAAGACTTTTTCTGATGTTTGATGGACATTCTAATAAACATTTGTGGTGACTCTTTTGTTTGACGTCCGGATTCTACATACATTAAAGGAAGGGAGGCCAAACGAAGTCCGGGTCATTTGCAAATGTGGATCAAGACATGAACCCTCGAACAACGGGGTTTGGATCCTCACCAAAGGGGAATTTGGGAAAGGAAGTATTGTGTGGTTGAAGCTGCCGAATATTGACAAGCCCCCTCTTTCATCATCGCATTGTAAGTTAATATGTAAAAGTGCAATGAGAGATGCGAGAACAGAACAGACGAGGATGATACATATAGAGAACAACACAGCGTCAGCAAAGATGAGAGAGAACGAGATGGATTGATCAATATGATGGATGCCAACATTTGGATGAAGGAACAGCAGATAGACCTTTGTCATAGAAAATGCCACACATACACACATGCTCAGATGCAAACATATGGACTCATATACACAAATGACAGCACAGTAAATGGTCCCATGGACAATTATGCTATTCTGTTCTTGTTGATCTCTGTTGCAAATGTATATTATAGTAACATTGGCATTAACATTTCCTTATTCAAGGTACAAACATGCTTGTCTCTAAGCAAAACAGAAAGGTTATCTACGAGGCTCTCTTCAAGGGTAAATGGAACAGAAAAAGCAATAGCAACACATTCAGTATTAAACAAAGAATCTCTTCTTATAGATGGTGCCCTTGTCGCTCCTAAGGATTACAACCTTCCCAAGCACGCCGATCTCGATGTCCCCAACCTCGAAGTCATCAAGATCATGCAATCTTTGACCTCCAAGGGTTTCGTCAAGACCCAATTCTCTTGGCAATGGTATTACTATACTCTCACTGATGAGGGTATTGATTATCTCCGTGAATGTAAGCACTCTTTGTTATGTAGATGATGGCATTGAGAGCGGCAGTATACTGACAGTTCCAACATAGATCTTCACTTGCCTCAAGAAATTGTTCCCGCTACCTTGAAGAAGTCTGCTCGTCCTGCTGCTCCTCGTCGTGCTTGTAAGTCGAGAGTTTTGATCTGATGTAAGATTTGTAACTAACAGTGAGGTGATTTAGTCGGTGGCGACCGTGAGAACCGTGGTCCTCGTGGTGATCGTGATAACTACAGACGCAAGGAGGGAGCCAACGGTGACTTCAAGCCTGAGTTCCGTGGTGGTCTTGGTAAGTTGTTGGAGTGCGTTATAGAGAAGAGATTACTTATATGGAATGTGTGTAGGTCGTGGTAACCGCGAATAAATCTTTTAACAAGTTTTATATATCTTTATGATTGAACATTTAAAAGAAAAATAAAATAAAACGATTACATGAACAATGTGTATTTACGAACTAGCCGATCTATCTCGCTACGCTCGATGTCAGCGTCGCCCTGCGGGCTCTCGCCGAAGATAATTCAGATCAGAGATATCAGGTAGATTTTAAACAATCAATTAATAGTAGAAAAAAGAATATATCAGATTCAGGAAGGAGGGATGTCCATTCGCTGATGCTGCTCTTGAGATGGCGACATAAAGCTGGCTATGCGTAAACACAGGACTTGTGTAAGATCTACAGCGATTTTTTGAGGTATTGTCATTGCAAAGGGCATCTTTATAGGGAAAAACTCCCAAAAATAGTATTTACACTAAGCAATTGTCCTTTCAATTCCATGATCCCCATTTAATCAGCATTGCAATCATCATTGTTATCAACAGAAAGGCATTTAGGTCATCCAGCAGCAATGCCACCGCCAAGTTTTATTCAAACTCAGCTAGTTTTTTCTGTTCAAGGATCTATTACTAACTCCATCTTTCGATTTAAAATCGAAGAAAAATGTTCAAGATTGGACAGATTTCGTCTTTTTTCGACTTCTTTAATCTATTTTGTTATACTCGACTATATAAACTGTAATGATCAACTTACGCTTCCTAATACATTCTTGAAGCACTTTTCAAGGCGCTTCCAATGGTGCTAATTGTTATAAATGTTTTGACTGAAGTTATTGAGTAATTTCAAAAAGTGTAAAATGAGGTTTTTAGCAAAAATAGTCATATTTTGCATATGAAAACTTCTTAAAAGTGGTTTCAGGGGTTGCTTTGGATCGAGAGAAACATTTTGATTTAATATATAAATAAAAAACACATTTAAATACAAAAAAAAAAAAAAAATTTGATTTAATATATACCATAGTAAAAGTTTTCATTTTCAAGGTGAAAAATGCGATCGTTTGATTTTCGATGAAAGCCGTGAGCTACCCCTCATGGTTTTCGGTTGATTTTTGGTCATGTTTTTTTGGCTCAAAAAGTTGAGCAAAGGTGTCAGGATATTACTACTACTCAAGCACAATTGTTTGGCGTCATTCCGGCGGCTCGGAAAGGTCTACAAGTCAAGATATGAAAGCTTGAAAGCTGCCAAATTTGGTTGTTGCTTTATTGAGTTTACTTACACAGCATGAATCACATCTTTGTTAGATGCAATTAAGCCCTCATATAGATCAATATTACCAAGTGTTGGATTAAACGTCTTATTACCATGGCTTTGCACCTTTGCTTCGTTATGGTAAAACCCTCCTATAAATCAATGCTATCAAGTGTTGAATTAGACGCGTTATGTTCTTCCCCCAAACCCCCTCCCCATTGCCGACTTTGCCGGTGGGTTTATTCACCTTGTACGGCACACAATTCTTTAAATTTTTGAAAGGATATGATTTGTTTGTGTATTTTTTTTCATAGTTTTCCAGTATATATATTAGTGATAGCTGGATGACATTGGACGCAATCGAAATCTGTTTGCATTCGAGCCACTGGCATGTCCATTTTGATGAGCAATGTAAAAGGACCTCTGTCCAGGCAATGGAGACGGCATCAACTAGAGAGCAGTGTAGTCAGCATTTTTGGGATATGTTCTTCATGCTGAACTCTACAGCTGAAAGCCCTTGACATGTCTATATACCATCACGCCCTATTCAAAGGACAGTGATTAAAGTCACAGTTAATGCGTAGCAAAAAAGTATTCAATGCCATCTGGAAGATTTGATCCTTTTTTTTTTCTTTCATACCACATCATGCCAGAAACCTCCTCCGCAACAACAGCAGCAGCACCTAGCCGGCTGACACAAGAACAACTAGATAGAATTGCTGCCAACAAGGCTAAAGCATTAGAGATCCAGGCTGCGAAACGAAAAGCAAAGGAGCAAGCACAACCGCATGAAGCTCCCAAGAAAGCAAAGTGGATCAAGACCTTTTATGAGTATGATTTGAGCACATTGGTGGATAGTAAGGGTGGATTTATCGTGGATGAAACAAGTGATGAAAAGAAATTTGATGAAAACAAAAAGGAAAAGTCGTATGCCATAGAACCTTATTATCGTAAGTGGTAGCTAGCACACACATTTGACAGCAAAGAACAAGGTTTTAACATGTGAGCAGCCCCTTCGTTGGAGGCATCTGAAAACCCCAAATGTAAAGAGTGCAGTTCAATGGACCTGGATCCCGTATTTTTCAACGTCTTTCACATCTTTCTCTGTCCAACATGCAAAGAGAAGTTTCCTGAAAAGTACAGCTTGATCACCAAGACAGAGGCCAAGGAGGATTATTTACTGACAGATCGTATGTATATGCACATATTAACAGCGGATAATATTAATGTGCAGTATATAGCTGAATTGAAGGATCCCGAGCTATTGCCACATTGGTCCAAGCCTAATCCACACAAATCCACATGGAACGACATGATGCTGTACGTCAGAGAGATGGTCGAGGAATACGCCTTTAAGAAATGGGATGGACCCGAGGGATTAGATGCAGAATACGAACGACGAGAGGCACAGAAAAAGGACAAAAAGGACAAAAAGTTCAAAGAGAAGCTCGCTGATCTACGACGACGCACCATGACGAGTACTTGGGAGAGAAAGCGACAGGAAGGGCCGCACAAGCACGAATTTGATGATTCTGTCGAGGATGAGGATGGAAACACAACACAGACATGCAAAACTTGCGGTTTAGTGATAGAATCTGAAGAGTTTTGAGAGAGCTCCTTTAAAAAAAGGAGGGAAAGAACACTATTTTTTCCTCAACATTCAAACCATACTTTTCGTATACGTCTCCTTGAAGCACAAAGAGACCGGATTCCCTGCATGCTAGTGCCAGCAGCATCTTGGATGATCCATGTAAGCATCCCTTGTACTTGTTTCTTTCTTTCTTTCTCTCTCTCTCGTCTTTTGCTCTTGTAATTAATAAAATGAGGTTCATTTGGTATATAAATGTGTTGCGATTTCTGGTCTTGCTGATCAGCGTGATTGCATTCATCTGTCATGTATCGCAGTGTCTTTTATTGAATGCCTACCGAGAAAAAGTAAGGTTTCCTCTTATCTGGCACTGCATTTGTTAACACTGAATACGCAGACAGGTATTCCAGATTGGCTGACAGCTGGACACTGGCAGGTATGTACCACTATACTTTCTCGCTCGAGGTAGATCCTGACATACTTTTCTAGTATCTTACCTGGTACATTTCTCTCTGTCTTTCACTGGCTGGAAGCTGTGCGATCTGTCTCAATGCAACATGGCTCAAGCGGCCTACCCGCTATTTTCTCGACAAATGCATTGGATCTCTAGTGATTCTGCCTGCATTGGCCTCCATCATCACAGCTACGCTGTTTGAGTCCATAGAGCCTTGGACAGACGGACATGTCAAGGTCGAGAGATCTGGCCTACTGAACTCGTGCTACTTGCTGGACTCTACACGAGACAAGTTCTATCCCATGTTGTATCAAAGGTGGAGCTTAATTAAGCCAGTTGTCATTGCAATGCTAACAATACTTGATGTGATATAGATGTATGCTGAGTGACACAACCTGGATCTGTGCAATATTTCTCTGTATCAATTGGGCCATCTTGGTCGCTTTTGTCATGTTTGTCACAAAGAAATGTAATGATAAATCAATATCATCCACAGTAGCAGTGGCCAAAAACGCAATTCGGCCTGCAGCACAAGAGCCAAAATGGGGTCGCTATATTCCTGATCCACCTTCGTCCATCTACTCTGCAACAACATTAGGTAATCGCTCTGGTTTGCTGACCCCCTCGTCTACATTGACAAGAGACAAGCACAGCGAATTCTACTACAATTGTGCCTACAGCAGAGAAAGCATACCTAGTCTGCCTCTGCCGAGTCCCTACAGAGAGCATTCTTCCGATTATCTGCTGAAAGGAGCCAATTATCTTAGTACCGGATCGTCTGAGTTTTATGATAATCATACTACTAGCAACAGTAAAGCATCGTCCGCTTATTACTGTGGAAAGAGATCGCCCTCCTCATCGTATTACTACAAATACAGCAGCGAGCGATTCCATGGCAGCGGTGGCAAAAGAGGAGGAGGAGGAGGAGGAGGGGGAGGAGGAGGAGCAAGACGAGGAGACGAAGCATATGACAATGGTCGCAGCGACGACGACGAGGAGTATGATGTGGTTGCAGAAGAGGAGAGGCAAAACGATAGATATAGCTACAGGTACAATAGCTCAAAGCCCCTAAGAGTCAACACTGCGTATCACTCTCCCTCGTCTTATTCAGCTGATAAAGAGCTGGAATCAGCTACCACAGTTACGACTACACCACTCTACCTTAAATTCAGCAGCAAATCACCTACATTTGATCTGTTATCAGACAAGAAATACAATTCGTATTACTAATAATAAATGGCTGGATACATACGTGTATTGTATGAATAAGACAGATGATTTTATTACAATAAAAATGTAGAGGGAAGCGAGAAGAGTGCATGATAGTATGACGAACAAGGAGGAAATGAGGTTTTAAAGGCAATTACATTGACCTTCAAAGCAGCCATTGGATGACCTTGACAAAAACTCGCAAACAGCTTTACATCCATCACCATTATTTCCAGTTTTACAGCTACCAGTGCCTACATCAGTACAGTAGCATACACCAGAGACGCACATGGGCTGTAGTTGAAGTGGTCCGCAGGAATACCGACACAAGAGATCATCTGTCGCTACATCACAGTTTCCCTTTTGTTCGACATGAGCTGTTACTGTCAGCAGTAATAGTAGAATAGTTGCTAATGATGAATACATGTTGATTGCAAGAGAGGAAAAAGAGAGACAAACAGACAAATTGGCAAATAGTTTGAATTCTTTATAAGTTGTGCTATTTGTACATATTAAAAAAAGTTAGGAGAAGGAGACACACACATTGGGATAGAAAGGGAGTGCGCATAACAGTTTATTAGAGTTGGAACGGACAAGTGGGAAGATTTGCATAAATGCATTAAAGAAATTAGTCGAGGTATTGTTAGTGGTAAATAGGCGGTTTAAAGTACAAGGAAATAGCAACAGTTATAATAGTAACAATGGCTGAGGAAGAAGGAATATTTACAACACCATGTTGATGTATAGTGTGTGAGTGTACGTTACTGAAAAATCTCGGTAAACGCTTCATGTAATACAGTTACACTGATCATCCATACAAAATCCAACGAGACTTGGAGACATATCTTGACACAGAGCATCGCAAGATTCGTGGTCATCGTCCTCGCATTTACCGATCTCTGCTTTTTCAGTGCAATAACATTTGTTGAAAATACAGTTGCCTCGTCCCTGAACCATTTCTTGACATGCAAATGCGCAATCAGATGAATCGCCTTGAGTCTGGCAAAGACCATATTCGCTTAGATCGAGTGATTTTGCTCGGACAAATGCCATCATGTATGAAAAGGCAAGTACTGTGGATAATTTCATGGCAAGCTGATATTGGCAGTGGGTGAAGAAATGAAAATGTGCGAATGTAAATGAAAATATAGAAAGAAGGAAATAAAAAAGCTAAACTATCATATGGGTCTCATTTTATATACACTTGCTGTTCTGTAGCATGATACTTTGTAACCAAGAGAAAACACGCGTTGTGGAGACTGATAAAGGATGGCCTGTCTTACAACTAGCACTTTCTTCCATTTCGACAATTAATATATGTAATAAATCAGATTAAAATCTTGGTATTTAGACATCTTGCATGTATATTCTTTCTTGCTTTTTTTCTTCATTGCTTCCTCTATTGCTCGGAATACGACGCTCTCAAGTATATATGTCTGAAGGTGGTACCTGGCTGAATTATATATAATACACACTGGCTAGTTAATAACCTGATGGTCCCATAAAGAGAATAGCTAGAAACTCAAATGAACCAACAAAAAGGCCTTTGATAATTGTATTATTGTCACACACTTCTTGACATTCTAAAGAAGAAATTTTTCCAAAATTTGCGGTTGTCCGAAAAAACATTGACATGCGATGATCTCCACACACACATTTACGCATACAAACGCACACAAATAAAAAGCATTGCTATAGCCAACACAAAAGGCTACTTGGATATGATGCTCACCAATATGGCGTTTCTAATTTATTGATAACATTTTGTATAAAACAGAAATTTGAAAAAGGAAAATGCGAGGAGTGGGAGTTGAGTTACACACATGGGCCTGGAAAAGCGTGAATTGCCACCTCTTTTATACAAATCTACAAATCCCAAGAGACCTTAAGGATTTCTCTCTTGACAGTGCTTTCGCTCTCAAACACTTTCTCGTACTTGAGCTTATCGCCATCACAGTCTTTTGTCTTGACCAACAGATTGCAGAAGGGCAAGATGCCTCCACCCACACCGAAATAGACAGTTTTGGCAGCGACATAACTACACAGACATGGGATCAGCAAATTCACCTTATAAATTCTAATTTAATTGATTGCAAATGTTTACCAGACACCATCAGGTTTTTTGAGTGCTTTTTGGAACACGCTAATCAAATCAGGCAAGGCGTGTTCTGCATAGATAGTTTCAGATGTAACAATCATATCGTACTTTTCATGATCGACGTCCAATTGTCCCTGCGTGTGCGTGTGTACCTTTTAGCATCATTTTTGTCCAACATGACTAGTAGCATAGTGAACACTTACGGGCAAAGAACTCCAATCACCTACAAATGCTCTTGTGCGAGATGAAAGTTGTTGCAACATGGTGGGAATGTTTTCACTTAAAATCTCGGCCTCTGCATCACATGTATCCGCATCTTCTTCAATGCGCTTTCCTTCCTCGTCATCCTCCTCTTCTTCATCCTCTGAATCTACCTCAGAATCTGATGGCTCCTGATTTTCCTCGTTTTTAGCTGCTGATGGTTCCTGAACAGTCAATACGGTGTTTAAAAGGATGTTTGGTATAGTGATGTAGCGGATGACTTGGTCGTTGTAATCTTGGACGTCGACTCGATTGGTGCTGCTGTGGGATAACAAGTACAGTGATGGAAGAGATGAGCCGCAACCAAGCTATAATACAGCAGATGAGATGTCTACATAAAGCTCCCATCAATACGCTCTATGCTTACCTCTAAAACTCGCTTATTTGTAATTTGTTCCTCTGGTAATCCTGATAGATACTGCACCATATCAATGGAGCATTCCCAAGTCTTGAATCCACCCTCGTATACACCTTTGATCAAATCAGTATTGCCGCTCAAGTTCAACATGTTGACAACATCTGCTTCTTGTGTATCATCGACGAGATTGTCTTGCTCGGCCATTTGAAACTTGACATCAGCTAATGTACGCTTCATTAGTGGTTTTTCGAGATTAGGAATGTGAAGAATATCAGCTTGAATGACATTTGGTAAAGGTGAAGACTATTCTCACCGGTTAGATCTCCTTACGAAACATGATTTCGCACTAGACATCTTACAAAAATATCGTACTCTCGGCTAGGGATTTGGTTTAATGCTTCCTTCTTTTCGTCAATGCTCAAATCATGGAGACTCGATTCCAATTGCTGATTTTCTTCATTATCTTCGAGGTCGAGATCCTCATTCTGGGAGAGCAAACATTAAAAGTCCATATAACAAGTCCATGTTCTAAACCCTCTCTTACAGTAAAGTTGAATTTGAATGCCATATTACTGCGTTAATGTAGATAAAAAAAAACCTGGTAAAGCAATACAAATCGAAACCATGTTGGTTGGAGAAAAAAAAAAACGTCTCGACAAGCCACTTTAATACTGCCTCTGTTCAGTGCCTGATGAAATGTTACCTGATCAGACACTTTAGAGTAACATCAAAATCTATGATCCTTTGAGTTATAGACATACAAAACTATGCATACGCTAAACAGCAGTGTCTTTGCAGATATAGCAAGCTACTTACCATAGCATGGCTGCAAACCGTAACCCACAACTTTGCATGGCTTGAACAACCTATTTTGTTAAACAAACAAGTAGGCAATCTCCGAGCCAGCAATTTATTGTTGGTCAAAGATGAGCACACTTTTCGTTGCGAATCAGAATGCGCAAAAGAAACAGTTTTGTAAAATCCAATTGATCCTTCTGAGGCCAAACAATACGTGTATTAATAATAAGTTAAAAAGAAAAATGCCTGCCTACTGAATAGCCTACTAGGTGAATGCATGATATGAATGATGATATATAGTATGAATGGCTAAACGGAATGCGATCGAGCCAATGGCTTCAATGGTATTAATGATGGCAGTGCTTCAAGAACACATGGGATTCACTCCTGTCGACCAGATGTAGGATCCCAGAATGACAAACATAAAGCATTGAGCTATTGCCACTGATAGAAACCCATAAATGTAGCTTGGTCTTCTTGGCAATGTAGTTAGCTCAACCTAAATATGTGAATATTTGATGATTTCAGATAAACTTTTCCGGGCTTATTGCCTTTAAATCTTACCATGAACGTAGAGATAGTGGTCAAGCAACCGCAGTAGCCACCTGCTAAGCCAGCGACTACATCGCAAGCAATGGCAGTAATATGAGGGCTGGATTGAGCCAAAGCGAGAACGGCAAGGACAATGGTGCCAAACACATTAGCAGCAAAAGTGCCAACTGGAAAATGGAGTAGTCTTCCGTTATAGAATGAAAGGTACCAGCGGGTGAGAGCACCTACAGGAGCAAACACACAGGCGAATGCAAGATCTCTTTGATAAGGGGAAAAGATGGCAGCAAATACGACGCCAAGCCATGATACAAAGGCAAATGTAATTGTCAAGTAGTCCTTTTTTGACATGTACCTGAGTGAATATCCACGAGCTATCAGTTTCGGTTCACTTTTCAAAGAGTGTCTCTTTTCTATCTGATTTGAGAGCATGTCTCCAATGTGTTGGCCAAACAAGAGGCCATTCAACGACATGGCAAGTGTCACCAAGAATTCAGACATTGCCGCTAGTACGTTTTTGCCTCTTGTATGCGCATGCCCATTGTAGTTGGCAAATTCTTTGAAGATACCAAGCTGCCATGAGGAAAAGGTAGTGATGGAGCCACATAGGCCGGTTGTAATGCCTGGATGTATAGGTTGATACCTTTGATTTCGGTTTGCACACAAATAAAATAAACAAATTAGTATATATTAACCATTTTAGGACATATATATCCTTGTTACCATAGAAACAGTGTACTCTTATTCTTGTTAGTTAGTCCCATGATAAGGCAGCCTGCCCATTGAGCATAGACGAGACCAAAAACCGGAGCACCAGTGTAATTTTGTAGTCTTTCTAGTGCGATACGGATCAATGCACCAGCGATAGAGAATGGAATGATAGCCGCAGCCACGGCAATCTTATTTTCACTGATGTCAGTAGTTTTCGCTTGCAAATCACTCATGATGATATTGTGAAGTGTGATCTATGTTTTCATATATGCAAAATATACAAAGGTAAGAGCAAGAACAAAAGATCACAAAAAAGTGAAAAAGATCATCCGAGCCCGAAGATACGGAGATATGGACTGGCTTTCCCTAATCTAACATCTTTGACATTTCCTTACATAAGAAATTGCTCATCTTCTTTTTCTTTATCTCTCCTTTTTGTTTCATATACTAGATTGGAAATGGGTAATCCTCTTGAATTGTACACAATTCGTGCTGCTGTCGAGTCTGATGTTCCTCAAATCCTCGAAATCTACAATGAACGTATTGCCAATTCAACCTGTTTGTTCATGTACGAGCAAGTTTCTCTAGATAATCGATTAACTTGGTTCATGGAAACCAAGGCCAAAGGATATCCCATCATCGTAGCTGCTGAAAAAGACACCAACAAGGCCATTGCATACGCCAACTATGGTGGATTCAGACCTCACACTGCCTATGTATTGTAAGTGAATCAAAGCATTTAGAGCTTCGGATGGTTATGAAAGGGGTCAATTTTTCTGACAGGTGCATTATAGAACCACCGAAATCTCTTTGTATATCCATCAAAGCCATCAACGTAGAGGATTGGGCGCAGTGATGCTCAAGGAAATGATGCGCATTGCAAAGGAGATGAGCTTTCGCAACATAATGGCTGGCATCACATCAGAGAATGAAGGGTCCGTCATTCTCTTTTCAAAGTTTGGATTCAAAAACGTTGGACACTTTCACGATGTTGGCTACAAGTTTGGAAGATACTTGGATGTTGTGTTTTTAGAGTATGTCACAGATGCTCAAATCCCTAAAGGTCAAAGCATCCCATCATTCAAGGCATTTGATTGGAAAAACTATGTTTATGGAGGTCAACAGTAGAAAATAGAGCCTTCGAATAAACTATATATCTAGCTAATTGTCAGCAAACAGAGGAGCATAGGGAAGTGATGCTGTCATGCCTCCATCCACCTTGATGTCTTGGCCAGTGATATATGAAGCTTCAGGCCCAGCTAAAAAGGCTGCCATTGCGGCAATCTATTATAAAAGGTTAGTAATCCAACCTCCTGATTCATGATATCCACAAAATACCTCCTTTGGGTCGCCAAATCTCTGCAAGGCAGAGCTTGTCATAAGAGTGGTTTCCATGGTTCCATTGCCTTTGATGGCTGCCAATACTTTTTCTGTCATCTCTGTCACGATGAGGCCCTATGTTCATGACATTTCAGTTCAGACATGCCATGATAGATGTGAGCAATCTTACAGGACAAATTGCGTTCACTCGAATGTTCTTTCCGCGCAATCTCCAAGAAGCAGATTGACACAGGTTGATAACACTGGTACAAAATCTTGGTTAGATGAGTTTCAGGGCATTGCTATCACTGCTTATTTACGCTGCTTTAGATGCAGAATATGACATTGGACCTGCGCCAGATCGAACACCAGCGACTGTCGAATGCAACAAATGTTAGTATTCATGCCATCCTTTTAAATTGATATACTGTACCTGATGCTGTTGCTATAATTGACCCATTGCTGGAAGGCTTTTCTGCAGATGTCTTTTCCATTGCCTCTGATGCATATTTAATTCCAGCGTAAACACTGATTTTTACCTATCAGTCTTCTATCACACATCAAGCTGACTGCAAACTATTTACCTCCATGAATTGACTCGCATCATGTTCAAGAATTCATCCTGTGTCTCAGTTTTCATAGGGTGAGGACCTGCAATACCAGCATTTGCAAAGTACACATCAAGTCGACCGAATTTGGCCATGGCATCTCCTATTACAGCTTGAATATCATCGTCTGAGCTAGCATCCATATGCTTTGGGATACATTCAACGCCGGTTGTTTTATATATATCTTCAGCCAAAGACACTAAATTCTCCTCAGAAATATCCGTAGCGTAAATAGCTCGAGCATTCTTTTTGGCAAATGCGTATACAGCAGCTCGACTACATAATTCTGTATTAATAGTATTTCATGGTTATAAAGCATCAATGCACCATACCCAATACCAGTCAATGAATTAGCACCTGTAACGATACAAACCAAGTTATCCATGTTGCTAATCTGTTAATGTATGTGTGTGTGAAAAGCAATAGAATAAGCGAATATAGGTTAAAATGCTGCATTATATCTGAAAATTCAAGGGGTACACAAGAAGGCTAAACCCATTAGTACTTCGCACGCATAAATTTTATGTAATAAAGTATTTTCCAAAAATCAACAAGCTGATAAACGCCATGGGAAATATGCTTGCATAAAGCTGAGTAGTGTTTTGCTGTGGCCGTAGACGCCTGTAGAGCTCTATTGATTCATAGACCAATGTAAACTACTAGCTAATGCTAAGAAACTCTGTTGAGGCTATCCTTGATTTAATTTGATTCTATTGGGTCGATGTGGAGTTGTCACGAAACGAGCGACCGGTCAGTGCAACAGTGTCCAACTGAAGAGAGTCAGAGCTTTGGTGAATTATAAAATAAAAATATCTAGTTAATCAATCACATCAAAACGGCGCTTCTCTGCAAGGGTCGATATTCAAAATATCTCAAGCTATTTTAAATACGATGTCAATTACATTTCGCATTAGGATTTGCACCTCATTAGGAAATTTTACTACGACTGAATCTGTTATATATAAAAAATACATTATAAAAATAGAAAATAGTATTCAAGTTAAGCTATGACACTGTTCAAGTTGTGTTCAAGTTGCAATCCCCTCCTTATTAGTTTTGTAGACATCAATTATCTAGATCAGAGATGCGTTTTGTCAGCCAACAAGCAGCCACCACACACCACCACCAAAGCTGATTAAATGTTCGCTCAACACCATGCCGCATGCCTTGAATTTTGCGAGCATAATGTCTGACATCTGCCACCCACCGCCATCTCTAAAATATTTACCAGAAAACTATATAAAAAACGTCGAAGTGATCAATCAGAGATCAGAGACGTAAAAAAAATTAAAGCACTGAGTACCGTACAAGGCTCGAAAAACCACTGGCGAAGCTAGCATTGGAGAGGGGGGGAAACTTGGTCCCTCCACCAAGAACATAACGCATCTAATTCAACATTTGGTAACTTTGATCTACAAGAGGGCTTTACCTTAGCGAAGCGAAGGTGCAAAACCATAGCATTCAAGCAGCCAATTCAGCTTTATATTTCTATTATTATTAAGCCTACCAATAATATAACGCATCAAAATTTGCATGAAATAGTCTTACCAAAATCAATATTCCTTCTACTTGAACTAGAACTTACGCAGGCTGCAGACCTGTTTTTCCAGAAGAGTATAGCTACCAGAGATGTAGTTCATACTATGTAAACAAAAGCTATAAAGCAAAAGCATAACCAAATTTGACAGCTTTCAAGCCTTCATACCTTAACATGCAGATCTTTCTGAGCCACCAGAATAACGCACTCGAGTAATAGTAACTTCCTGACACCTTTGCTCAACTTTTTGGGCCAAAAAAAACATGGCCAAAAATCGACCAAAAAGCATGAGGGGTAGCTCATGGTTTTCATCGAAAATCAAACGATCGCATTTTTCACCTTGAAAATGAAGACTTTTACTATGATATGTATTGAATCAAATGTTTCTCTCGATCCAAAGCAGCCTCTGAAATCACTTTTATGAGGCTTTCATATGCAAAATATGGCTATTTTCGCTAAAAACATCATTTCATATTTTACCAAATTGCTCGGTAATCTCAATCAGAACACCTATTGCAATTAACACCATTGGAAGCGCCTTGAAAAGTACTTCAAGGATGTATTAGGAAGCGTAAGGTGATCATTACAATTTATACAGTCGAATATCAAAAAATAAATTAAAGAAGTCGAAAAAACATAAAATCTGTCCAATCTTGAACAGAAAAGACAAACTGAGTTTGAATCGATTTTAGCGGGCGGCACTGCTGCTGGCTGACCTAAATGCCTTCCTGTTGATGACAATGATGATTGTGATGCTGATTAAATGGGGATCGTGGAATTGAAAGGTCAATCGTTCAGCTTGAATATCTTTTTTTTTGCACTTGTTGGAAATTTTCCCTATAATGGCGGTGTTTTTACAATGACACCCTCTCAAAAAAGTTGCTGTAGATCTTATACAAGTCCTGTATGCGTAGCGAGATTGATCGGCTAGTCTATTATATAATGAATATCAAGCGTACACACAGCTTGGCTTACAGAGCTCTAGAGCAATTAAATACTTGCTTCACAGGCAAATACTCGGTGTCAGTTGTAAAGCAAGTGTACGCTTTTCCAATATTCCAATGTGACGTTAGCGGATGTATTTGTACTTATTGAATTGCACAATGCTTCGTTTACTTTTTATACAACTTTTTATTGATCATGCTTGTAGGTCTTCTCTTCAGGACATGATAAGTAACGTTTGAATAATGTTAAGATAACTGCTGTCTAATATGTGGCGGTATATCTCCTCATCTGTCAAACAGTTATTGACAGCATTATTTAAGGCACCCCAAACTTGTTTTAGGTCTGATATATTGATGCCTGACCAGTAAAACCGCTTGAAGTTTTCCTTCATGAAAGCTGCATCCATTCTCAGTATGTATTTCTCTTCTCTCCATCCTTTCTCGTTCATTTACACTCTTTGTTTGCGTAGCATAAACACTATCTAAAACCATTTCTTAGTTCTCGTCATATTTTTGTGTCTTGACAGCTCTTGTTTATAACCAAATCTATAAAGCACAATTCTTGTTACAGTATGTATTGATCTGGTCAATCGCTGTACCATTACAAATGCTCGCATTTTTCTTGTCTTGTTATTTTTTCTATGTCAAATGTCTAGTGTGCGAACAAAAGTAGAACAAAGAGGTCTAATTACTGGCACTCAAACCAGTCGTTCTCCCCAAAGAAGTGTCGTTTCTAAAGGGAAGCCTAGTAAATTGGATGCACTCAAAAAGACGTTACTCTCGGTGAAGAAGCTCCCCCTAGGTGTCATGACTACTGCTGAAAAGATCTGTCAATGTGCCAAAGATGAGTTGAAAAATCATCTTGAACACCTGGCACTAAGCAAAACTTTCAGTACTTTCAACAGTACGTCAAGGATCACTTCGATGCTATTGTGGTATCTTTACAGACTCAGGCCACTACGTCTACATTCACTGGTGAAAGTGCATCCATCCCAGCTACACCGGTTATTGCTCCTTCTGACTCTGTAGCGTTCCTTCGCCGCGACCTCTCTGGCATGGACATGGTATCCGACATGTCTTCTGTGTCTGGCGCTCCTTCACGTGCAGCAATGTCTTCAATCTCGCATAATCCCTTTGATAAATCCATGGTTGAAGCTCCCCAAGACAATGTAGAATATCGCATTTGTACCGTGTCTTTCAAGAACCTTTTATGAAAGGATGTGCCTTCCGATCTTGTCGAGTCATTTTTGCAGAAGCTAAATACTGCATTGCATGATGTATCTGATTATGTTATGGACTTGCAATTGGTGGTATACACATTGATGCTCTCAATGAAGTCCTCGCAGCTCGTAACTCGTAGTGGTAATATTCAGCTGAAGAAAGCTCATGGTTTCCAAACACAAGACATCCTTCCAGCAGGCTACAATATGAAAACTGATGTCACTACCTTTGCTCCTCCATTACCCTCTAATGCCTTGAAGTCTACGGCTTTTTGCAATGGTGTCAAGGATCTTTTCCAGAGCAGACACATTGATTACCTGCATACTGCTTTGTTTGGCCAAAGAGGTACCAAGATCTCGCATCCTACATTTGCTGCTCTGTCGTCCGCCAATGCGCCAATACTCGATGCTATCGCAAGGGATACGCCTCAACCTGCTAGTGAACTCATGATGGTGGCTCGAGGATTGTACAAAACAAATCTCGAAAACATGTGAGCAAGTAATAAGGCATTTAACAGATCACTGAAAAAGCTACTGGAGATTCTTCTTCGCGTGCATCTCGCTCCAAAACGAGAGTCGCATTACTGGGAGCTTCAACAGACCAAAGCAAAGAAGCAATCCAAGCAAGATGTTAAGTCGGTCAGAAACTCATTTCATAACGCCATCCGATCAGAGAAGTACAAACTTCAAAGATATCAAAGAAAGGCACAGGGCAAACCAGAAGACAACAACTGGGCGAAGCTGGCCAGAAATAGTCAAGAGCGCATAACTCACATGTACGTTGATGCCAAGCATCCTGTCAAGTCTGTTTCTACTTCTGGTACTACATCTGATCAAGCTACTGTATCTGCTTCTGGCTCAGGTTCTTTTACTACAGGTGTATCTATTCCTACTGCTCCCTCTGGCACTTCTGACGCTGTTACTGCCTCCAATGCTAGCTTTGATCTTGATAGTGCTGATATGCCTATTGACGAACTGCTCCCTCTTTCTGAACTAATAGATGAAAAAGACGAACAAGAAGAAGAGGAAGGCACCCGTGATCTGCTTAGAAGACGAATTATGATTCTCAAAGCTACTCCGAGAAATCTCTTGGCGAGGCAAGCTGGAAAGTCTATTACCCATACACAGCTGAAGAAGGAACGTCCCGATATCACGGAAGAAGAGAATTGCGTGTGCATGCTTCTGGGAAACTTACTGCTGCCTTATATACCCACTAGAGAATATTATAGCTACACTGGCTTCCAGCTGCCATTCTGCCTGGCCTTACCTCTGTCCGTATTTTGGGTACCAAACCAAGTTCTAACAAGTCAGCTTCCAATGCGAAGAAACCTCTAGATATTGATTGGGATACCGTGAATCCTGCCTGTGTGTCCGTTCTCAATCACAGAGCCATTCAAGGTAGAGACAAGACATCCGCTTTGGCCATCGCTGTCTCTGGGCTTCCCATTCTCTTGTTCAAGCAGCCATTGCCTGTATTCAATCCAAAACCCAGTCAATCCAACACTGGCATTATTTCCAAGACCACCTCTTTCCGCAACAGAAACGAGAAAAGGGACGACAGCGGTGCTGCATTAGCGGACGCTTGAGTCTTCAAGGTAATAATGTGCTCAGTCTGGCTTTTTCAAGAGACTGCTTTACTAATTTGTCCTTTTTTGTTGATTTTTGGGACTTTTGGATCTAATTCGACTTATTTTACCAGATTCGACTATGTAACTTGTGATGATCACCCCATACTTCCTAATGCTTTTCTGAAAGGCTTTTCAAGGCGCACCCAATGGTGCCAATTGCAATAGATGTTTTGAATAAACTTATAGAGAAACTTTAGAAAATATGAAATGTCGTTTTTAGCAAAATAGTTGAGATTTTCCATACAAAGGCCCCACAAACTAAGTTTCAGGGGTTGCTTTGGATCGAGAGGAACGCTTGGAAGTAATATAAGGCTCTTTCGCGTAACCATCACTACCCCTAAGGTGAAAATTACGCCACTGCTTAAATCACATCTACAACCTTATAACCACCAGCGTTCCACTACCCATCCTCATGGCTACCACCACTGACCTCTCTTGGGTCACGGTCCTCTCTCGAGGCCTCTCCAAGAAGGTCATCAATGCTCCACAACAGCGAGCTAAAGATGACCATTTTAAACTAATTCCTGAAGTTATGTTCGAACACGAAGATCTGAAGGCCGAGGTGCTCACTCGTAAAGCTACTGCCATCCTGCAGCAAGCTTTGACACCGGGATCGGTTTTGTTTACCTTTCCAAACAAACTTTTTGTGCATCGTACAACAGCGTATCGCCTCATTCAGGAACAAATAGCTGCTAATGTCCAGTTTCGCCCCCTTAGTCTGTATCACCAGAAGTCAACTGGAGATCTCTTGGTGGAAGCTAAATTTGACTCCCCTGAGGATGCCAAACGAGCCATCAACAACGGCATCACTCATGGCGATGTGGTATACAAAGCTACTGCTGTCAAGGACAACAGCGAGGGCAAACTCACCCATGTGCAGATGACTATTGTCCGCATGCCAAACATGACCACTTTTCTGGAGGACTTGCAACGCTCGCTGAAATACTATGGTAAGCTATACCAAATCAAGAAGTACACTGTTGATGGCTTCTTTGAGGGTCATGTCAGCTTCCTGATCGACACTTCGGTCAAGTACACTGACGCGGAAGGTCACTCCTACGACGTACAGCCTTTGAGTCGCATGCTTTACCTTTCCGCCTGGGATGTCTATGTGCCAGCGACATACAGAGGAGCACCACCAGTTTGCCATTTCTGCCGTCAGAGTGGACACATTCGCGCTGCTTGTCCTATCCTAGCTAAACGCAAATGTTTCAAATGTCACAAGTTGGGACACACTGTTAAGTTCTGTCGAGAGGAAGAGAAGCCTTTTGACGAAGCAATCGCTGAATATGAGTCGAGCCAAAGGGATCACACTGATTCCTACTCAGTCACTCCAATTGATAAAGTTAACGAAAAAGAGAAGGGCCACAGAGCATCCCCTGCGATCAATGATATTCTCGCGCAGCAACTGCCATCTCAGCCCACCACCACAGACAAGCTAGCCGGCAAAACGACCGAGCTCACAAGTAGCCAGATCAGTACCTTGTTTTCCGCAAATGACAGCCAAACCTGGGACCAGTCTCCGGATGTGATGGAGGTAGATCCCCAGACCCTCCAGCGTTCTCCCAACGGTAGCGATGCTTCTAAGCATGCTCCGTTAGCTTCGTCCTTCCATATGCATTTGGATCCCAAGTTATCTGCTGACAATGTCTCCTCTCCCAATGATTTCCAGACTGATGTGCCCTCTCTCCGCCGTCATTCTATGAGCTCGACGTCTATGTCGCAGCCTCAAGTGTATCATGTCGCCCATAGGGCATAATGATACAACAATCATTGCGCATAGGTACCCTTAATGCCCGGAGCATCTTTAAGGGTTCCTCAAAATCTATACAGAAGGAATTCACTTCCTTTCTGCGCTCCAAAACCCTCCAGCTAGATATTCTCTGTCTGCAGGAGGTCTCTCATTACCGTCAGCAGGCCCACCTCACTGATGATAATGTGCGTGCTTTCTCTTTTATGTTTCCTCGGTCTTCCTTTGTCGTCTCGAAGCATTGTGCAATAGTGTGTCTGAAGCAAGACTTGGAGCTCGCGGATGCCACCATCTCTCGTGACGAACGCTGCATCACCGCCACTATTAAGGACGCTAATCACACCATATGCCAGATAGCTAATGTGTACATGCCCGTGCACAGAGCCCATCGCTATGCTTTCCTGGAGGAGCTGATGTCCATGCCCTTCTGGTCTGATATGCTTGACTCCCAGTGGATCTTGCTTGGGGATTTCAATATCCATTTGCATGATGCGGTCGAAGCTCGTCTCCCTAGAGTCCAACCTTTTGTTGAATGGCTGAACACTCATTTTTTCAACTGTTTTCCAAAAGGCACAATGACTCTCCCTAAAGCTGGCACCACCATTGACTATGTCTTTGCTCCTCCTCCTATGGCGACTCGTATCATCAACACTCAGACTCACCACATTCCACCTGAGTGGACCGATCACAGCCTCCTCACAATCGATCTGGTCACCTCTGGCGTCCAGTTGGGTCCTGGCAGCTGGCGTTTGAATCCGTACTTGCTTGAGAACCGTGAATTCCAAGCTCTTTTGGATAAAACCGTGGATATGTTTTTGGCGTCTGACTATTATACGACAGATGTGGCTGATATGGGTGTCTCTGGTCAGGAGAAGTGGGAATCTCTCAAGTCGATCATCAAGTACTGTGCCAAACAGTTCACCAAAGGCCAGAAGGCTCGCTTCAAAGCTCGAGTCTCCCACCTCCAACGTGAACGGGAACAGCTACTTGGGACCCCGGAGGAGTCGGCAAGGATCAAAAGACTGGAGCAACTGATTGAGCAACAGATTCAAGATGACACTCGTCAAGCTATGCTGCGTTCGGCTACTCGTTGGCTGGAAATGGGAGAGCAAAACAACAAATACTTTTTCAATGTGATTAAGGATCGAGAGGCGCAACAAACCATCCAGTCCTTGAAAAAGGCTGGCACTGGAGAGAAGCTGACAGACATGGGCGACATTCTCCAAGAAGCTCGTACTTTCTATCAGGATCTCTACACACCTGAAGACATTGATTTGGCTGCCGTCAACTCTCTCTTTGACAATATCCCTGCTGATGCGAAGCTACAAGAAGCTGAGGCAGACCGGCTGATTGAACCACCCTCTACAGACTCTGTCTTGCTGTTACTGGACCATGCACCCAAGAACAAGTCTCCTGGTTTGGATGGCCTTCCGTTTGAGGTGTATCGCTATTTGGCGGCGAAGTTCCCTGCTGTTCTGCTTCTCTTGCAGCAAGTGCTGGCTGATGCGCTGCGTGGTGTCTTCCCTGACTCTTGGAAAGAAACGAGGATGGTACTGCTGTTCAAGAAGGGCGATCCAGAGCTCCTCAAGAACTGGCGACCTCTCTCGATGATCAATAGCGATGCTAAGCTGTTCACCAAGATGTTAGCCAACCGGTTCAAACGTGTCCTCTCCCGATTGATTACGCCGTACCAAACAGGCTTTATGCCTCACCGGCTCATCTCGGACAATGCGTGGTTGAACCAGACGCTGATGACCAACCTCCGTGATGCAGCTCCTCAGGATCCCAATGTCGCCGTACTCTTGGATCAAGAGAAAGCCTATGATCGGGTCAATCCGACATATCTGGCGATGGTTCTTCGTCAGTTTGGCTTCCCGGCATCGTTGGTATCCAGTGTGTCAAGTCTGTTCTTTGGTACTCGTATCTCCTTGTCAATCAATGGGTGGTTGGGCGCCCCCATCGATCAACAACGTGGTTTACGACAGGGTGATCCGTTGTCCCCTTTGCTGTTCAACCTGGCTTTCGAGCCGTTCCTTAGAACCATCTTGGCCTGCCCTTCTCTTCAAGGCGTCTCAATGTCTACCGCTGTCCGTGCTCCTCTCGCAGGGCGTATCTCTCGTGCCTCCTCTCTCGTGCCGGTCCAAGGCGACCATGATCTCCTACGCGCTCCGGCGACCCCTCCACGGGTGAAGCTGTTGAGCTATGCCGATGATCTGGAAGTCTTCCTGACTTCTACGGCGGAATGGCCTGTGCTGCTGTCTCTTTTGTCGCTCTATGGCAAAGCGTCCAACGCCAAGGTCAATTTGGAGAAAACCGTGCTGTTGTCGCTGTCAGGCGAGGCTCATGCTGATTGGAAGCGAGTGACGGAAACGTCTAACATTGAGTGGTACGACAGCTCGTCAGTTGGCTCTGTGAGGTATCTAGGTTACCCTCTGTATCATACAGAAGAGCAGTTGCAGCATTTCCTGAATTCCATTACCGTGAAGATTCAACGTCATTGCAATCTGCTCACCAAGCGGCAGCTATCCATTCGTGGAAAGGGTTTAGTGGCGAATTCCCTTCTGCTGTCTCGCTTGTGGCATCTCCTGCGTGTGGTTGTGGTTCCTGACAAGTGGCTGGAGGAGATACAGCGCGTGGTACGCCAGTACATCGTCTCGTTTTGGCCTACTGTGGCTTGGGATTCTCTCTGCCTTCCTAGGAAGCATGGAGGTATTGGTCTGGTTGACATCAAGAAGCAACATCTCGCCTTGCATCTCATATATGTCAAGCGTCTGCTTCGTCCCAGATCCCCAGCGGATTTCCTCACTCCCTGGCTGATGTATACATTCCATGTATACTCAGGTCATGCTACTGTGCTGCCTTTGCTGCTATACCCACGTACCTGCTGGCCTCGTGTGCGGAAATGCCCTCACTTGGAGCATCTGGCTCGTCTACTCACTCGTTTGCCTCCCTTGACTCTCACTCCTGAGTGGCCGTCTTGGTGGCTCCTAGATCTGCCCTGGTTACAAGTATGCTCCCTGTCTCCCACAGCGACTTTGCCTTTGACTAGGAACAGTGACAAACTGCCACCTCATGCCTTGATTGCCAGCCTCTTGAGCGTGCTCCCCAACTCCCACATCTTGGTTTGCGTGCGTCCCCGTGATACTGCTGCATTGCAACATCTGTTCAATGCCTTGTGCCCCATCGAGGGTCCTCCTGTTTGGGTTGTCCCTGCTCCTCTCAGGTCCGTCATGGCCTTCACCGCTCCAGAGCGAACCGCACTGCTGGAGAGTTCCACTACCCCCTCTTCACCCACGGCTAGCTTTTCGCATTGGTTCATCACCACTGGCCCTCGCTCAAAAGCTACAGTGGACAAGATCACTCTCGGGGCGTTACGCCGTTCCTGGCATCCGTCATTTGACGTGTTGCGTCGCCCAGCCCATCCTCCTGGCTATCGCCCACCACATCTCCTGCTTCCTCCTCACCTCTGGCGTGATTTCTGGTCTCTCTGTCTCCCGCCCAAGGCATTTACACCGTGGTGGCGTTTGCTGCATGGACATCTCTCGGTGCAGGTTCGCCTGCACTCCATGAACCGTGTGAAGTATCCTTCCCCACTGTGTAAGATGTGTCATGAAGCAACTGAAGATGAATACCATATGGTCATTGGCTGCAGTATGAAGTCCCTCTTCTGGTATGAGTTTGTCTCTCACCTTGGTCTTGCTGATCTGTTCCCTACGGACGAGGCCATCTGGATTGGGTTGACCACCCTTCACGGCCAGGACAACAATCCTCTGGACATTTCCATCTTGGAACTTCTCGGCGCTGCCTTCTCATCTATCTGGCAACATCATTGGGGCTGCACAATTGATGGTAAATCTTGGATCACTCGGGCTGTTTTCTCCTCTTTTCTGGAAGATCATTCCAAGTTAATTTCTTCTTTCTTAGACATGTAAGACCCTTATGGCACCTTACTGTCTATAATATAAATAAAAAACACATTTAAATACAAAAAAAAAAAAAAGCTTGGAAGTAATATATGCCTTAGTAAAAGTCTTCATTTTTGGGGTCAAAAATGTGATCGTTTAACTTTCGATAAAAACCATGAGGGATACCTCATGGTTTTTGGAGGATTTTTGGCCATGTTTTTTTGATCCCCAAAAAGTTGAACAAAGGTATCAGTAAGCAAGAGGCAATCGAGATTTTTTGTTTGGCGCTATTCTTGCAGTCAGAAACGGCTCCCAACGCGAGAAAACACGGCTTAAAGGCATCCAGATTTCGCAGTGATTCATAGTTTTTCGAGCAAAAAAAATGTAACGATATGCTTCATGGGTACAAATACACACTTTTCATTAGCTTGTATTCAAAGCATGATTCGACATATATCATGCCATCTGAGTGTAACCTATCCTTATAAACCAGTACAAAAATGCCTATTTGCTGCATTTGAGATGCACTGGAGTTCTGATTTTAGCTGTTGGCTTGATGATTCGTTTGGTAGACGTCAAAAAGGAGCAAGGTGGAGAATCCTCTTTTCATGAAACGCAGAGAAGGAAGTTTCTATGCAACTATCTAAAATACCAATTGGAGCAACAGTAATAAAATATACCGGCTATATATTCTTCATAGCACTCCCATAAATTTGTATATAAAGACAGACCAAAAAATATCTGTTCCAACTATATCTTCAACATGAAATTGCAAGTCCTTACCCTACTTTCCATCACTTCATCCTACCTTGTTGGAGTTGAAGCCCAACAACCTCAACCTCAGTGGTCTTTGATTGATTGCACGTGGCCATGTGCAAATACCGGTGATGTATGTGTCCTTACAAATGAAGGTGCTCAATGCAAAGCTAAAACTGGTCCCGAATGGCTGATTCCTACCACTGACAAGTCTCCTATCTATACTGGTGCTTACACGCATCAACTTCTACAGCCTTGTATCGCTGCTCCCATTCATAACTTGACACATGTAGATCAAGGCGCTGCTACAAACGCTGGTCAATCGGTGATACTTTTCCCAATGCAAACTGAAACCGATGGACCTTTGGACGAGTATCTTGGTACCTGTGATGAAGGCATGTATTGCTCTGCTACCGGTGATGACAAAGCAAATCCTGTATGTCGTATTAGACTACAGCCTGGTTCTACTTGTGCCTCATCCAATCAATGTTATAGCCGTAATTGCGAGAATGGCGTCTGTGTAAAGAAGGTAGAGAAGAGATCATCCCATCATCGCCAACGTCGCCATCATCACTAGTATTGCCAATAAATTATGTAGCCCTTTTCAGATGTTTAGTTGTCAAAAAATAATAGTGTGGCTTCACTTGTTTCTTGCGAAATATCCAGGAATCTCTAAGCCAACAGAGCAAATTTTGATTTCCTTTGGATTTCTATTAAACCTTGTTTCATTGCCATGTTTCATATAACATATGCTTTTTTTTTTGCTATCTGGTTTTTCCCACTGTATGTCTTGTTTACTAACACCTGTTGAAACACACAAAAGGCAGCGCTATTCCATACTACATCAAGTGCCAAACAAGGTGAATTGCTGTAGCGAGCAGGGCTGTTTCCTTGAATGATTAGAAATCATCCCATCAAATTGAGACATACTGCGATTGCAATCCTTCTTGAACTTCTGAACTTTCGTCTCATTCAAACCAAGAATATAAAGCCAAGATTTTTTCCTCGTTTCTTTCAGATGTCTTTTTTACCAACTTACATAGAACGGCTTGATGAGCACTTATTTTGCATTTGTTATCGTTATTTTAGCAACCACACATATCACCAATGCTATTACTCAGAACTCAGTTATCAATTGCACATGGCCTTGCTTTGACGATGCTGCCAGATGTGTTGTTACCCCTGAAGGTGCGAGCTGTCAAATCGCTCAAGGTGATAGCTGGATCCTCAGTTCCCCAGAGAAAGCTCCTGTGTTCACAGGCTCTTACGTTTCCAGAATAGCACTGTCTTGCATCCCAGCCCCAATCCCACAATTGCCTATGGCTACTCAGAACACTACCGTCAATTCAAATCAAACCGTCATTGAATGGCCACCATGGAATCTGCGAAGACCATTAGATACGTATCTTGGAAATTGTGGCCACGGTCTCTACTGCTCCTCAGTGGACAAAGATGCCAATCTCCCTGTTTGTCGTCAACGATTAAGCGTGGGTTCCACATGTCAATCCTCGAATCAATGTCATTATGGCTTCTGTAGCGATTACATTTGCCATCCCAAGAATGAAAGCCCTACCAATGACGGTCATACCCATCATTCAGACAATAATAGTCGCAATAGTGATCATATGAATAGTAAAACCGTTCAAATTTTGGCCTCTGTCTTTGGTACTGTATGTGCTCTGTTATTCGCCGGCATCGGCTTCTTTATGTATCGTCGTCATCGACGCAGATCTATCATCAATCAGCAACCTCCTGTCTATTCAACCTCCAACAACACCATCAATAACAGCTCTACCTCCTTTAGTGTCAATGCCGTTCCATTTAGCAGCACCGGTTACAAAGAAGAGCAGTTTGCCTCTGATTTCTTACATGAGGACAAGCAACATGTTGCCCCCCCTCCAGTCACCATCAATGACAACAATGCTATGAGATACGGTCAAGCTCAGGCCGACTATGATGATAATGGCAATGATCTTCTTAAACCACCTCCCTCCTACAGACCGTAACTCCACCTCATTGTATATATATATATATATATATATATATATATATATCCCTTAAACCCACATGATTATATATCCCTCTACTTTGCCAATAAAGTCTCTTTCTCTCAGAAATATACCGGCGTTTTTATTAAAAGCAAAAGAAGCATCTACATCAATTTAAGCTAATTTTTTCTATAACAGACTTAATTTCACTATCAAATTCCAATAAGGGTTTTCTGACAGGAGCAGGACACATGACATTGTAGCTTCTCACTCGCATGTTCACTCGACCCAATTCCTTATTCAAATAAGACTTTTCCATCTTGTCGAATTGCGCAAGCACCAAAGATTTGTTCACCACGGATCTCTCGTGCTTGACTTGATCCACACAGCGCTTGATGGCAGAATTCATTTGAGAGCGTATCGACGAGACTTCTGTGTCCACTTCTTGCTGCATCATGACCCAAGGAGGAGCAGCGCCATTTCGCTGAATAATACGGTTAAGGAAGTATTCTGTGCGATCGACAAACGGGTTGTTCAAAAGCGGGTCCTCTGCTATAGGCTTACCACGACCAGGCAGATCATCAAATTCACCTCTAACTCTCGCAGCTCGAATGCGAGCGTCAGACAAGAGACCCAATTCGTTGATATGTCGAGGCTTCTCCTCCAAATCCCAGTCTTCCCAGTCGACATCCTTCTTTGCTTGCGACCTCACAATGTTCTCGGCTACATGTGCTTTCTCTTCATCCATGGGGTATTTTCTATTCATGGCATAGTCGAAAGCAGTGTCTTTGGCGTTCATGATTCGATTCTGCTTTCGTTGTCGTTCCTTTTGTTCCCGCTCTATCTTCTTGAGTTGAGAGCTCTTTTCGTCTTTCTGAGGTGGTGGCGGTGGTACATAGGATGATTGAGGTTGTGGTATATTTCTGCGCGCAGCACCTTCTACTCTTAATGGAGCACGGTATTTATCCATGATCATTCTCAGGACAGAGTGATTCACAGGCTCATCACCATCCCAAGGTTTGTCGTCTGGTAGCTGCTGCTTCTTGTTGGCTTCAGCGAGATGGCGTCGTTCCTCCTCGTCATGATCAGTATCGAAGATCGTTCTTTGGGATGAAGCGTTGTTATTGTAATGACGACGGATGAGCAGCATTGTGGCGGGCAAGTGGGTCATTGCAGCCCTCGGAGCTAGCCTTGTGATTAAAGGTAGGCTGGAAGTGCAGATAGTACGAAGCATCATGTGTGTATGTGTGTGTGATGGTATGGCAATGCTGAAGACCAACGATTGATTTATATATCTGGAATGAAGAAAATAAGCCGGTTTCTGAAATGACGCATAAGCGGATTCCGAGTTATTCTCTCCTTCTGAAACGATCAAGATAAGCCCACAACCAAGCAATCACCTTATTTTTGTGACCTCGGCTAAATGAAATGTGCCTTGCAATCAAGTGGCCCTGAATCCTTAAATTTGATTAGAGCCTGGGCCATAAATCCATATGGATTCAAAAAGTGGGGTTGAGCTCATTGTTTACCTTTTTATTCATATAACAATCTACTCGTTAGATGGCGCCCTCTGCTACCACTGCTGCTGCTACTGCTACTGCTGTAGCCGCTGCTGTTGTTCCCACTGCAGAGCTGGTAGCCTCAGATCATTTTCAGCAAAAGCGGTGGAATCCCATCCACTTTACAAAACAAAATATACCAGCTTTCCTGAGGACACCATATCAGACAGCAGCACCATCTAAAACCTTTCAGCAAAAGAAAAAGAAAGCTAAAGAAGTAACATCTGTAGGTGGAACGACAGCCATTGCTCGAACGCTGATGATGCAGGGCTTATATTTATTCTACAGAACACCTGTAAAAGTAGGTTGTCATTTAAGCTGTCAACATGTTGATATACTCATGTCTACAGTAGCTGTTTCGACCCTTACGAGTAGATTATTTAATTATGGCAAGAGCATTGATGCCAATGGACGATGCTTCCGCAAAACGATTCTCATTCAGATACACATCCATCGGCATGATCACACATGCCGTGAAAACCAAAGGGGCAAGTCATCCGAGCAAGTGCAAGCAGTAACATGAATTATGCTCCTAACATGTCTATACCTTTTTTTCAGTGGAACTTTATACCTCGGCATATCCTTCCTCCTTTAATAGCAAACACCCTCATTGGAACTGTACTGTATACCACCTATATCGCCACCTTACCTCTCTTTCACCCAACAAGTCATTTCCAACTGCATAGACCCTTCCCGCCTCCGCCTTATTCCTCTGTATTCATGGCCGGTAGTGTATTCCACTCGCTCATAGCCGAATTGGTACTCATGTAAAACATCACAGGCTGTCTTGCTGGTGCAGCGCAATCCATCATAGCAACACCCTTAGACTCTCTCAAGGTGCGATTCGAAGTGAGCGACTTGTTGGAGGGAAAGCACACTTCCATGTATCAGTTTGCCAAATCAACACTGAAAGACTTGGGTATTGCCAGTGCTTATCGTGGATTCACACTGACGTTGATCAGGGTAAGGGTTTCACAGTTCCGTACAAGTGTATGGATCGATCTAACGATAGATTTCAGGACTCATTGGCGTGTGGTTTGTTCTTTGCCACATTTGAGTGGATGAAGCAGCAAGGATATTACTACTTTCTGGATGAAATTTATGGCGTCCAAGTGGATTCAGAAAATACATTGAATGAGATTGAGAAAGGATGGAACGAAGTGCATAAAATGAGTGACGAGGACCAGCATCAGATTGTCTGCGCGTCTGGGAAAAAGGCAGAAAGACCTCCTTTGATGCTAGAGCCACTATTTGTCATTCTCGCGGGTGCAACAGCTGCTGTGGTAAGTACCTTGGGAAAGAGGTCAGAAAATCAAGTAGGCTTATTCATGTATGGGATGACAGGCCTATCAAACAATTGAGCACCCCTTATCCAAGATCCACTCAATATTTTACATTGAAGAAGGACAATCTGAATTTACAAACAAATCAAGCCGAGAACCGGTGAAAAATCTATACCGTCGCACTTGGGAACAATGTAAGACTCAAGTGAAATTGAATGGAGGAAGTTGGAGAAGGTTTTTGTATCAAGAATTTGCAAGCACTGTGATTAGAGTTGTTCCAGCAACAAGTGTAGGATTCTTAGTGTTTGAACTAGTAAAACGAGAAGTTGATTTTAGAAGCATCGACTTTGATTCCCTGTAATTAAAATTTGTATTTATAATAAAAAAGAGTTAATTTTGATCATAAGAGCAGCATGTTTTACATGAAAGTCTTTGAGGAAGAACCACTCTTATCTTTACATAACGTCATTTTGACCATACATTGATCCTGACTAGAAACATGGAAAGTAGCGGATAAAGCACAGAATTCTACCCGATGATATCATATAATCAAATTGAGAGCATGTGGATTTTTTTTAGCTAGAGATATTGGTGTATACGACCGCTTCCAATACATGAAAATAGATTTTCTATTTTCTATTGCGAGGATAAAAGCCATTGATATAAGTGTCCATTTTTCTCGTTGCTTTTCGAGCTATCACATCAAGATTCCAAATGTTTCCACTGTTATCAGTCTTACAGCTAATAAAACTACCGCATGGCGGCAATCCAGATCCATATACAGCAGATGATCAGAATGCCATCAAGATTACTGCTGCAATACTTGGAATATCATGTGGCTTGATTGCAATTGTGATGAGTATTTTCATGTATCAACACTATCTGCGACGCCAATACCTAACACTATCTGAAAATCAGTCAATCCATAAAAGACCAGCATCCTTGGTTGCACAGTTGATCACAGCTGAAGCGCAACGAGAAGAACAAACTGCCGATATTGAAGCTAACTCTGAAGGTCCACCTAGTCCGGTCATGCAACAAGGATTACTGCAAAAGGAGCTGGTCAAGAACTATGGGTCTTATTCGCAACCTCATACCACTACGTTTCTTAAGCCACCACCTCATCACTCATGATGTAGAAATAATATTTATCACGTTAGATAGTTGAATTTTTGTTGGGAAGGCTTTGACAGTACGTACTAGCCGCCCCACCTCTTCTCTAGCGCTCAGTGAAAATATTACTCTCGCGTAGTTTGATAAACGATGAGTAAGGTATTGCTGTACTCGCCCAATATCAATAAAATTCTAGGGGAACAATTTTGTCTTTCGCATTAAGGCTTTGCATTTGCTGATAGTATCTTTTGATTCGCAATTCCCTTATTAGCTGGTGGCCATCGTTTGATTTTATGAGAAAACCATTATGGCAGCCAGCCAGAAGCCGCCAAAATTATTTTAAACTCTCAGTTTTCCTCATTGCTCTAGATTGGCCAGATTCTGTCTTTTTTTCGACTTCATTGAACTATTTTGCCAGATTCGACTATGTAACTTGTGATGATCACCCCATACTTCCTAATACTTTTCTGAAGGGCTTTTCAAGACGCATCCAATGGTGCCAATTGCAATAGATGTTTTGAATAAACTTATAGAGAAACTTTAGAAAATATGAAATGTCGTTTTTAGCAAAATAGTTGAGATTTTCCATACAAAGGCCCCACAAACTAAGTTTCAGGGGTTGCTTTGGATCGAGAGGAACGCTTGGAAGTAATATATGCCTTAGTAAAAGTCTTCATTTTTGGGGTCAAAAATGTGATTGTTTAACTTTCGATGAAAACCATGAGGTATCCCTCATGGTTTTTGGAGGATTTTTGGCCATGTTTTTTTGGTCCCCAAAAAGTTGAACAAAGGTATCAGTAAGTAAGTGGCAATCGAGATTTTTTGTTTGGCGCTATTCTTGCAGTCAGAAACGGCTTCTAACGCGAGAAAACACGGCTTAAAGGCATCCATATTTGCTGTTGTTTGCATAAATTTGAGATGTAAGAGGCAGTAGACATACGCTGCAGGCCCGTATATCAGTTGCTTTCATTGATGCCAATCTCGGCCATCCTAGAAAAGTCAAATACACAATTACAAATACGTTTAAAGGATTTCGTATGACAGTAAAAAGTCAAACAGTATATTGTAAAGGTGTAGATCAAGAATGTCGCTGTTATACACTAGCACCTAGAGAAACATGCACTTAAAGATGTCTATCATAAATGTTTGTTTATTATAAACTTTTGAAATTCGTGATCATAAGTAGTAGCAAAGAACGTGAAAAGTTCTTTCAGAAAGTAATTAATGAGTGAATATGGACAGTTGCAAGATTAGTCGGCAACATCCGCATAACTTCTTAGGGGAAGAAAGTAGAATGATATATAATAAATAAGGTAATGCCAAACTCTAAAGATTATAGAGATCAATTAATCGTCGTCTGTGCTACCAGTAGTAGGAAGACCAAAGGCCACCTTTATAGAATCAAAGATGGCCCATTGAAGTGAGGTAAGAGTACCAATCATAAAGATACGAGGTCCAAGACCAGTCCAAAGACCACGCATACCCAACTTCTTTACAACGTCCAAGGCACCCGCTTGCTTCTCGCCAGGTGCAACCTCAGGCAAGTTGTTCAATTTGGATACCAATACATCAGCAGGATGGGATACAATAGCACAAAAGACACCAGCAATGTAACCACCAGCAAAACTAACACCCAGTTGTTGCGTCTTGCTGTATTCTGATTTAGGCTTTGTCATGAATGTCTTGTAAAGCAGTTCAACTGTCTTTTCAAATGAGGCAAATTTGACCATGGTGTAAGGGACTTGACGGCACCAGAGGGGAACGAGACCCTTATAAAAGCCGTGGATGCCTTCATGGGCCATGATCTTCTTGAAACCTTCGCTTGTAGTTTTGGCAAACGGAGGCATCGATGTTTGCATCTTGACCTTCAATGCTTCCATAGGACACAAGAGGATATCAGCAAAGAATTCGGCAGAAGCAGAGGCAGACAAGTACACCAATGTTCGGTAGTTATGGGCATTCTTTTCGCCAACAATGTTGCTATACTTGTATTTGAACACTTCGTAAAGACCGTATTTTCCTGCACCTTGCAAAGAGTACCCGATAGCAGTAGGTCCTATACCGGTAAAGATGCCACGAAAGCCTTCAGCCTTAGCAATTGTCTTCCAGCCTTGAAACACGTTAGGATAAAGTCCAGGTTTTACCTATATTATGTCAGTAGATGTAGGCAACAGACAATTCAACACAAGCACTTACTTGGTTACGACATTTGACCAAATCCAATGGAGTTACCAAAGAATGAGTGGGACTAATTATCAAGTACCAACATGAGTCTCCCTGTTTCAGCACCATTCAACCACGTATATACATTACCCGCAAGCAAGAACACCAGCAAAAGTACAAGCTAAGAAATAGTTGGTGGAGTAGAGTGGGATGGTCTTTTTTTCGACAGACATGATTGATTAGTGTTAGATAAGTATACAAGGAGGAACTGGAGATAGATAAACCAATGCGCCCTTTTTATATATTACACAAAACGGGAAGTTTGCATGATCTCATGGGTTTAAATTGAATAGCCTGAATGCTTTTGTGTCGCAATTTTGTTTACCCTTTTCAGGTAAAATAGAATATGCTTTTTTTTTGCAGTGAATGATGTCGTTTCTCTTCTCTAGCAGGGTCTAAAATCGTGTTATGACTTCATTTCTGTTATCTTTCACCAGGTCAAGGTTTCAGTTAGTAGTTTATTTTACTGCCTTTTGATGTAGTAAATGAATTACCGTGAAGGGGTCAACGTCTCGTCTACCTTGAACAGGGACACGGAACGATTCATTAAACTTTAAGATTATGAATCATAATCTCGATACAATAGAAAATGCCACATTTATATAATACAGACGTCATGTAATTCCTTGCTCAACTGCAGAATTATATAGAAGAACCTAGATCAAGCTCATAGTGCATTGTCTGTTGTAGATATACAGCCCACTCTTCATTACCCAACAGCACGATTGCGTAAAACCATGGCATAGCGTCAAGTCCCGGAATTGTTTATATTGAGACCGTTAAAAATAGGAAAAGGATATGCATATCACAGTGTGTATCACTCTAGTGGTCACCTCGCTATGACCCATAAAGCCTTCTGCAGCCGATAACATTGCTTTTTGTAACACCAAAATTGATCGATTCTCATTGAGTGCACTTGGTAAGAGGTTTGTGAAATCAACAAGGTAATTAAGTGTGTTGGCAAGATAAGCTGAAGAGATGTCTATTACAATAACAGAGAGCGTATAGTATCATTGATCAACATTAAAGGGCATTTCTTGACATGGATCATCTCACTACGTTGTAAGTTCATAATAAAAGGAAGATGTAAGAATCCTACTATGGAGAGAGATAGCTGAGCAAAGCACGATGTAGCATCTTGCGTAAATCAACGAGATCATTGTCAGGCAATGCATCTTCAAACTAAATGATAGTGGAATCTAGTAGTATTAAATTACAAATTAAATAAGATGAACATATTTAACAGAGTGATTGATGTATTTCCATGCAAATGCTTGTTAGTTGTCGTTCAATCTGGCATAGCCCGCTAGCAATGATCCATTCTTTCTGCCATAAATCAGGTAGATATACAAAGATGCTTTGATCCATCATTGATCCCTCAGTGGCTTGAACGACTGTTTAACCTTTTTTTTTTTACTTTTTTTTAAAGCTAAGAGGCGGAAGGAGAGCAATGTCAAATGTGTGTAATAGGCAGCAGCGTCAAAAATTCTTCTTCTTCACTTTTCAAGAGTCTCCATTTCAGTTTTTTTCTCATTCAATAGACCTTTTGTTAGCACAATATGAACATTTCAGTTCCTATTGGTACCGAGGTGGACTCTGTCTCTTTCTCATTTTATGAGCCAAGTGAAATTAGAAAGATCTCTGTCAAACAGATTGTAAACCCAGTTCTTTTTGACACTTTGGGTCATCCTACCAAGGGTGGTCTCTATGATCCTGCACTTGGTCCCTATCAAAAGACCCAAATGTAAGCATTTCAAATCACTCAAGTGTTGTATATATCATTGATTGACTGGTAAATTGTAGTTGTGCTACTTGTTCTCAAGATCACTTCAACTGTCCTGGTCACTATGGCCACATTGAGGTGCCCATTCCTGCTTACAATCCAATGTTTTTTGACAACTTGTATGCCTTGCTTCGATCCAAGTGTGTCTACTGTCACCATTTCCGCATCTCTCGTGCTGTGGTATGTATATTGCATTTTGCCCGGGAATCCTAAGCCAACATGTATCACTCACACAGCAGAACTATATATCAATAGATGAAGAAATACATAGGCCAATTAACTTTGTTACAACACGGTATGATCCGTGAAGCTCAAGCATTGGATGAAGTCTACTTTAGCAACAAGAAGGCAGCCAAGTCCAGCAAAGATGAGGAAACACTCGAAGACAAAATGGAGGAAGACAGTTTGTTGCTAGCCAACGCTGAGGATTACATTGATTACATTGACACATTTGTCAAGAATTCATTAGCTGATGAAGAAGCTCGTAGATTTGCTGCCAAGGATTACAAGGTCACAGTCATCAACGATGTTCGCAAAAAAATCATGGGCGAATTCATGAAGCAATGTGTGCACACCAAGAAATGTCTCAACTGTCAAGGCATTTCTCCTCCCGTTCGCCGTGATGGTGCTGCCAAACTCTTCCAACTTGCTCTCACCAAAAAGGAACAAGCTCATATGGATCGTTTAAAGGACAATATTGGCCTTACAGATGAGGTCAAGGGGTTCAATAGTAATGGTCAACGCTTCATGACCAACTACGAAGTGCGCAAGCAAGTGCAGGCCTTGTTTGAAAAGGAGGGCGATGCTACTACCTTGCTGTACGGTGCTCGTGATCCTCGCACTCCCTCTTACATCAAGAAGGCTACTTATCACATGTTCTTTATCGAGACACTTGCTGTTGCACCTACTCGTTTCCGTCCTCCCTCTGTCATGGGCGACAAGATTTTTGAGTCTCCTCAAAACGAACTTTTGTCTGCCATCCTCAAGGGCAGCCATCTTGTCCGTGATTTCTCTGAAGATCTGCAGAGTGCCACGGACGAAGAGCAATTGGACAAGTCCAAGGTCGACCGTATTCGCAACAACTTTGTCGAGTCCATTATCAACCTCCAACATGCTGTCAACTCGTTCATCGATTCCACCAAGAACCCCACTCAAGTTGCACAGGGCAAGACCTTGCCTCCTGGTATCCGTCAAGCATTGGAGAAGAAGGAAGGTTTGTTCAGAAAGCACATGATGGGTAAGCGTGTCAACTACGCCGCTCGTTCCGTCATTTCGCCTGATCCCTTCATCGAGACATCTGAGATCGGTATTCCTCCTGTGTTTGCCACTAAGCTCACTTATCCTGAGCCTGTTACTCCTCACAACATCAAGGAAATGAGACAAGCTGTCATTAACGGTCCCAACAAGTGGCCTGGTGCTACTCATGTTCAAAACGAAGATCAATCTATTGATGTCCTCGCTGATTTGAGTATCGAATCTCGTATTGCCCTTGCCAACTCTCTCTTGGCCCCTCAGAGCTCTCATACCGCTCAGACTGGTAACAACCCTTACCCTACTCGTACTCAAACTGTCAACAAGAAGGTTTTGCGTCATATTCGCAATGGTGATATGCTCTTGCTAAATCGTCAGCCTACGCTCCACAAGCCCTCCATCATGGCCCACAAGGCTCGTATCTTGCCTGGTGAAAAGACGATTCGTATGCATTATGCCAATTGTAATACTTACAATGCTGATTTTGATGGTGATGAGATGAATATCCATTTCCCTCAAAACGAAGTTGCTCGTGCTGAAGCCTCTTTCATTGCCAACACTGATAACCAGTACTTGGTACCTACCAGTGGTGATCCCTTGCGTGGTCTCATTCAAGATAGTGTTGATTCCGGTGTATGGATGACCTCTCGTGATACCTTCTTTACCAAGGAAGAATACCACCAACTCTTGTATGGTTCCCTTCGTCCTGAGGTAGACGGCACTGGCGATGGTAAGATCCGAACCTTGCCTCCTACCATTTTTAAGCCTCAACCTTTGTGGTCTGGTAAGCAAGTGCTCTCTACTGTTCTCAAGAACTTGACCTGGGGCAAGGCTCAACTCAACATGACATCCAAGAGTAAGGTGCCTGCCAAGTTCTGGGGTCCTAATGCCAAGGAGGAAGAGATTGTCAATGTCATGGACGGTGAGTTGATTCACGGTATTCTTGACAAGTCGCAATTTGGTGCTTCTGCTTTCGGTCTTGTCCACTCTGTATATGAAATCTATGGTCCTGAATCTGCTGGTATGCTTCTTAGTATTTTGGGCCGTCTCTTTATCAAGTTTATCCAACACCATGGTTTCACTTGTCGTATGGATGATTTGATCTTGACTGAAGAAGGTAACAAGTGGCGTAGAGATTTGTTGGATGGTGGTAAGGGTCTTGGTGAAGAGGCTCACTTGGAGTTCCTTGGTTTGACTGAAACTGCCAAAACTGCCAGCGAAGAAGTGCTCAAGAAAGAGTTTAAGCTTCGTATGAATGAAGTGATCCGTGATGACAACAAATTGGCTGGTCTCGATAACGCCATGAAGGCCAAGGTCAATAAGCTGACTTCTTCCATTACTACTACTTGTCTTCCGAACGGTTTGGTGCGTCCTTTCCCCAAGAATGACATGCAAATGATGACTGTGTCTGGTGCCAAGGGTTCCAACGTCAACGCTACTCAGATCTCCTGTCTGCTTGGTCAACAGGAACTGGAAGGTCGTCGTGTGCCTCTTATGGTTTCTGGTAGATCGCTTCCCTCTTTCCGTCCTTTCGACACCAGTGCTCGTGCTGGTGGTTTCGTTACTGGCCGTTTCTTGACCGGTATTCGTCCTCAAGAATACTACTTCCATTGTATGGCTGGTCGTGAAGGCTTGATTGATACTGCTGTCAAGACATCTCGTTCTGGTTACTTGCAACGTTGTTTGATCAAGCATCTTGAAGGCTTGCGTGTCCATTACGATCACACTGTGCGTGATTCTGACGGTTCCGTGCTGCAATTCCATTACGGTGAAGATTCGTTGGATGTCATCAAGGCCAAGCACATTAACCAATTCAGCTTCTCTGCTCACAACTTTGAGGCTCTCTCTCAGAAATACAACCCTAAGGCTGCTTTGGAGTCTCTTGAGACCAAGAAGGGTGAAGACTATGCTAAGAAGGCTCTCAAGAAGCCCAACAAGTACGACCCTGCCTTGTCTGTCTATAATCCTGGTACTCATCTTGGTGTTGTTTCGGAACGTTTCGCCATTGCTATGAAGGATTACATGGAGAAGAATCCTGACAACATGCCTTTTGAAAAGGATGCTGAAATCCCCAAGAACACTGCCCGTTACGCTGGTTTGACCAAGAGCAAATTTAAGGCTTTGATGAACCTCAAGTATCTCCACAGTTTGGTGGAAGCTGGTGAGTCGGTCGGTTTGCTGGCTGCTCAATCTGTGGGTGAACCATCCACTCAAATGACATTGAATACTTTCCATTTTGCTGGTTATGGTGCTGCTAACGTGACATTGGGTATTCCTCGTCTTCGTGAAATTATCATGACAGCTGCTCGCAAGATCAAGACACCCACCATGTTGTTGCCTCTCCGTGCTGAAACCACTCCCAAGAAGGCTTCTCAGTTCTGTAAGGCTGCTTCCCGATTGACTCTGGCTCAACTCGTGGATGATGTGTCAGTGACTGAAAAGACAACTGCCAAGTCTGCTGAGAACAACTACCGCAGAACCAAGACCTACTCTATCCGTCTCAACCTATTTAATGAGAGTGAATACAACGAAGAATACCGTGTCACTGCCAACAGAATCAAGGAAGTCTTGTCTTCTACCTTCCTGAAGGATTTGGAAGAGTTGATCCGCAAGGATATCAAGGATACCAAGAAGATGGATGACATTGGAAAGGCTCACAAGATGACTGGCCCCTCTGACGACAATGCCAACGAGAATCTCGGTGATGCTGCTGCTCAAGATGGCTATGATTCTGACGCTGCCAACGAAGGTGATGCCAAGGCTGCTCGTAGATCTGCTCAAAACAAACAGCAAGCTACTTATGACGGTCCTGATGAAGATGATGTGGTCATGGATGAAATCGAAAAGTCTCTTGAAGACGAAGAAGCCGAGTTCGAAGAAGCTGTGCTGGCTGGTGACGATGACGAAGAGGAGAGTGCTCCCAAGAGAAGCTCCAAGAGTGGCAATCTCGAGCTCAACGCTGTACAAAAGAGCAAGTACTGCAAGAAGTTTGTCTTTGACGATGTCAACGGTGCTTATTGTCAAATTGATATGGTGTTCCCTGCTGATACGAAGAAGATCTTGATGGTTGGTTTGATTGAAGAATCTTGCTCTCGTGTCGTTGTTCATGAAATTAAGGGCATCCAAACTTGTTTTGAGTATGTCAATCCTACTGAGAATGATACTTCCAAGCGTCTTCAAACTGAGGGTGTCAACTTGAGAGGCATGTGGCCATTTGCTGACTTGATTGATGTCAACTTTATCGATACCAACGACATTGCTGCCATCTTGAACACGTATGGTGTTGAAGCTGCTAGAAACGCTGTTATCAAAGAAGTCGCTGCTGTCTTTGGCGTGTACGGTATCAAGGTTGATCGTCGTCACTTGACCGTTATTGCTGATTACATGACATTTGAAGGTGGCTACAAGCCATTCTCTCGTATTGGTATTGGTTCCAATGTTGCACCTTTCCTCAAGATGAGTTTCGAATCTACCTGTAAATTCTTGACTGAAGCTACACTGTAAGTTGATATGATATCTCATGTTTATGATCTATTTACTAATCTTGTTTACTATAGTCATGGTGATTATGATACTCTTGACTCGCCATCATCTCGTATTGTTGTGGGTCGTGTTGTTGAAGGTGGTACTGGCTCTTTTGATGTTCTTCAACCTCTTACATCAGAAGCTTAGATCTCCCCCATCCGTTTCCTTTACTCACCTCTTTGATACTTCTAATTACTACTCATTTCCTCTATATAAACACTTTCTTTTCCGCACGCAACCACTCAATTATTTTTCATATAAATAAAATCAATTCATTGCATTTATTTTTAGACAGAATGCAATCTGTAAATTCAATCTACATAACGTCTATCATGCATTTGACAGCTCATGGTCTACGTTGCATTACCAATGGCCACATCGACGCTTCAGGTATACAATCATTACATTTCACATATTTTCTTACACATTCTCACATTTTCTGACATTTTGTCAGTGATTTCTTCAGTGATTTCAGGGAAAATAGCAAGATCTTCAGGGGATTTCTGCTGTGGGACGTATTATTAACAATGTATCTAAGTTACAGCTGACTAATAGACCGAGAGTCATCGGTAGCGATAGTTGTGAAAATCTTCAGCAATGCAAAATGTTGCTGATTTGAAGGAAGTGAAGCAGAAAATCCATGATACTGCTACTTGGTAGCTCGTTGACGTCGCCTGCTACAAACCTACTAGTTTAACTGCTGCCGCTGCTCTTTATCGTCGCAGCAAAATAATTTATTTTGTCCCTACGAACCTTCGAAGCCTACAAAAAAGATGTTGATCTAACAAGTATTTCGGTAGACTGGTGTTATTATATGTACGACTTCAAAAGAAAATAGCATGGCTAACGATATCACTATTTAGTTTGCCATCTACTTTATATTGGCTTCAGAAGCATGTATTATTATTGCCTCCATGATTAGAAGAAGGGCATTACGTTTGCCAGCCAGCCCCACCAGCCAAAATCGATTCAAATCCAGACTCATAGTCTGTTTCAGATTGGCCAAATCTGAATGATTTTCGACTCTATTGAACTATTTTAGCAGATTCGACTATATAACATATGATGATCACCCCATGCATCTTTAGGCTTTCTTGGAGTACTTTTCAAGACGCATCCAATGATACCAAGTAAGATACATGTTTTGAATAAAATTGTTGAGCAATTTATGAAAATATGAAAAGAGGTTTCTGGCCAAAATGTCAAAATTTTACATATCAAAATCCCACAAAGATGATTTCAGGGGCTCTGTTGGATCGATAGAAACATTTTGATTCAAGATATACCATAGTAAAAGTCTTGATTATTAAGGTCAAAAACGCGATCGTTTGATTTTCAATGAAAAGCATGAGGGGTACCTCATGCTTTTTGGTCGATTTTTGGCCATGTCTTTTTGATCCCCAAAAAGTTGAGCAAAGGTGTCAGAAGGTAACTGCCAGATGAGAGCAATTATTTGGTACTATTCTGACCATCTAAAACGGCCTTGAACGCGAGAAAACACAGTTCAAATGCACTCAAATTTTGCTGTATTAGGCACACTCTTGACTAAAAAGGTATGATATCTGTATGCTACTTGCCCGTATACGAAGTATCTACGTGTATACGGATGTAGAACATCACATAAGAGTCAGATCCACAGATAATATGGAAGCAGCAGTATTTTGAAAAGATAAGCAAGGGTATTCGATAGCGCAAACTGCCGCTGCGTAAGTTGATTCTCACCAATCCAAAGCAAAGGTAGAGAGTCGTCCAAAGCATAAACACTCGTATACATAATATATATATATATATATCCCAAAATGACCTTTGACATAAATGCAACGATGTTATACAGCACTTGTTGCATATATCAATTAGGTTTTACTTGGATTCACTAAAATTTAAATATGACAAACCTTACTTGTGACGAGAAAGCCTATATATTTAAGTTGTATGATGAAATAGTGCTTGCTACCAGAATCGTCAAGGCTAATAAAAGGTCAGATGCTAAGAACTACAAACGTACTCAACTGTTCACCAGCCTTCTCAAGATAAAGCGTTTAAATATTGCAGGACATCGTCAAGGACCTGATTCTAAAGATAAAAGAGTTTGCAATATTTGTCCCTGAAAAACAAATTGCTACCTTGGCTGCAGTTCGAAAGAGGCTACCTGGCAAAGTTTGTTGTGTTTTTTCTTGAATGTATTGCATTAAACAAGCCTGATTAGCAGAGATAACAAGAAGATGCCATACAGCAAATTGAGGGCGATGATTTAACAATGACAGACACTACGAGAATCAGTACGCTTTGCACCGAAAACTCAAATTATCTGCCAAGTTCAATAGAGATTGAGTAGACAACGAGTAGATCAGCAAGCTGCAAGAACGATTCCCAGACGCCACATATGCCATGGGCAATTAGTCGGCTCCTATGGCTCGTTTCCATGAGCCAATTCGTGGTTTAGGTTTTCGTCGTCTCTTGAGGAAGCATGGTTTAAATGTGGGTTCGATGTAATTACCATGTTACACTTCATTTTTTTTTTTATTAAACTTCTATATAGTTTTGTATAATTTTGAAATAAAGTGTATATACCACGCTTAACATCATCGCTCCCTGATTCCAAATGAAAACTATTTAGTGAAGCCAAATGTAGCACAGGCTAAACATCTTGAAGCACAGGCCTATTGTATTGCATGAATTTCACGGAGACTGTAATTCATTGTTATCGCTTTCCTAATGATAGGCCCGATTTGCTGCGTATACTAGGTTTTGCTTTCGTTTTTTTTACCATTGCAATCATGTCGAGTTCTGTCAAAGAATCCAAGAAACGCAGATTAGACGATGGGGATGAGCAGAATCAAGGTAAAACTAAGCGACAGTTGATTCAAAATACACTGCAGTATTTCTTCAGCAAGACAACGGTAAAGACCACGGCGCAACAGGACAGCAGCGACAACACAGTTGCCAATGTGCTCAAAGAAGCCGAAAAGATTGAATCAACTACATGTCCAATTTGCGGCACCACATTTGAGAATGTCTTTATCACACAATACGAGTCTCATGTCAACTCATGTCTGGATACAGCGGATGCCTCTCCTAATGACGATGCCGAGCAGCAAGTAGAGTCAAAACCAAAGCCAAATCAAGAAGCTGCTAGTATATCCTGGAGCAAGATATTCACAGCAGCCACATTCAAGATTCGTGGTATCTGGAGCCATCACAAGAACGACACTGCGCCTGGTTTGAACGAGAGCGAAACAAGCTGGTTTGGTGAACCAAAGTATTCATCTACTACAACAACAACCTCACCAGGACGTCGCCGAGTGCCTTATTACAAGAGATTAGCAGGGACAAAAATGGTGGTCGATGCGTTTACATTTGGCGAGATTCCTGACTGTGAAGGCTATCTGTTATCACACTTTCACAGCGACCATTATATGGGGCTCTCGCCCAACTGGATCCATGGGCCCATCTACTGCTCTGAAATCACAGCTAGACTCGTGGAGCAGAAGCTAGGCGTGGCTTCTGATTTCATATTCCCCTTGCCAATGAACACGCCTTGTACACTCTCAGGTACAGATCAACTTACTGTAACACTGATTGATGCCAACCACTGTCCAGGCGCTGTCCTCTTTCTCATCACCACCAAAGACAACTTGAGGTATTTACACACTGGCGATTTTCGAGCTTGTCCCAAAATGTGTCTCCATCCCATGCTGAAGGAACAGCCGCTTGACATTGTGTATCTGGACACCACTTATCTTGATCCCAAGTACTCATTTCCGTCACAGGACTCGTGTATACAGACAGCATGTGAGTTGGTTAAACGTCATAATGGTGTTATCGACAATGAAGATCTGTCGTCGAATGGAAAGCGGATTGATCATTGGTTTACACAAGAGAAAAAGCAGATCATCAGTGATCATTCATCACAACAAACGGATGACAGTAATGACAAAAAGCATCGATTATTGGTGGTGGTTGGCACCTATTCATTGGGAAAAGAAAATATTTTTATAGGTAACCCTTTGTGGTCATATTGTATATCGTGTGGATATTCATACTGTCCCTTTGTAGAAATTGCAAAGACGTTGGGCAGCAAGATATTTGTGACAGATCAGAAAAGAGCCATTCTGGAAACATTTCGTGACCAGGAACTGAACGCATTACTAACAGATCAGTGCAAAGAGGCGCAAGTGCATGTCATTCCATTGGGCCACATTCGAGCAGAGGTATTTTATCCTAGCACGGCATGATACGCTCAACTCTCACTCATCACTCATGAATTACATAGAACCTCGAGGCCTATTTTCATAGCTTGCAGCCGTATTTCACTCAAATGATTGCATTTAAACCTACAGGTTGGACTTTCCGTGCATCATCTGATCCGCAAATGCAGCAACAGCAAAAGTCACTTGAGTCTATAATCAGGGCAAGGCCACCTGATCTCAGTGCCTCTACGCTAAAGCCAATTTATGATACCCCATTAGTAAAAATCTTTGGTGTGCCCTATTCAGAACACTCAAGCTTCAGGGAATTGGCATCGTTCATTGCTAGTCTGGATATCCGTCGTATTGTGCCTACAGTGAACGTATACAGCGAAAAGAGCCGACTCAAGATGAGCTTATTGTTTGAAAAATGGCATCAAGACAAGATCAAGTTGATTCAGGATAATGGTGGTAAGATCAAGGTGGTTGACTACCCATCCGCTGATCATTGGTAGATTGTAATTATATATATAGTAGAAATTTGACATTGTAAGTGCGTGTGTATGTGTATTTGGTATCATAAACAGATATATATATAGTCAGATGAGCCGTGGTATGTGCGACCTGAGATGTAGTTGCTGATGAGGATTGCTCCATGGTTCCTGTATGAGTCAAGGTGTTTTTGCCTAGCAGAACCATGCGTATACGTTTAAGATGCTACAGCAATGCCACCATCCACTGTGGCCATGGTAACAACCATGGAATAGCATCGAGTAGAGCCCAGAATCGATCAAGCTATAAATGGTAAGGGATGCTTTATCATCAGCTGAGAAGATAAATAAAGGCATTCATTTCCATTGTGGGTCATTTTTCACTTGTTCTTCTCTTAAGTTCTACTTTTCATTTTTCAAATACCATGTTTTCAAATCAACAACAGCAACAGCAGCAAGATTTCAATATCGAAAACCCTGACCACAACCTTTTTATCAACAATCCCAGATCAAGAAACAGCTTTGGTCAGCAAGCGCAAGGTCAGCCTCAACAGCCTCAACAATCGACATCTTCCTCTTATCACACTATGCATCACAGCAACAGCTTTGGTCCTATGGCCATCAATCCTTCGAGCACAGTTCAGGGCAACAACAACAATGGCCAAAGTAGCATGGCTTTCACAGACCCCTCTTCCGCAAATTGGTTTGGCACTAGCATGGATTCAAATGCCTCTTCATTTGGTCAATCTCCTGTGTTTGGCGGAAGAGATTTGCTAGTTACACCTTCCAATTCTACGGGCCATATCATTGACAGCTTTAACGGTGGTGAGGATGAAGAGTTGAGCCAAAGAAAGTAAGTAACTTATGTGTGTATGTGCGTGAAAGTGTGCTTATTCATCTGTCTTGTGCAGCCATCAAGAGATATTTGAAAAGAGAAGAAGAAGACGTGAATCACACAATGCTGTAGAGCGAAGAAGAAGGGATAATATCAATGAGAGAATTCAGGAGCTATCTACATTATTGCCCGAGCATTTGCTTGAATCTGTGCCTGCTAGCTCCAATGTCATGTCAGTCGCAACAGGCCAAAATGGTGCAAACGGGAAGCCCATCAACAAAGGCACTATCCTTAAACTATCTGTTGATCATATCAAAGAGTTGAGAGAAGAAGTGATAAACTGCAAAGGCAAGATTAAGGACTTGGAGCGACTGATTGAGATTGCCAGAGGTAATCAAGATCCAGCTTTACAACAACATCATTTGAAGGCAGAGGACAATGGTATGGACTTGTACAATCAACAGCAACAACAACAACAACAACAACAACAACAACACATGCACAATTTGATGGCTCAGCAGCAACAACAACAGCAGCAAAACGCACAGAGACCGTCCAGACATGAACGTGTGGGATCAATACAGTTTCAACAGCAGTTTGGTAAACTTCATATTACTGGAGAAGAGCAACAGCAAGCATAAATTATAGTGCCTCTGTATCATATTATCAACACTGTATATCTTTTATATTACTATTATATATTAACACACCTTTTTCCTAATAGCAGAATATCTTTCGTGTATCGTATCATTTCTTTATTTATAACTTGTTATTGTTGCACAGCAGATTGTTACAAAAAGCTAACGCTTCGCCCTTTCTGCTGCGTACATTTTTTTCTTTACTAATAAACCCACTGGATCCATAAACATTGTGCAATACTGCATAATATTCAGGAGCAATGGCTGAGCTCAGATTTTAGTACTAGATGAAGCAGGAAGCTGAGAAATATAGAGTTGCTTGCCTTAGTAAATGTCATGGGATATGCCTCCAACGTTAATTTGAAAATATAGCCCATTTATTTCATCAAAATTTAAATGACAAGATTTTCATCTGCCCATAGCTTAAATGTACGATCGTAACCAGACGAAGCAATGAAATTATTATCTAAGCCAAAAAAAAAAAAAAAAAAAAAAAATCAGCTTGGTCCTTCATCAAACACAACCAGCATCATTTACCTCTTGATACATCTACGCCCATAACCTTTCCATCATGTCCGTCTAAGCTCTTGACTAATCTAAAGTCATCCCCAGACCAAATCTTGACACAGCCATCATATCCAGAGGTAGTCAAGTACAGACCGGCAATGTTGTGTGGGTCAGAAGCACTGTTGTTATTTGTTCCAGGCACGCCCTTGCTGTATTTCACATCGGATACGAGTGATTGATGTGCTGAAATTGTGTATAAATTACGAAGCGTGCGCACGTCCCAAATCTTAACAGTGTTGTCTGCACTAGCTGATGCTAAATGGTATCCATTAGGCGACCAATCCAAGCCTAAAATATCCTTCATATGTCCTTCAAGCGTCATGGATGATCGGCCTGTTCTCATATCCCATACCCTTCCAATCGCATCCAAACCACTACAACATGACATGATGAGTGATTCCAATTCAATAGGTAGTTCTAGTCAAATGTTTTACCCTGTCGCAACCAAACTTCCATCACACTGAAATGCAATTGAATACACTTCCTTGGCATGGCCCTCTTGTAATAATAATTCTTGCGCTGTAACCACATCCCATAATCTCCATGTACCATCAAAACTGGCACTGCCTAGATATTTGCCCGAAGGATGGAACCCAATTCTAGCAACTCGTCTTGCATGTCCCTTTAATGTACCAATGGGCGATTCACTATATTATAAAAATGTCAATATTTCCATCCTTCATAATGACACATGGGCTTTGTATTGTCTACCTTTCTAAATTCCACAGTTGGATCAATCCATCAGCACCACTCGACGCTAAATTCAAAGCACTCTTCTCTTGAGAAATAGTAGCTTCAGGATGGAAAGTAACACCACCCACTTTATCGTTATGTCCCTTCAATGTCAACACTTTTTCGCAGTTGGGCACAGTCCATACTTTGCAAAGTCCAGACCATGAGCCAGTAACTAATAGCTTGGAATCAGGACTGAAGGCACATTGAGCAATCGGTCGGTCATCAGCAATCTGTGAAGACCAATTTGAATATGCTTTGAGTTTGGCGTGTAGTTCTTTTCTGCTTGCTTTCAATAAAGCCAGCGGGATGCTGGATTCCTCTTTTTGTCGATCATTTCTTTGCTTGGCTCTATCCATAATTATAAGAACTCGAAGCTAGGTTTGACATCAACTATTCACAAACCTTGGTAATGAGTATTTTGTGATCCACTTTCTTGCCTCTAATAATTCTACTGATCCTGGAGTAAAGAATTCCTCATTATCCTTTGAAATAATGTGTGAGAGGCCTTTCAGATATGATAGATGCCTTCAATTACCTCTTCTTCCGCTTCACTTGCTGATTCCTCTTCGCTTTCTACTTCATGACCTTGAATCTTGGATAATAGATATCTTAGACGATCACGACGATCTCCAGGCTAACACGAGTAAGTATAATTGTAAATCACACCTGAAAATAAAGCTCACCCCTTCGCCAAAGAGACATTGTGGTTCACCAATGTCTCGAAGTCTTTGTCGAACACGGCCATCATCTGTTGGCACAGCAATTTGAAAAGCTCTCTTTCGTCTCTCGAATTCTGCCAACACCTGCTTATCTGCTTCACCTACGTTGACCGAATACGCAGGCTCCATACTTTCTGCTATCGTAGTAGTAAGTCAACTGTCAAGATATATAATTCATGTATCATCTTTACCCAGAGCATCGAGATCAATTGTACCATTGTTGGATGTGGGTGTATTGTCATCGGTACGCGCTCTTTTGACAGATTCTTGGCCTTCTAATGAACCGAAATGAACACGAGGTTTCGATGTAAGTCTCGAGATCTGAGAGGGTTCATTGTCCATCTTTATAGGTGATGTCTATTTTCTAAGTGAGAGAAACAGTGGTACTCTCAAGAGAAAAATTAAAACTTCTTTTTCATAGTGGGGATTTACCAGTGACTACTGTCCACTGGCTGGAGATTGTTGCATTGTCGATGAATCAAGGTCTTTTAAGCGAAGGAGCATCTAAATAAGCTGACAATTGGAGTAGGTAGTAGGTAACTCTTCATGAGCATGCGCCTAGTAGGTCTCTACGTTGAGTCAAAGGCTCAAAACATAGTAATTTTAGTTCAGTTATAGAAATTCAAAGCAACATCCTAATAAACCAGATGTTACTGAATGTGCAATGCCGATGATCTTGATATAGCGCATGGAATACATTTTATAATCTACGATTGCGTCTACGTTTTGGACGACTCTCTACCTTTGCTTTGGATTGGTGAGAATCAACTTACGCAGCGGCAGTTTGCGCTATCGAATACCCTTGCTTATCTTTTCAAAATACTGCTGCTTCCATATTATCTGTGGATCTGACTCTTATGTGATGTTCTACATCCGTATACACGTAGATACTTCGTATACGGGCAAGTAGCATACAGATATCATACCTTTTTAGTCAAGAGTGTGCCTAATACAGCAAAATTTGAGTGCATTTGAACTGTGTTTTCTCGCGTTCAAGGCCGTTTTAGATGGTCAGAATAGTACCAAATAATTGCTCTCATCTGGCAGTTACCTTCTGACACCTTTGCTCAACTTTTTGGGGATCAAAAAGACATGGCCAAAAATCGACCAAAAAGCATGAGGTACCCCTCATGCTTTTCATTGAAAATCAAACGATCGCGTTTTTGACCTTAATAATCAAGACTTTTACTATGGTATATCTTGAATCAAAATGTTTCTATCGATCCAACAGAGCCCCTGAAATCATCTTTGTGGGATTTTGATATGTAAAATTTCGACATTTTGGCCAGAAACCTCTTTTCATATTTTCATAAATTGCTCAACAATTTTATTCAAAACATGTATCTTACTTGGTATCATTGGATGCGTCTTGAAAAGTACTCCAAGAAAGCCTAAAGATGCATTTTTTTGTAGGGGAGCCGAGCTCCATTTTTTATTTTAAGTCCTTCAAATGTCGCTATGAGTGATAGGAAAGACTGGGTATGATTACAAGAGGATCGGAGGAACGAAAGAAAAAAATAAAAATAACAGATAGAAAAGAGCAAATGGATAAAAGAGGAAAAACTGAATACTTACGAATCTAGCTTTAACTCGGCATCCAAGCGAGCAAGAGAGCGAGCAAGACGATGTTGAACAGTGTCAGCGATGAACGGGGTTCGGTCGAAGATCCAGCGCCAGTGCGCTTGCCATATTGTCAGCAGAGTAGTTGCGAAAAGTTGAGGAATAGAGAGATCATTGAACGAGAGAGAGAGATCACGATCAAGATAGGGAGAGGAACAGAGTAATATTTGTTGGAAGAAATGAATCAGATCAACATCAGAGATTGAGGAAGAAGCAGAGAGATAGGTGTGGTACATGTGTCGCCAGACCAATAACTTGGGAGGGCAGGAGAACAGAGTATGGGTGATATCCTCCGTGGTAGAGGCAGAGCAGATGGTACATAGGGGAGAAGGGTGTTTTTCGGGGATGCGTAAATGTAGCAGAGCTCTTGAAGGGATTTTTTCGTAAATAGCTCGGTACCAGACCGTGCGAGCAGCCAGGGGGATTGAGATTCTCCAGAAGGAGAGCCATTGAGCCGGCCGGAGAGGAGAGAGTGAGGAGGAGGTAGAGGAGAGGGTTTGACGTAGTTTTTTGAAGTAACGGATGCTGTTGAGCGGCAACCGGCCTCGCGAAGGCAAGGAAGAAGGAGGAACGATAATGCTACGGCAGAACGCTCGAAGGGAGGGAGGTTGATGTGGGTTGAGGGTTGGACGAGGAGCAATGAAGCACTGTTGTGCAAAGAAAGGTTGGAATAGTAGTTGACGCGACTGAATGAAATCAGCAACACGTTGGGATACAATAGGATGGCGAGCGAATTGGAAGGAAGGACGAACACGAAGCACCTGATGATCAATATCTAACTGGAAAACCTCGCTTACAAGAAGCTTTCTGGCAACGTCAGAGCCATCTAAAAGAAGATTCGGTGGTATAAAGCTAGAAGAATATAAATTGTTAATAGTAGGAGGAGAATGTAAAAGTATTTCATAAAGAGGGAGTGAGTAGCAAGTAATAGCATCAACATATAAGTTACGACGTTCTGACATCTGAAAGATGGACAAGCAGGACTGAAGATTAGTGATTGGATTGAGATAAGTATTGCGACGGGATGGACTTTGAGGAAACCACAACCGATGGCGAGCATGCCGAAACAAGAGGTAGTAAAAGAAATGAGAGAAGACGGTGGAGGAGTAGCACCAAGAAAGAGTATAAGTTAAGACAGGAAGCGAAGGAGTGTTGTACTTGGAGAAGGCCGGAGAGTCAAGATATTGAAGCAATAGAGGGCACACCCAGTACCATTGCAGAGCTTGTTGTTGAGAGAGAGGATCTAGGAGCCCCAAACCACCGGCAGAGCGAGGTAAAGAGAGAGTAGCAAAAGAGAGTCTAGGGAATATACGAAAATTAATGAAGGCGGTACCCAGGCTTCGTAAAGAGAGCAACTGGGCCTTGGTAAATGTTGTGAGTCGTAAAACATGCCATAATTTGGAATAAATGAGTGAATTGAGAATGGTGACCCGGCCACGGATAGAGATATTGCGTTGGGAGTGGATAGCAATAGCGTTACGGATGGAGTCATACAGTTTTTGAAAGGCAACATTGCGTTGAGTAATGCTGGAACAAATTGGATAACCGAGATAAATGAGTGGAGTGGTGGATGTGCGATCATGCCAAGCGGTGATGCCATAAGATGAGAGCAGGGCTTGCCAAGTTGTTGATGGTTTACCTGAAAGAGATGTAGCTACTGTTTTGTGATAATTCAATAATGCGTTAGAAGCTTTCATGTAAGTAGTGATGGCAGCCTGCAAACGATGGAAATCGTGCGTGTCGCGAAGATACACCAAAGTATCATCCGCATAGGCAAGGATTTTGACCGCCAGAGGCGCAGTTGTAGAAGAAGCTGAAGAAGTTGAACCATCGGGAACAATGGGCGGGTCAGCAGCATCAGAAAACAGTTGTTGCATAGAATCTGAAATAACATCAGATTGGGTATCATTAGAAGGGGGAGGAGCTTCAGTGTGTAGGTTGAAACCCTTGTATTGAGGGTCTTGGTGAATTGATCGAAGGAATGGATCAAATGCGATATTAAACAGTAGTGGCGAGATGGGATCTCCTTGTCGAATACCACGTTGTTGGGTGATATAATCAGTCGAGATATGTCCATTGATGTTGATGTGAATTTGTGTCGAAAAAAAGAGAGTTAGTAAGGAATGAATAATATTAGTAGGCATGTTAAAACGTTGCATCACAGCACGAAGATAATCAGGATGAATGCGATCGTAAGCCTTCTCTTGATCCAAGAGAAGTGCAATACTGTCAGAGGATGTTTCAGCGGCAATGAGGCGAGTGTTGTGGAGGATCATACCATTGTCACCGATGAAGCGACCAGGCATGAATCCTGATTGTTGAGGACATATGATTTTGTTCATAAAAGGCATAAGACGTTGGTTGAGAAGTCGGGTAAATATCTTGGCATCGCAACATATCAATGATAGAGGTCGCCAATTCTTGAGGTTGGATAGGTCGCCGGATTTGGGTAGTAAACAGATGCAGGTTTGCAACCAGCTGGAGGGAAAGATACCCAAGTTGAGAGCATCATTAAATACCTGAACAGAGAGTTTGGCAGCCTTCGGGTGGTTGAAAATCACGTTGAGAATGGGATAAGGTAAACCGTCGATGCCAGGACTGGATTGGAACTTGGTACGATGAGTACCAGTCAATAAGTCGGCATAGGTGAAAGGTTGCTGAAGAATAGTATGAGCATCATCCGGGATGGTGTCAGAGTCAGGGATCGTGTTGCACAGGGACTCGATGCTCGCGATATCGACCGGATCACTGGAATACAACGTGTCATAGAAACTAGAAGCAGCTGTCTGCATCGAAAGAGGATCAGTACATAATGTGTTACTAACTGGATGGAGGAGGCTAGTAATCGCCTGTTTAGCGGCATGAGTGGCAATAGTTCGCTTAAGGTAACCGGCAGAGGTTTCCCCCTTTTCACGCCAATGTTTACCTGCCCGCAATCGTAGGTTCGTAGCAATTTCACGTTGAAGCATACCAATTTGCTTTTCAACGGTGTGTAGTAGTTGTGTCCGGGTACGAGGATCCGAGTATTGACGACATATTCGGTTGCGCTTGCGTTGTAGGCGCCGGTGTTGGCGTTCCAAGGCATTGCTGCGAGCACGACTTACCCGACGAGCGATATCCTGAACTAGAGCTTTAAGAGCATCCCAATTGTCTTGCGGAGAGGCAGGCAAAATGGAGGCGGCGGCATCTATGGAAGCGGTAATCTCCACGGTAGTGAAAAATTCATCTAAAGCTGTAAACAGTTGATCCGTGAAATATTGATTAGTTGCTAGATTGGGGTTAGCTCGCCATAGACCTGATCCCTGACGATCCGACGAAAAGACAAACCGTGCCCGGAGAAGGGCATGATCGGTCCAGGAGGAATCAAGGAACTCAATGTCAGAAGAGTGTAGGTGTTGGAATAAGAAAGCAGAAGCGTACAGGTAATCGATAGTAGATTGACCGTTCTGTCTGCGATATGTTGGTAACAGAGGGCCTTCTTCCCGCGAATGTGTACATTCAAAGAAGTGCGTATTGAGAATCTGATGGAAGTGTCGGTGAAGGGCAGCTCCTGAAGTAATATTGTTAGTATCAAGTTCCTGATCCACACTTTCATCGGTCAGATATGAAGTAGCATGATAGTTGAAATCCCCCATCATGAGCATTGGAGCAAGGTTGGAGGGATCAGAGTCGAGAGGTGTAGATAAAGAGGAGAGAGATGCCTGAGAGGTTGAATAAGGAATGTCGAAAAGAGGCAACGCTAGAAGATTGCGAAAGAACTGCACTCTGGGAGAGTATTGGGCAGGAGCATAGATGTTAAGGAGTGTGAAGGGTGGGAACAACGCATTGGCATGGACAACCTTGCAGGCAAGGATGCGTTGGTCCAGATCGAAGTCTAAAGAATGTAAGTTGATTAATGGATTGAATGAGATAATACCACAATGTTGTGTCCATAAGGTGGCATGAGCTTGGAATTGTAGATTGAGTTGGTCCTGAACTGCCTCAACGGCGTGCGATTCTTGAATACATATAATGTCCAAATGTAAGGAACGTAAATATCGAATGAAGTCAGAGCTAATCTCTGGAGTAGAGGCTTTGACAAGATTGCGGCAGTTCAGGGAAGCTATATTGAAGTTGTGATTGTGCGTAAAAGATTGAATGTTAGTGGTATAATTGGGCATATTAGTGGCATAGGTGTGAGATTCATAGGTGTTAGTACTCATTAGGCCAAGGGGGCTGAGACGCCGTCAGCTGGGCTAATAGAGGTAGAAGAGGTAGCAGGTTGAGTAGTAGAATCTTGAGTTGCAGGAACATCATCCATGTTGACATCGGCCTGTGCTGAAAGGGCGATAGCCTTGGATGATTTGTCAGGATAGATAGCAGAGTAGAGAGAATGATATACAGATTCAGGAAGCCATTGACGCTTGAAGCAAAATTCCCTAGCGACAGCAAGTTGAACATGAGGGACATGAAGGCGCTTGACAATACGTATTAACCGTTCTTGATGGATTCGGGTGGCTTCAGCTTGCACAAAAGCCTGGTCAGGGTTAGTAGTATACTTACGATCACGGAGTAATGAAGGAGCACAAGGGTCAAAATCATTGAGGAGCTTGGAGGAAGGCAGCTTGGCCATGGCATCTTTGACAGTATCGACATAGTCATTGTGTACCAGGAAGCTGATAGTGTTGTTCTCAGGGTAATGGATGTCGAGGATGCGGCTCTGCGATAAGCCAAGTACTCCAAAACCAGCACGGATTTTGGAGATGGCTTCACGACCACGGGATGTAAAGTACAAGAATTGGTACCCATGTGATTCCGATGGGGCCGAGTAAAAACGATTAATTTGTTCCAAAGTTGGAGGTCGTTTGGACTTACCTTTGGGAACAGGCTTGGAAGAAGTGATGGCTTTAGGTTTAGGTGTCTTGAGAGTCTGGGGCTTCTTTGGTGGATCGTTCAATGGTGGAGTGGCGGCCACATCAGCCCATTTGGAGGCCGAGGTACCATCTGATCTCTTCTCAGGTACAGTCGGAGCTGAAGGCAAGGGTGGCAACGAGTGATTGGCAGTTGACTTGAGTTGTGCAATCTCTCGATTAGCGTTATCCAAAGCCAGTTGAAGTTCATGGTTTCTCTTCAACAAATCTTTAATTTGTTCCAGTTGAGAATCGTGTGCAGAAAGACGTGCATAGATTTCCTGGATCCAGTTAGGTAACTGAGGATGACCATGGATTTCGTCTGGGCGGGGAACATGCAGACCGGTACAGACAGTAGTAGGCGTGCTGGGCGCAATAGCAGAGGGTTCTAAGCCCAGGATGGAGGTGGAATCGGTGGAGGAGACTACAGGCATAGTAGTAAGTTGCGAGTCGGTAATCATGGAGACGAGAGGTTCTACTGTAGGTGCGTGAGTGCGAGGTGAACGACGCAAAGGTACAGCGGTAGCTTTGATGGTAGAGAAGCGACGCTTCTTGGACGCAACGGGTAGTTTGGAGGAACGGTTGCCGGCTGTCGTCTGTTTGGTTAAAGTGAGACGAAAGTTGGAGGTAACGGTAGGTGTCGGCTGACTTGACAGACCTGACTGAATTGTTGTTGTTGTGTTGTTTGTCGGTTTTGTTTTGATCTTTACTGCTTAATGATGTTTTCGGGGTTTGAAAGGCCCTAAAAACAATTTAGACGAAAGAAAGGTGAGCCTAAAGATGCATGGGGTGATCATCATATGTTATATAGTCGAATCTGCTAAAATAGTTCAATAGAGTCGAAAATCATTCAGATTTGGCCAATCTGAAACAGACTATGAGTCTGGATTTGAATCGATTTTGGCTGGTGGGGCTGGCTGGCAAACGTAATGCCCTTCTTCTAATCATGGAGGCAATAATAATACATGCTTCTGAAGCCAATATAAAGTAGATGGCAAACTACATAATGATATTATTAGATGATTTGAGGCATTGTATGGAGGTTTTGACATAAAGAATGTGCTCTTAAATGGCAAGCAGCTATAGGAGTAGCAGAACTGACATCAATAAATTGCAAGAAAGGGTGCTTGTCATTCAACATTCTGCTTATTTGACGTTCTGTGATCGTCTTGTTTGATTCAAACTTGATTTCTTTCAAATTAATGAATGTGTTCAGATGGTTAGTCAATGCGAATTCCGTAGCTTGAGAAAGGTAAAGATTGGCAATTGTATTCTTGAAAACGAGCATCAGTATGTCGTATTGCTTGAACAAGGTATTTCCAGAGTAAAGCATCGAGAGTGAAGCTACTTTTTCCAATTTTTTCAAGAAGCCTAGCTGATACAGCTCCGACAACGGTGAATGGAAATCCTCAATAGACTCTTGATTCTGTTAGAGAACCTTTAGATTAGGGCACATCTTGGCAAAGCCGGAGAAGATGTTGCCATTGAATACCTCATCGCTTAACGGCAATTCCTTGACTGCATGTCAAATGCCGTTTGCTGCATTGAGGGTATTCAAGAAGAGAGAAGCCTTCTTAGAGTTTCCAAACAAATTCACCTTTCCGTAAAGGGATTCACAAGCAGTTAGAGTCCACTGTTTGCATATCAGTTGGAGTTATAGCAAAGATTCCTTTACAAGTCCTCCTCATCATCATTGTAGTAGTAGGGAAATCTTTCTTCGAGGTAGTGGAATTATGTGCTGCAAAATCCCTTGGAGTACTTTGGATGCGTCCATAATCAAAAAAAAATGAGTTTTATATAGACAAGAAAGAAGAGGATTAATGAATTAGCTACTATATGAACATTCAAACAGAAAATTATCCGATTGTCTGTATTTTCGCATAATGATACTGGCGAACACCTTATACCAACATCAAGAACAATTTTGAGCGATTATCAGCTTTTGATGGTTATTCTCTGAACGTATTGCGTTGCGCTGCTGTACAGTATCAGAATGGTATGCCTGTCAGTCGCCTACATGCTTCTGTAGTACTCAATATTGTTTCACTCTTCTATCAATCGTTTTTGGCTAGCATGATAGACTTTCGTTTGACAGGTGTTTGAAGAGTTCATAGACATATCCACATGGATGCGAGCTTGGGGACAGAAATTGGCCAACGTTGATTCCATGAGGATCGCTTCATGTCTGGCCAAGGCTTATGTCACGTTTGTTCGTTTAAATGTATTCGAGAACATTGAGGAGAGAACCATTAGATACTTCATTACCATTCTGCCTGGCAAGAACGCTGATTTCATATGGAAGCGCCGTTATGTTGCCTTTTACATCTGGAACCTCAAGGTAGACCCTGGCTCAGTTTGGCCACCTACCATCTCCAAAAATGCTGCAACATCCATACGGATGATGGGCGCCTTGATCTATGTTAACCTTTAGATTGACAAGCTGATAACGCGTTCTAAGCCATCAAATGAGAGGGATTACCTTTACACGGCTGACCTCTGGTGACATTTATGTATGTTCATATTCCACCCAATATTTTCCTCTTATAGGAAATCTCGTATGAGTTGACCATCAGGATGTAAGTATTCAAACTGATAAATCAACTACAGCTATTAAATGCCTTCTTTCAATTTAAATAAACAGTCAGTTACTGTGAATGTCTACTTATCTAGGCCCTTGGCTTGGAGATGGCGGCAAAAGCAGACCACTGATATACGACCAGCATAAGGTACCAATCATTCAATACCTTCAAAATTGATTGAATATCCGAGTCGACATTAACTTCACCAACTGTACTTGTGAGATTGTAAAGGCAAATGGTACAAACCATTCGAAATTGGCTCATTAATCTTCTTCTCATGTTACTTTTCGTACCACACCTTTGGAACTAAGGTGAATCAATTATAATAAAGTGATCCCTAGACAAAACACTAAAATACTATGTTAATTGCTAAACTGTGGATTTCAGTTGATGTTTGACATTTTGAAACTAATTTTAAATGTAGGATTTCATTTCGGTGAGATGATTAAACGCGTCTGCTTCAATAAAATACCACTCAAAAGCTTTGCAAAAATTTGCTGAAGCCAATCGATAAGCCCTGAAAGTAACGAGATCATCTAGGTCTCGGATTATGATTAAGTACAGAAAGAGAGTTTGACTTATGGCATCTCATATATGCCAATTTTTCAGCAATGATCAATCAGAGAAACAGTAAAAGGGATTGCATGGGGTCATTTATCATTCGCGGTTTAACGTAGTGCATCATGGTTTCTGAGAGAAAGAGCTACGGTTTATATAGTAAAAACCATGAAATTGCACTGTAAATGTTAAATTGTTAGGTTTTTCATTGAAACCACTTGTCATTCTTCAACCTATGATGTTTTTGGCGCCAAAAGAATACCTAACTGCTTTCAAACGAGGCAAATCAGCTTTTGGAATCAATCTTGAAAAAGAATTGAGTACCATGGCCAGTTGTAAGCAGCGTTGGTTACTGAAATTCAATATCGTTGTTCCTTGTTTCAATCTGCCTTAGAATAGTGCTTCAATGCGATTGTTCACTTGAAACATGATCTAGAATACTCGTTAAAGATACTGACAACATAATGCGTAGCCATCAATTCCGTAAACAGTGAATCCGTTAATTAGACGACGTAACCTCCGAAGCTTCTCCAATTATTACCCTCATGTCTTGTTTCTAGAAGCATCAGCATTGGAGGTATCAGATTGTTAAATTAGAATTCAATCGAGCACCTTTGCACGCAAACATTAAAAATTTATACGATTTTTTTCTGTGCAATTCCAGTTCTAGATACCATTCTCAGTGATCTTCTTTGAAGTTTCACTTGAAAGATTATCTTTCATTGAAATATTCACGAATTTTTCAGTCAATACCTGTAATATACAGTGTCCGTGTGCTAAGGCGAATTAAAGTTTAGGGCTGTATATGTTAAGTTCGAAACGTTAGCTGTCATGTACAACTTGAATATTCTTGCTTGCTGCTTAAAAGACCTAGTAAACTGATGTCTCTGTTTGAGCGAAATGCCAACTGTCCGTTTACCCAAGGGTGAAATTGGTGAAGAGTCAGTTCACGACAATGAATGAAACCGTTAGATAATATGAAACCATTGTTCAGTTTATATAAAAAGAGTGGGGATCGAGATTTAACAAAGTGTATTCAAATCAGTTTTTGCAAATGGTGAAATCAATTAGTCTACTGGCAGCAGCTGCTACCGTACTCTCCTGTATTCGTGCTGCCCCTACAAATATGTCATACAACAAGAGATCACCTTTTGCAAAGAGAGGTGGCTCTTATCAATGCTCTTCAGATGATAATCCCTCTCTTATGGTAATAAAAAAAAATTGATACTCGTACACGGTACAGCAATCTAATCATATAATAGCTGACCCATTTTGCTGCCGTCTTCTTTGGTGATTTCGATACTGATGGTGGTCAAGATATTCTCGGTCCGTTGGCTGTTCAAGGTGATTTCAAAGCAAGTGGCTACTATGTCAATGCGAATGGAGATGCTGATTGTTCAGATCCCAATGATATCTCTGAATATGCTCTCGTGGTTGGTACTTCTGTCCATGCTAATCAAGTCCGTGTCAAGGGCGCTGCTGATGTTCCTGCCGAAACACAGGGCCTTCAAGAAACCCAGAGCTCCTGTGCTATCAAGACAAATGTCAGCCTATACGATTTTGATCAAGCACAGTCCAATGCCATTGAAGCTTCCAAAACTCTAGCCTCCATGAAGCCCACTTTAATGCTGGATTCCAATGGCAAACTGACATCCATCGGTACATCTAACAATGACTTTCATATTGTCATTTTCAAGTCTTGTAACGATGGTGATTGCAACCCTTTTCCAGGTCAAATGTCTGACCCTTCTGCTATGCTTGAAGGAATCGGAAACTGGAATGGCCCCCAAGAAATGTCATGGCCCTCTGATGGCACCCTTGTATTCAATGTATGGTCATTTCATAAACCACTGATAACAAGTATTAACTTTTTTACTACTAGATTCCAATTGACTCTGGATCAACCTTTACTCTCAAGGGCAACAATCCCACAAATGGCTTAGATCCCTGTAGAACCGTCTTTAATTTCTATCCTTCTGACGCTTCGGGCGCATACAGATCTGGAGATATCACCCTCAAGCGTAACACTGGAAGTAACTTTGGCGGTTTCTCCTTGGCCCCTGAAGGTAAGCTGCCTCTCATATAACCGCAATAAAAACGATGACTGACTAGTTTTGTATAGCACACATTGTAGATGGAAGCACCGGTGCATTTGCTGGTACCGTTGTCGGCCAAGACTATTCTTGGGGCGGCAGTGGCGTTGAAATCCATAATTATAATGCGGCAGGTGGTAGTTGTTCAGCATTTGCTGGTTGCTTTCCCATTCATGATGACAAACCTCCTTCACCTGTTAGACCAGAGACATCGTCTGCTGTTACTGCCACTAGCACGTCCATGAAATCATCTACTACAGAATCTAGTATGCCCACAACCACCACTGATTCATCAAGCACTGAGGCCACCACTACCACTGGCTTCTCTAGCTCTGAAGTTACTACCACTACAAGCAGCAAGCATCATGATGGCACTACTTCCAGTACAGAGTCACCTAACACTGAGGCTACTACCACTACTGATTCCTCAAGCACTGTGGCTACTACCACTACTGACTCATCTATTGCTGAGGCTACTACCACTACAAGCAGTAAACACCATCATGATACTACTTCTAGCACTGGTTCGTCAAGCATTGAGGCTACTACCACTACTGACTCATCTAGCACTCAGGCTACTACAACTTCCACGGAAGTACAAACTACTACTACCACAGCCGATCACGGTGGCCAAACATGTCCTCCAGGTTGTGCCGCTGTAACTGTTACAGTTGTCGAGTATGTCACCATTAGTATATAAATCACCACCTCATTTTTAATAAAATCTCGAAGTTTTTGAGGTTATACTCAAAAAAAAACCCCTCAATCCAACATCTCTCATTGAAAATATCGGCTAATCTACGATTTGGTTGATTCTATTAAATCACATGAGAAAGAGAAATCTGAGCATAATTCCGTCTTGTTCAGAAGCTTTTCTTTGAATGGTGGATGACTTTTATTTAAAGAACATACAGAGTATAAGTTTAGTGGCGTGTTGAATGACATAAATGGGTGTCATGATCACCGTTTTGTGCCACGAGTACAGATCTTGGGAAATTCGCTATTTATTCGGAAGATTAAACGAATTAGGATGTATTGAATATGTGAAACCTAAGTTGCCATCGTTGATACACAGGGTCCACCTCGCTACATCCGAATTGGCATTGTATTAATGTTGTTCCTTAAATTTTTCAAAGGGAAGATTTTAATATCAATGCAAATGTTGGGGGTCATTTTTTTTTGGAGATGCTAATATTTGAGTCGGATACATTTCGCAATGGATCAAGTGCAATATTCAATTTAAACATGCTTGGTTCTAACTACAAAAACGTGAATATAAAGCGAGGCAAATGTATCATACTTATGCGCAAGGAAGCATCAGCAACCAGCGTATGATCAAGTATGATTACCTTCTATATCTAGCTGTGGAAGCGCCAGTTGTGTAAGGTAGATAGATTCGGTCAATCAGGTTCATTTTCTTTGGCACTTCTTTGCCAGTTATCCAATAATGGAGAAATAGTAATTCAATCTACTACAGGAGTCAATGACTTAATATTTATCGATCTTCAATAGCTGGACGCTATGTATCACAACCAGCTGTTATTGAGAATTTGGGAGTCCAATTCACATTTCAAAGATCCTGCTAGATATGACGAGCTATTTCGCAAATTGCAACATTTAAAGAGGTTTCTAAGCACACTTTTAATAACGAAGCAAAGAATAGAGCTCTTCAAAGGCACATTTAGAAGATACTCAAGCTTTCTGCTGGAACAAAGATCAATGTAACGGTTAGAGAGAGCATTCAGTAGCTGACATCTCAATTGCTATGCTTCTACCTTCTTTTTATTCGCTAATTTAAATACTTTACAATGTAAACCTACGAAATGCATAAATACCTATTGAATGAGTGCCAAATGACATAACTTACTTGTTTTTACGCTAATCTCTGTATTTTAGATTGCTTCCAGACAAAATTGTCGTATATAGCTTTCAGTTTGATAGTTGATGTGGCAATATATAGATGAGGATAAACGGTCCTTCAAAATTGAAAGTGCACATTTGTTATAAGCAATTTTTTTCTAGTTTCTAAATTGTCCATCTTTATTTATATTTACAATACTCTTGACACAGTTACTTACAGCAAGCATATAAAGCATCAATGACAGTATGATGATTAATAATTAGACTATGAGCAATGCTTGCTGGGATTTCAACCATTGGATGGAATTAAATCCGGCAGAAGCAACTTTGATGCAGATAAATCGTTGTTGTGACCACATCTGGATGTTCATCAAAGCGAGATCTGCAGTAATTGTGATGGAGAAAAAGTTTGTCAATCTGATAATATGGTAAATTCAATGTGCAAGTGTCTTGTAGCTAATGTTATGCAATAGAGTAAGGACCAGGTGGGAACTCGAGTTTATTTCTTTAAAAAGATGTGATTGGGATCCATGAATTTGAGATGCTGATGCTGATGGGATTCGGAGGCTGTTCTTTCCAATGCAGTTGGATATAATGTTATGATAGTAAGTCAATGATGATGAGACAGCTTACATTGATGCTAATCTTCTAATTGTGTCGATTTGTAATAACATTCTTTCAGATGCATTTCAAGGAAAAAAAAAAAAGGGCACAAAATGATCGCAACAACTGTCAAAATAATTGAAACTCCGCTCAATCCTAGGCAATTATAAAAAATAATGCTCTATGCGAGGATCGAACTCGCGACCTTCGCGTGTCTTTGGTATATTTGAATAATATAAGCACGATGCTCTAACCAACTGAGCTAAAAGAGCGAACTTCTCTTGGCGGGCTATTTATGTTGCTTATAAGGAGCAAAAAAAGAATATGTATGGAGTGTCACTTGAAGTATATACAAATATATATAACCTTTGATTGTGCGAGTTTCTGTCAAAGAGCATTCTACTGTTTATATATTAAGCACACAGCAACTGTGATATATTAAAATAAAGATGTCAATGAAATAAAAACGCCGGTGTAATTGGATTTTAGACTGGAAGAATTATTGTCGAGAAATGGAAAATTTTCGAAATAAGGCAATGTTGAACCATGATGTTCCTATGACAGCCTGCTAAATACAAATGGTTATGAGTAATAAATGGATGGATGCAATGTTGGAAAACGTTGTATTCAAAACCGTTTGTTGATATCTTGACTCACTACTCTGGTTTGACAAAGGTTGAAGGTTGTGTTGCGCATCTCAGCAAGAAGAGGGAACAACGTTTTCGCATCCAATGTCGATGGTAGCGACTTTATATCACAAAGATGATATGCTTACTTTGAGTGGTTGTCAAACTTATAGAGTGTTGAATTCGTAATAATAAAGTTCTTGATAATAATCAGTTATTAACTGTATCTAATGTTATATCAAATGTCATAGCAAGGTCTCACACTAAAGGTTTTAGGCTATTCTTAGGTCCTTTGGGTAAATCATGCTAATCATGATTTACAAATCAATTGTTGGGTAGATAGTAAACCTATTTGTATTATAGTTCATCATCATGCTGTAAACCCTAGCATATTGAAAAGTATATAAATGCATCCTTGGGATGCATTCTCAATAAAAGTGCAATTCTCTGGCAGATTCAATTTTACATTGTATTTTGACATAACATCTAAAACCAGAATGCAAAGAAGAGTTTCTTTATTACAGGGCATCTAACTAGCTTAGATATGATAAATCCCTAGTCAATGACTACTAAGTTGAGATGATATATAAATAGCAGGCTCCTGGGTGTTGAGGATATAGATCATCTCTGAGAGGCAAATGTATTAGGCGTCGTTTATTACATAAGAGGATCTGAGAATGAGCTGAGATGCATAGTAGAAGTGAGAGGTCTTTATTCAAGCAGCACGAAGGAACATGAGTGGTGCCATCAAATGGCTAATCTATATCCTGGTTCCTAGAGAGTGGTAGCCTATGGCCTTTCGTCCCTGGAAGTGGGTTTCAATTCCGACAAATGTTCTTCCGTCAAAGCTATTAGGAAGAACATTCTATCCTGGATCATCTTTGTTGTTTATCCTTGACTGGTGGTTCATGAGTTCTGATGCAGCACATCCTCGTTACTGGTTCAAGGCTTATACAATTATCCCGCATTCAAGATCAAGGTCCTATTGCTGCGGCACTGTCAAATAACTATAAATACCTTTGATATCTACACTAGTTTTGATCCCTATTCAATCTTGGAATAACATAATAAATATATTCAGTTCTAATTGTATTTACTCTGTCTATATTTCGTTATTCTAAACACTGGGGTCTTATTGATTGTTGGTATAGTTTGTTGTTGAGCGACCACCTAAGTCGATAAGTTTCATGCAGTGTAGATTGATCTGGACATCTTGACATGGGGATATTGAATCTATTGTGGTTCCCGATGAGGCGTCCGTGCACACAATATTGACTGGACTTGTAAACATAGATGCGATGTGATACGATAAACATCATCTATGTTACTACACTATGAAAGTGGCTTGAGGAGAAAGTAAATGTAGCCCAAAATGCATGCTTGTATTCAAAATGGCTCCCAACTTGGAAGTTGGAAACATTTTTATACACTCCGAATTTAATATAAGGTTAAAGACAGCTACCCAAAAGATTGAAATATGTTGGAAATCAATGACAAACGACGCATGTTTTGCGGGGCATTTCGTACATGAAGAAACGGATACCTAATATACAGTGCTGTACCCATTATTTTATAACCTCCCCACATAATAAATTTAGAAGACACCCCTCACAACTAACTGTTATGCAATGGATGCCAGGTGAAATAGTTGCATCGTATTATCTTACTTTTGAATAAAGAAGAATTCAAATAATAAATGTCTGGGCACTCTTTTATTACAAACACAAAATAATATCAAATGACAAATCAATACAAGAATGACTAGCTAGAATCCTTCGGTCCCTGAACTTCTGAACCAATCAAATTGCTTGAAAACTCCGCTGGCCTAAAAATATCTGCGAGGGTTTCCCCCTGTTTTGATGTGAAACAAAATTTTAAGTGCCGCTATAAGAGCAATATAGCCGCTGCTATCATCAAACTTCCCTCAGGTGCTAGAGCATGCTTTACTTACACCACCTAGCTTTAAATTCAGGCATTGAGACCCTCAATCACCACTAAAGTGAGTAGTGATAACCAAGTGGAGGCAGGCTATCCACCTCCTAGCCTCGGAAAAGGCTTGTTGAGCTTCAGGGATAGGCACATCCACACAGGATATACCATAGTAAAAGCCTTGATTATTAAGGTCAAAAACGCGATCATTTGATTTTCGATGAAAACCATGAGGGGTCCCTCATAGGGTGGCCATAGTTGTTTTTGGGCGTTTTTTCGACCAATTGGTTGCAAGAAAAAAAACGACCAAAACCTTAAATAATGCCCACCTCAAGAGTTGGGCGTTCTGCATAATTTTCTTTATTTTTTGAAAAAACAGTTACAAGTCTAGTGTAATAAGAGTGCAATGATTCTGTAAAAAAAAATATATATCTACTAGGGAGGGGCGGATTGGTGTTACTATTTGTATGTCTTTAAACTTGGGCAATATTTATTAAAAAACATGAAAAATATTTTTGGGCGAGTAGTATTAGGATCAAGTGATGGATTTATTGTGATAAAAATACTGTATATAATGAGTTGTAATGACAGATATTTTCACTGCCGTTCAATGCTTGTCAAAAAAAAAAGACTATCTATATATATATATATATGTGTTATGCTAATGTTTCAATCATGCGGATTGAAACGTATGTATGTAACGTGGATCATTACATCTAGTTGTTTCTTCTGCCACTGATTGCTCCTTCAATTTCTCCTCTCATCTCTTGATATACTCACGCTTCTTTCAAATTATAAGCAGATGGTGGCATAATAAATGTAATCAAAACAAGTTTTAGATTGATAAAAAGGAAAGGATATGAGACCACATTGACAGCAGCAGATCAAGAGTGGCCAATGTTGTAGAGCATTCGGTTGGTGCTGTTTTTTAACCAGAAAACGCCCAAAAACAACTTTGGCCGCCCTATCATGCTTTTTGGTCGGATTTTGTCCATGTTTTTTTTTGGTACCCAAAAAGTTGAGCAATAGTGGCAATAAGTAACTGCCAGATGGGAGCAATTGTTTGGTACTATTCTGACCATCTAAAACGACCTTGAACGCGAGAAAGCACAGCTCAAATGCACCCAGATTTGACTGTATTAGACACCCTCTTGACTAAAAAGGGGAAATGCCAGTATGCTGCTTGCCCGTACGTGAAGTAGCTATGTGTATATGGATGTAGAACATCACATAGAAATTATATCCACAGAAAATATGAAGGCTTTTCATGTGTAAGTGGAGGGTCAAAATGAAAGTAGCAGTTTGTTGATAAGATACGCCTGGGTAATGGATAGCGCGAGCTGCCGCTACGCAGGTTGGTTTTCATCGAAGTAAAGCGAAGGTAAGGAGCCATCCGAGCTTAAACACTCGTATGCTATAGTGAAACTCTTCATTTTGAAGATGAAATTGAGATCGTTTAGTTATTTTTTTTAGAGTAGTATCCATGAGGTACTACTAATGTTTTTGGGTGGATTTTTGAAGGTGTTTTCAGTCCCTAAAAAGTTTAGTGAAGATGCCAGTACGTAAATGCTAAATCGAAAGCAATCGCTTGGTGCTATTCTGACGGTCTAAGGCGGGTTCGAACACGAGAAATTACTGCTCAAATGTATCCAATATCTGCTGTGTTTTGCACACTTTTTTGTAGTAAGAGGTAATGTCAGTATGATGTAGGCATGTATATAAAATATTCCCAGTAATACAGATGTGAAACGCTCAAGAAGAGTCAGATTCCCAGCTACAGTTTTCTTACAGCTGATTTCTATATGATAGTAAAAGGTCAAAAGGTAAGATTCTAGCATGTATGATCAAAGTGTTCGTAGTCAATTAATCAACATTGTCGTGGCTCGTCCAGAGTCTGTGCAAACTACCAAAAACGAGGCCTGATACACTAAGATCGTCATAAATATGCTTTCTAGGCAGGCGTTATTTTGACACAGTGTTCGTGACAACTTGCCAACCATCCAGAAATTTATGGTTCAATATCTTGTTTGGTGGTTTACACATAGGCTCGGTCGTGATATCTGAATCGCTAAAACTTGCCAGCTTAATATGAGCACGAAGCCCTTATCACTCGCGTTATTAACACATCTCCTGTTGGTGACTTCTTGAACAGAGTAATGACTTCACTTGACTGTTACCGCGGCCTACTCTATTACTATCGACCTAACTCAAGCCTTTGACTGACAGAAGGCCATTATGATCGGCTCGGCTACCTTCTGAGAAAGCAACAGCTACTTGTGGCCTATCCGTGAACATATACGCAGGGGCAATGCCAGGTTTACTAGAATCTCGGTGTCTTTAATCATGTATCAACAGTTTCTCATGATCCCTGCCTTGTCACCGCCATCGCTGCCAAACTGTCATTAACCAAACCACCAAATTTGAAGGCTTTCCAGCCTTCGTATCTTCACGTGTAAACCTTTTTGAGCCACTGGAATGACGACAAAAAATTGTGCTTGAGTTGTAGTAACTTCCTGACACTTTTGCTCAACTTTTTGGGGATCAAAAAAAACATGAACAAAAATCGACCAAAAAGCATGAGGTACCCCTCATGGTTTTCATCGAAAATCATGGCTTTCTCCGCTAAAGATCACAAAATAGCAGAAAAAGGTGGGATTTCCAGTAATGGAGGTTCCACGCTGGATTCTAGCCATAATCCAGGCAACAACATTTTTACC